AAATGACTTCTTGGATCAAGAAAAATTAACTTTTCGTGGTTTTTGCAAGAAAATTTTTCTTGATCTAATTTTTTTTTTTTTTTTGAAAGAAGAAAACTTTTCTTGTGTCAAGATTATTTTTCTTACAAAAAACAAGAAAATCAAAAATCAAGAAACTATTTTTCTGGGTGCAGAAAAAAAGGCCAGTCTCGATTCAGAAAGCTCGAGGTCTCATCGGAAGCGATTGTATTCTCTTGGACACTGCCCGGTGTAAATGTGACTACATTTATTTTGAACTACCGGACTTGGATTTTGAAATCCCCGGAACGATTCTTGATGGACCGTTTCCCCCCGCGTGGTGTATTTTTGTGGCTTTTGCTTTTCGTCCGTGACTCGCAAGCAGCGCACCCCGCCGGGCGCTCCGACGGAGAGCGCAGGGTGGCTGCGCCGCTGCGCCGGCTGCTCGGCGCGCTGCTTCCCGAGGTGTTTGCTTTATTGCGGGTAATCCTCTTAGCCCGGGCCGAACGACATAACAGGGAGTCTCGCCCGCCGTTCCGCCAGTCAATGCCTTAAAAAACTTTGCTCATACCCGCCTCGCCCGCCTCGTCCGCTCCCTCTCGCCCCTGGCGGTATTGTACGACCACCGTAAGAAAGCGGCCCGCTAATTTTCCCCCTTCCTACCTTTTTTCGCGCCGAAAGTGCTAGCAAGGTTTCGACGCCACTGATTCAGATTTATGGCGAAATCCTAGTGAAAAGGTGGAACCACTTAGCGCTTTCTGTGTAAAGGTCGCAGCAGTCGAGTGAGGCCCCCCCCCCCCGGCCGTCTCGGACACCACCCGCGCGATCGCTGTCGCAGGACAGAATAAAAGCATGAAGATGAAAAAGAAGAGAGCTCTCTCAAGTGGACATTACTCCTCTGAGCCTGCAGAGCTCCCAAAAGTTCCAGTCGATCGAAATAACACGTTTCCCGCAGTCTAGAGCCCCGGTCCGAGCGAGCCCGTGCCGTTCTCCAATTTGCGATTTGGTGTGTCGCAGTGCCCACCCCTCCCTCTTTCGCCATCGATAAGAGTTTTTCTTCTTCTTGGTGCAACAGGTCGCCCAGCACAAAGCACTCAAGCACGACGTCTCCGCGTCCTGGGCGGACGTCCGGGCAGCAGCACGCAGGCCTTCGACGTGCCAACGCCATTCGGCTACTCGCCAGCCAGAGAGAGAGAGAGAGAGGCCCCATGCGGTGGCACTGCAATGCATGCACACTGCACCCCCGCCCCCCCCCCTTTTTTCACCCGAGGAAGCCGCCTGAAAGGTAGACAAAAACTTGGTGCTTTGACCCTGTAAGTAGGAACAAAGTGTTACTTTGCCCCGCCGAAAAGTGCCACTTCGCCCCCACCCTTCCCCCCACGGTGGACTCGACGCGGACTTTCTTTCGTTTCCCCGGCTTGGACCTCCTACTTACTGCTAATGCGCTCCCCTTGCGACGGAAACGGCGCGGAATCGGAATTCCGTCCGGATAGCACTGCCGGCGTTGGCCGGCACTGCGGCAGCGTCATCGGCCAGCTCGGGGCCGGGCCCGACTCGGGGCCCGACTCGGGGCGCTGGCGGTGCCGTTCCGGAGCACGCCGTCGTCCTGCACTGTGCGGGGCGCCGCTACGCCCTTCGATAAATCAGCCATTTTATAGTGGGCACCTCGACGGCGGCCTTATGGTTCATAAAGAGGGCGCTATTAGGCCGCGCCCGGCCCGCCGCCTGGCCGCGGCCCGCAGTCGTGGCGAAACAACAACAACAAAAGGCGTTGTTCGGGTTGATTTCGGCGAGGAGAATCCGACTCGGGATAATCAGAGTGCATCCAGTTGGTGATCATCATGGGCCGTGGTGGCTGGGGAGAGGTTAGCACACTGCGCGCTCACTGGCACGCAATATGGACGCACTGAGCACGGATTTCTCCTCAATTTCGACAACTTTGTGAGGGCTGTGCTCGCAAACTGAATGCGGTTAAGTCTTTCCCGAGGCAGGGCATGACCAAGTTAGGTCCTTAGAGTGCTGAGACCTTGAGTGATGACCGTGGCGCACCTTAGTAGGCCTCCAGCAACGTCACACTATCACTCGCAAAGTCCAGCTCAGCTGTTCAGAAAGACGTTAAAAAAATAAAAGAGCAGAGCATGAGCGTATCTGAGAGTGGTTGGCGTGGGGATTGGGAAGGGTAGAGGAAGGGCATCTAATCGGCACTCTGCACCACTGTCTCTGCCTCTCTCGCACTCAGGGGGCGCCCCCCGAGGCCCCTGCTGCGGGTGCGAGAGAGACAGAGCGACGACCGCTCTGTCTTTCGGAACCAGCCTGCAGTCAATTCCTTGCGATGCGGCGCCAATACAAGAGCCACCTGTTTCCCGCAGTTTCTCGATCGTCTCTTCGCGCGCGACTGGAACGCAAATGGACAGACGGGGTCCAGGCAGACGCACTCCAGTGTACCTCCTAGTTTACTTTCTAGAGTGGTTGCCTGTAAGTTTGTCGCGTTGTGTTTTCGAGGAGCCCATTTTTCGTTCCCTTTTTCGTGGCGAGGTCGCCGAGACGAGGGTCTCGCCAGCCCATTCCAGGTTAGCCCGCTGCCCCTGCCGAATCAGCCCCCCCCTTTCCCCTCTTGGAGTCTCCAAGCCTCGGCCAGTGTGTGATCAGATAACAGAGAGCCATTAGGTGTCATCCTGTGATTGCTCCGAGCCTCAGCTCATGGCCGGATGGCCTTCCCCTGTGTGTTTCTTTCTCTGCTCCTCCCCCTGGGGGCGGGGCCCGTCTCTCTCTCTTTCCCGCCCGCTAGATCGACGAGATTCCTTTCTCTCTCAGCCACATGCTTTCGCGTCACGGTTGCCTCCTTCGAGAATCGGATGAGGCGTACGGCAGCCTGGAGTAGAGCAGAGACGCTGGTTCAAATCCCACCTCTGTGCATGCATTTTCGTTTCTGCTGTCGTTTTGTTTGTCGTGTGTTTACTTTGTACCTTTCTGGCTTTTACGGTTCGTTCGTCTTCGCCCCAAGGAGCTCAGCGGGCGCGGGTTCGCATCCCGGCGGAGGCCCGGCGGTCGGAGGACTTTTCTTTGAGCGTTCTCCCTCTCGCTCGGCCACGCGCCCCTAAGGACCGGGACAAAGACAACGCACGCAAAAAGCGTTTCCCCTGTCAAGTTTTCCCATCTGAATTTGCCGCTTGGCGGGCTGGCGGTATGGCTGGCGGGTTGGTTGACGTGCAGCCCGCCTCACAGACAGAGCCTTGGGCCAGCCCGCCCAGCCCAGCCCATCCAGCCGCTCCGTCTCTCTCGCACCCTCACGGGGCGCTCCGTGAGTGCGACAGAGACAGAGCAACAAGGCGGGCCTTCGGCACCAGCCGCGCCAGACCGGGCAAGAACGGGTGGTGGTCGTGCAGGGCCTAAGTATAGAGCGCGCTGAATGCCCTGCCTGGCTGCCGCCCTGCCAGTCAAGAGGCCAAGTTCAAAGCGCGCGGCAAACACTGGAGGGCCTCAAAGCCAGCAGGGCCGAACTAAGACATTCGCCGATATCGGGGCCGGTGGCGCACTGTAGAATCGTGCAGCGCGCGGACGTGCCGTCGTGCGCCTGGGACGCGCGGCCTAGCGTGGCGGAGCGGCAGGCGACGGCGGCCTGTGGGGACCTCGAGCAGGCGGCGCCTGGGCCCGGCGGCGCACCTTACGAGTGAGGCTGGCGCCTTGTGGGGCGCAGGCCACGGCGGCTTGGGGACGCGGTGAGGCGGACGCCGTCGGCGGCGCACGGCGGCCTTGGGGACCGCGGTGCAGGCCTTGGTCGCCTTGGTGCGGGCGGCAGGCGCACGGCGACGCCGCACTGGCGGGTCTCCACCGTGCTGGGGTTTCAAAGAGACTCACGTTGGTGCTGGCCTCCACCAGGGTCACCCTGCTGGGCCCTGCTGGTTGCGGCGACGCGCTGGCGGTGCGGATGCACGGGACGCACGGGACGCACGGGACGCACGCAAGCCCGGATGGCGCGGGGCGCGGGGGCGGGGGGCGGGGGGCGCGGCCGGAGTCGGCGGACGCGAGGACGTCTACGATCCGCCCCTGTGGCGCCCTGTGGCAGCGCAGCGAGCGGAGCGGCAGAGCCCCTCGAACCGGCACGTAGCGAGTCTAGCCTGCCACTGCGCGGCGCCACGGCCGCAGCGCGCGCCCCCACCCCCACCCCCACCCCGCAGCCCCGCCGCGCGCCCAAAACGTTCATTTTCGAAGCGCGCCCTTTCCTCATCCGCCAATTTCTCATAGTACCGGCAAGGCACCCGACAGCGGGGCGACGACGCGACGGCGCCAAGTTGCGGGAAAGCAATCCGAATCCGAATATGCACGTGTGGGGGAAGGGCGGCTCGTTGTTTGCACGTCTCTCCACAGCGCGCCATTCACAAGTCTGTGCCGCCGAGGGGCTCCCGAGTGGCTGCCGAGGCGTCTTCGGCCGCGCCGGGCCGCGCCCGCAGCGAGTGCGAGAGAGAGCGCCGGACCGCTTCGGAGGACGGGGAGAGTACACGGGGCGCATGACACAGCAGTGAAGTGACTTTCAGGTTCAGAATACGGTTCGGAGTGCCTGGCCTGCCTGGCCTGCCTCTCACCCTCCGCGTCCCCTGATTATTGAGATGTCGGTTGGAAAATCTTCATTTAGGATGAATGGAGGCTTGACATCTTTTTTACGAACTCTTGTGATTGTTTTTCCTGTCTTAGGACGTCTTCAATGGAAAAAAACTGCTGCACTGCACAAAAAAACCTGCTGATAACTTAATTAATGAGCCATAATTTCGTGGGAACGTATCACTTAAAACATTGACATTGGAACTTGTTTGTTTCATTTTTAGATGTCCGTTTTTCGGCGAGGGAGAAGAAAACACCGACTGCGGGTCACTACTTGTTGCTCCACCCTTTTTATCGGTTTTGTCTTCGCACGAAATTGAAGGTCGTCACTACTGATTGAACGTTGCGATAAGATATCAAGCGTCTGCTCTCGAGGGCCAAGTTCAGACAAATGCACTTGTTTGTAAAGAAAGCAGTCTCGAGTTTATTAACATAGAACTAGTCTTATAAAAATATAATTCGTTATCCTAAATTATCACATGACCGCACAAGGCTGCACAACATACATATTACGGTGAAGATTTTCTTCATATAGCAAAAGGAATTCGACAAAATAACCATTAGATACAAGGAACTGTCAGAAGTAAGCTACAAAGTCAGCTGCATCATCAGGAGAATTTTCATCGTAATATGGAGGCTCTTCGCCATGAGACTTTTGGAGTGTGTCGTGGTCCAAACTAGTTCGAATCTGAGGCAGTATTTTATCCTGACCAGGAGCATCGACTCGGTCCAGCTTGTCCAACGACGGGCAGTGGGGAGGACTAGACTTGGACTTCCCTCCTCTGGGCTCTGACCAGGATACCGTCGCCCTTTGGCTTGAGAATGAGTTCCCCCACGACCTCGGCCTGGTAGCCCGGGTACGCCTCCAGGAAGCGATACTCCTGGATCAGGCGGGCGAATATGCACTTCATCTCCATAATGGCGTACTTCTGACCTGGAGGAAAGATTCCGAACGCCTTGTTAAAAACATCTGATAAGCCGGGAAAGTTTGCTTCCTTTCTTTTCGCGTTTCGAGCCTTACCGATGCAGTTGCGCGGCCCCGCGGAGAAGGGGATGTAGGCGAAGGGATGCCTGCCCACGCTGTTCTCGGGCAGGAAGCGGTCAGGGTCGAAGCGCTCGGGGTCCGGCCACAGGGCCTCGACGCGGTGCAGGGTGAAGGGGCTCACGAAGATGGACGTCCCCGCCGGCACGGTGTAGGACTCTAAGGTGGAGAGAGAGAGAGTTAGGCCCCTGCTTCGGGGTTGACGGTTCCAATCCCCTTTGGTTTTACCTTTGGCTCCCTTGACGGGTGGCAGCACCAGGTCCGAGTGCAGTGCCCGCAGGAAGACGGGCACGCTAGGGTACAGCCGCAGCACCTCCTTGATGACGCGCTCCAGGTACTTCATCTTGGCCAGGTCCGCCGTCTCCACCTGCCGGCCCTCGCCGACCTCGCCCAGGATCGACACCACTTCTTCGTAAGCTTTTTGCTGAGTCAGGAACAAACAGGTCATGAAACGGCGTCACGGACGAGTTGGATTCATCAGTATTCAGTAAATATGGACGTTATTGGACGGCAAACACGGGAGTGTATGTCCAGTCTACTTTGTCGTTCGCTTTGTTTACTACCTGGACATCCTGGTTCTTAGAGAGCTCGTAGAGGCCGAAGCTGATGGCGGTGCCGGTGGTGTCGTGGCCCTCGAACATGAAGGTGTCCACCTCCTCCTGGATGTCAATGTCCGACAAGTCCGCTCCCTTCTGGTTGGCCAGCAGCAGCTGGTCGAGGAAGGCGACGCGCTTCTTGGTGCCGTCCTCCGCTGCAACCAGACGCCAACGTTCAGACCGCGTGGACCACAGTTATTATGAGAATAATTACTGCAATTATCACCTTCGTTTTGTATATTGACGAGGTCCTCCGTGGAGAATTCTCTCTTGCGAATGCTGATGACCTGCAACACGCCAACTTGTTGCACTGCGCCCGCTTGCACTGTGAAAATTTTGCGTCACTTCATGAAAAAACCGTGGATGACTCTTTATCTCTTGAAAATGGTGACAGTTTTATCAACGCTCCTACTTATTGCAAGGTTGTAACAACATCAACAGGTGCTCTGACACTCTTCAGGATGGTTATGTCATAAATTGACGTCCAAAATTTTCCAAGTTGTCGTCAACTACGAGCTAATTGTGGGACTCACGGATGACGTCATGCCGTGGAGGACTTTGAGCGCCCGGTTGAACGACCAGCCTCCCGGAGTGGAGTAGAAAGTGACATTCGGGTAGATCCACGGCTTGACTAGCCTCGAGTAGGCTTGGCAGCAAACGCTGCGGATCACACGACAAGAAAATAAGTTTCAAAGAGGGAAGATGAAGTTACTTCTTCCTTCTTGCGTAGTTTTCAAAGGGGCTACTCACGTTTTCACGGCGTTGACGTACTCGGACTCGGCATTCTCCTGGGCGTTCACCTTGGTGCCCATCGCGGACTCTGCGAGAAAAAAGATGTCATTCTGGGCTCGAAATAGTGATTGTCATCTCAAAGTCAGCGACTCACCGCAAATGGTGTCCAGGGCGCACAGGTGCACGTGGTGGCTGACGTTGAAGGGCTTGCCGTGCTCCGCCTCGCGGGACAGCTTGCGCACCAAGACGTCCACGTTGCGGTTGAAGACCGGCACGAACTGGTCCAGGATCTTGAAGTGGAAGGTGGGCGTCAGCAGGCGGCGGCGGGTGTGCCATTTGGAGCCCGTGCTGGTGAGCAGCCCGAAGCGCAGCCACGGGTGCAGCGTGGAGTAGTCGTTGCTCTTCTCGATGTGCTGCACGCTGCTCAGCACGCTCTGAGGTGTCAGACGAGCCGCTTTATGGCAGTGTGAGTGACCGTGCAGAGCGGTCGCGGAGGTCGCCGGCTTGGGGCCTTGGCGATAACGCACTTTTGGCCGTGGATTATGCAGTTGGGAAACGATGCAACCGCCGCGATACGGGGCCAACACGCAATCTTACTTTCGGCCGGCTGAACATACGCCACAATCAAATCATGGTCGGTTCCCTTTACTGAGGTGGCGTGCAAACACCTCTTTTTGGCAGCTTTTCGACTCCCCGGATCCCTGTCCCTCATTAGTTTAACGTCCCCATGTATTTAAGATAAGACCACCATCAGAGGCAGTATTTCCCCCCCCCCCTCAAGTTATGACGTGATATTTGCACGCCGCCTGACCCAAACTTCTTTATTTTCTACAGCCTCTGAATCGCTGCGGTTACCGGTTGTTTGTCCTTGAAAGAAACCAAACTGGTCGGGCGGGACCAGCATACGCAGTGGGAGTCTCCACAATGACCTACCTCAACGTACTCGGCGGTGTTGAGAGCGACGTAGGGAAAAGAAGCGATCCACACGCGGAAGATATCCTTGTAGTCTTTGGCGTAGTCCTGGCAAGTAGCGAGCACCTCTGGGAAACACAAGCAGGGCCTATTACTTGTTCGCACATTTTTATGCAGCTATAGTGCCTGCGTCTGAGACTGTTTCAGTTGCTTGCTGTCCTGCTCCTTGCAGGCAGTAGATCAAGCTGTGTCACTCCTGGAGAGGGCTTGGGGCAGCCCTCGTGCCGATGCGATGCCCTAACACCCTAGTCCGGCCCACGATCAAGCCGAAACCGGAATCGAGAGAGAGCGGTGCAACTTCTCCTTATCTCTTTCTGGCACGTGACAGTTGTATCGAAGGGACGTGAACTTTATCTTGGACGCTCAGAAATAGACTGTTTAACTGTTTTATCTTTTAAAACGGGGCTGATCTTACCAAAGTTGTGCTGCGCTACGCGGAAGAGGTTCCCAACCAATGGCGTGGTCGGCGGCCCGGGGATGGCGTTCACCCGGTCGACGAAGGCCTTCCTCTTGAGCCCCAGGTGCACGGCGATGGCCACCAGCAGGGCCACCATCGCCAGGAGTACGGGGTCCATGGTGCCGACGATTCTTGCAGTCGTTTGCGGCGTGTTGCCTTGGTCCTAGAAACCATCGCCCCGCCTGATAAGTATTCATTTCCCCAAGTAAATAAAACCTCAATTTATTTCTTCACGGAGAGGACTGTTGGTTTGATCGAGTGTAATCAATCCATCAGTGAAACTGTCACGCCAATTTTCTCGTGTCACTCTTGACCTTCTTGGCCCCGTCCTGACTTGCAGGTGCACCGGGCCTTATCAACATCCTCACTCACTTGAACTTCCTTCGACTGACCTATATTATCTGAAGGTGAGTCTAACAAAATACCTGAGGGGTAGAATTATTAATCTTTAGTTTATAAAAACAAAATTGCAGTACAGGACATACAGGCTGAGCTATATATGCTTAGCTTTACGAGCTTCGTTTGAAAAGCCTTCTAGAACGGGCTATGTCAAGCTACTCAGTAGCAAAGTCAGCAGCAGGGCCGTAGGTCTTCCCCCGGCTAGTTGTTTCGGGTCATGATAAGGGTGACAAAAATGGATCCCTATCACTGCTACGTCTGCACTAATAAATGCGACTTTTCGTTTACAGGAATCTGAAATAAGTATCTTTCTTTTGTGGCACATCACCTAAAATCTTACGGAAATTGTAGCGCATCGCGGTTTCAAACGTGTCAACTCACGGCACATATGCATGATTTTCCACTAGTGAACAGCTGTGAAAAAGATCCCTAGTTTGGTGCAAAATATACAGAGGAATACAGTACGAAAACTTGACAAAAAGTAGGATCTGTTCCAAATAGTAAACCTTTGCTAAAAGGGAAAAACAAACACGCACACGGACTGTACCGTCAAATCGTTATCCTCACTTCCCCGGCTTTGGCCGTACTTTTTCTGCCAGTGTCCAAGCGATGCGTTTCTTTTTTTTTACATTTTTCTTTTTCAGACATGGGCTCTAAGCCCTGTTGCCCTTCCAAACATTCCTAGGGTCCTTGGGTCATCGGGTACGGGGTACTCACCTCTCGTCGCGCTGCGGTGCGTCGCGATGTCTGCCGGGGACAGCGGCCCACTCACGTCTACCAGAAGCCACGCCGAACTGATGCGGTCACGCTACCGCGCGGCCCCCGATTAACTTTTTTGGCGGGATGTGGTGGGGGCACGGCTTGTTTATCTTCTCGGCACGACTTGGCCGGCCGCTCCTCGACTTTTGCCGGCCTCAAAGAGGCAGAAGTATTTCTCGATAATGAGTACCTCAGGGTCATCAGTGGTTCTCACCCTTCAGTACACTCTCGTGGGTGTACACTTTCGAGCACTGTCCCGTGGATGTGTACTGATGAGTATACTTTGGAGGTACTCTTCCTGAAAAATCATAAGTGTACGCATTTGAGTATACATACACTCTCCTCAGCGTGTACTCGTTTGAGTATCCACTCATCCACTGCCTTAGGCGTGGACACTACTACGAGAGGGCAAGTCCACGAAGCGACGATAAACCGTGTTTCCAAGACTAGACACCATCATCATCATCATCAGCGCTGTAGGCCTCAGCAGACCTCTAGCGTTTGAGTAGGCCGCAAGATAAATTGGTATTGAGTTCCAAAACAGCGTGGGTCATCGCAAGTGTATTCCCACGCGCGCCGAAGAAAACAACGAAATAACACAATAAAGGCGCGTCGTTGATAGTCGTGTGAACATCGCCCACCTCTCGTCCCATCCCCTGCAGTTACGAACTGTGTATTTCGGCTTTTATTAAGAAACGTAATTTTGTATTTTTGTTTTTTGCATTGCAATATCGGACATATAAGTGCATAGAGTTACTCGATCTTCAGGAGTTTTGGTGCAATTTTAGGACTCAGCTTTTTTTACTGGAATAATAAATAAAGTAAAGTGGTTGCGATCAAACTGATCTCCTGATGCGCGTTCTATGGCATCTTTGGCCTAAATTCGTTTTATTTTGCTCTGTGCCGAGAAGCAGAACACGGAACTGGATGCTGCACCTGGGGACCTGGGGCCTGCTGTGCGGATACTCCCTGCTGAGAAAGGACGTACCCCACGCCACGCAGACACTGTGGCTCGCACTGTCTCTTGGATTGGGGGGTATTCACGCAAAGAACGAAGCTACCTCACGATCAGGATATGTTTATTGAAATACAATGGGAAACACTGAGACGAAAATACATCGAAAGCTTGATGAGAAATATTAGGATTGGAATATTATCATTCAGAGGGCCTACTAGAATATCCAAAAATTATGGCAACATTAGAAAAGTAACACACGATTAAATTAGAGATCTTGGTGCGTTTGTAGGTACACCGTTGTATTTTTGGCTAGCGCACGCAGTGCAGAAATAAATAAAATAAATGTACCTGAGATACGCTAAATGAATACTCATTTAAAACGCTACTTCAATTAAGAATAAAATCACAATTACATTAAAATACACACATTGAAAGACTTCAATTACAACAAGAAAAACTAAAGTTGTGGCAAAAAAAATATTGAAGTGGAAGTTACAAATTGTAAAATTTTGTCTTGCATCCCTCAAGAAATAAAATTATGGAAATGGGACTGTTTTTTTCTTGAACTTACTCCCCCAATATTGTTGACTATGGGGACATTTTCAGAATGACAAACCACCTCTGCAAATGATATGGCTCTTCCAGCCTCATTCATTCTAGTAGTAAATAAATAAAATTTAAATTTTTACACACAACCATAAATAAAGATATGAGCCAAATTGCCTCAAAGAATGACAAGAAGAGATGGGTAAAATATGGAAGGCTATTTATATCAGCAAAAAAGAAGTATAATCCTCTTGGCTTCCACAAAGTTCACGTTCCAGGCAACGTCTTTTTACCTTCACTAGCATTGCTTGGCCGCGACCGCACCATCCAACAACACACAGAACACACACACTCTCTCAATTTCCTTATTTGACTAGCTCAGTCTGATAACACCGCGGGCAGCCCAGGGCAGCCTCACCCAACCGGCACGAACGCCCTCCGAGAGCGCGCCGCCAGCACTCCGAAAAGAGAGGAGAAATCTTTAAAAAGGGTTGAAGGAATAAGCATGGCTCGCCTTCACACCCCAGCCCCAGAAACACACACTCGCACTCGCACACACTTACGCGCTCATTTACACACACACTCACGACAACCTCATCACAGACTCGTAATCATTTGTTTGGCACACGCTCGCTGCAGGTGTGAAGGCAGGTAGGTTGGCAGGGCCGAGCGCTCAGCACCTGCCTCGCTTGTCGTCGTGGACGCTGGGCGGGGCGGCCGGGGCGGCGGGGGCCTCCTCCTGGGGGCTCGGCGGCCCCAGCGGCCCCAGCACGCGAGACAGCCGCTTCTCGGGGGACACCAGGCGCTGCGTCGCCACCACGGCCTGCGTCGCGGCCTGCAGCAGAACGGTCAGACACGTCACTACCGCGTTATCGTCACCACCTCCAGGCCACGCGGGGAGTATCGCCGCCGCCGCGCCGCTACCCCGTCGCCGAGGGACTCCAGCGGTGGGCCATACGCCCTGGCCATAGGATGTGTTTGATTCGGGTGCCCTTTGAGGGCCCGACCGTCGCTATACTCCTCGCTACTCACCCTAAACTTCCTGCGCGCGTTGAACTCCCGCAGCGAGCGCACGGTGGCGTCCATGTGCTGGGTGCGCGGGGTGTCTCCGCGGACCCAGGGGTGCTGCAGGCACTCCTCCGCGGTGGGCCGGCTGGCGGGGTCGACCTGCAGGAGCTGCGGGGCAGAGGCAGGCACACTGTCAGCGGCAATGGTAATGGGCGGACGGGACGCCGGCGTTTTGCAGTGCAGGCGGGCATGTGTCGGGCCCGAAATGGCATACGATCATGTGTGGTCTAGCCCTTAATGGTAATGGTAATGGCGAGGCGGGCAGCGAGCGCGCACCGCGGTCCGACGTGTTGCCTACGCCACAGGCGGCCCGGCCGGCCCACTGTGGGCTGGAGGCGGTCAAAACTCTACGCGCGTGTTGAGCTCCAGAGTCGCTAAACAGGTCTCGAACGGAACTTTGTGACCCCACCAATGGATTGCTCTCCGAACGAGGAATCCATTGGTGGGGTCACTACGTACGGTACGAGTCCCATTTAGCGACTCTGGAGCTCAAAACGCGTCCAGAGTTTTGTCCGTTTTGTCTGGCCCACTGTGCGGCCGTGGCAGGTTGAGGACGGACACAGACCTGGGTGACGAGGTCCTTGGCGCTGTCCGACACCTCGTCCCACCAGGGCCCGGGGAAGTGCAGTGCGTGGTGGCCGAGGGGCTCGGTGGGCTCGCCCTGGCCGGGCTGGCCCGACGACGAACCGCCGTTCTCCGACGCGAAGGGCTCAAAGCCGCACAGCCTGCACAGAAGGGAAAGGGACAGTTTACTGGACAATGGGGCGGGACCTTTTGTCGCAGAATGGGCAGGCTGACCGCCTTGGCCTGGCCGGCCGACCGGCTGGCTCGACTTACAGGATGTACGCCACGACCCCGAGGCTCCACATGTCCGAGGCGGGGCCCGCCCCCTCCCCCTTGTTGGCTTCCGGGGCTGCACACACAAACGCAGGAAATGAAAGCCACACGTTTCAACTGTCTACGTGCCTCGCGGCGCTCCGGCCGGAGCAGTGCACCATCATCAAGGGGCCGCGCAGGCCCGCCGGGCCCGCCAGGCGCTGAAGAGACAAACCCCCGATACTCCAGGCGCGAGTGGCTTTTGTCGGTGGCCACTTGGTCGCTCTCGCCAGCACGGAGTATCGTCGAAGTCTTTCACCGTAGCGACCGGCAGTCCGCGAAGGGCGTTGGGGGCTACTCACCGCAGTACGGCGGCGCCGTGGGCAGCAGGTGGTTGACGCCCAGCCCGACGGCCAGCAGCTTGAGCGGCGCCTCCTCGGCCTCGGACGCGAACACCAGCTTCTCGGGGCGCAGCGCGCGGTGGGCGTGGCCGCGCGAATGCAAGCACTGCGACAAGCAACGAACATCAACTTGCTGCGCCTCGCCAAGACCGTCACCAAGACCGTCACCAAGGCAATCTCGTCGCCTGGAAGGTGTCGTGCTGCTTGCCTGGAGGGGCGGACAGGGAGAGAGAGAGAGAGAGAGAGAGAGAGAGAGAGAGAGAGAGAGAGAGAGAGAGAGAGAGAGTGGCGAGGGCGCCGCCGTTACAGGCCTGCGAGTAGGGGGTGGGGGCGTCCCTCGACGAGATGGAGACAGTGTCGCAGCGGCCGCGCCGGGGCCGCGCGACCCCCAACCCTGGCCTACCCGGGCCGACGGCACTTCCTAGCACCGGAAGCGGGGACGCCGGCCAGCCGGGGCGCAGGGGGAGGCACATCACAGCCCCACAGCCCGCCAGCCTCCGCCAGCCTCACGGCGCCGCGGCGTGCCTGTGGCGCCTGTGGCGCTGTGGTCTCGAGCCGAGAAACGGCTACTGTCATCCCGACCGCCGAAATACGCCTCGCCGCCCTCGCTGCATTCTTCGCCTCCACCGCCGCATCTCCATTCCGGGCTTTTCTTTCTCCGCGTCGCGTCGCCTCGTCACCCCGCCCCGTCACCCCGTCTCGTCGCCCCGCCCCGTCACCCCGTCTCGCGGCCCCGTCTCGTCGGCCGGGCCGTGTGGCGGTTCGCGCGGTGCCTTGTCCCACCTGCGGCCGCCTGGGCGCCTCGCGCCATCCGGCCCTTTGATCAGCGCCTGTGACAAACCCGCGCCGTGGAAGGGGGAGGGGGGGTAATGGGCGAGGGGCCTACTCATGCGAAAGGTCAACCACTCCGCCACTGTAAACGCGTTTCTCTCTCTCTCTCTCTCTCTCTCTCTCTCTCTCTCTCTCTCTCTCTCTCTCTCTCTCTCTCTCTCTCTCTCTCTCACGCACACACATACACATATATATACACACACACACCCCTCCTGCAAACACAGAGAGCCGGCCACGAGACATTATGTGTCACTTCTAGTACAAACACCTCGGCCCGAGTTTCACATGCGCGCATATGAAACGTTTACAGAAGCGGAGACACACATTACTTTGTGAGACACCAACCAGGGAGAGGCTAGGCTGGCTGCGGGCTGTGCGCCTCAAGGTTGTTGCTCCGTCGGTATGTGTGAGTCCTGCGAGTTTGTACACACACACACAGAGGCGTGGCTGATGGAAACAGAAATGGGACTCACCTGCAGCGCGCCCAGGATCTGTCGCACCGCCCTGGCCGCCGTCTGCTCCGAGTAGAAGCCCCTCTCCGCGATGCGCTCCAGCAGCTCGGCGCCCTCGGCCAGCTCCAGCACCAGCGTCAGCTCGTCCGCCGTCTCGAACACGTCGCGGATCTCCACCTGCAGCAAGCGGAGCAGGCCGTGAGGCGCCTGGGGGCGGGCCGTGCCGTGCACGCGTGTCCACGTGCCACCCTTGCTGCCCCCAGGCGCCTCCCCAGCCTTCTGAAGGACCCTTCCGACGCTGTCTGTCTCCCTCGCACTCCTGCGGGACGCCCCATGAGTGGGAGAGAGGCAGAGCGACGGTCCTTCGGGACCCGCAGGGCTTGGACTCGAAGGCGTCAGGGGAAAACGGATAGGACTACGTGGGAAACATGGCAGCGCTTCGGTTGGGTCAGTGGGTTGTCTAAAAAAAGGAACAACACTTGAATATTAATGTCAAGGCCCTCGAGGAGAGCCACCCTCCAGGCCCCCTCCCTGTCCACAGAGCCTTTCCGGTTCGGCTTCGGCCGCCTCCGGTTCGGTTCCGGTTCGGTTCCGGTGCCGGCGACGGTTCGGCCCGCGCCAGAAAAGAATGGCGCGCTTTGTCCGAGTGGCAGCACCGCGCGCAAAAAGCGAAGGGAGATGGATTTTCGCGCGGGAAAAGGGAAAGAAAGAACGAATGAAATCCGTGAGCGGAATGGCGCGGCGCTTTGCGGTGTGACATTTGCCGGGACGCGTTTACGGCACTGTGGCGGCCTGGCGGGGCTGGCAGGCAGGGCAGCCAGACGCCAGGCACTCGGCAGTGTGGCGGCTGCAGCGCCGCTTCAGCGAGCCACTTACCACGCCCCACAGTGTCGCAAACAGCATTCATCATTCCGCGCCCCTCGGGGTGTCCTTTGGAAGGGCGAAGGCCGGCGAAGGCTGCCGTCGTTTCGGTTTGGGTCGTGTCGCGTTGTTTTGTTTTCGTATTTGCCCTTTTTTTTCGGCCGAGAAAATGACGCCCCGGGCCAGGATGAAACGGGCCGCGCGCTTGCCCACCTCGGGGGTGGGGGTGGGGTGGGTTGCCTTCCGGCGAGGCTCGACGAGCGGCGTTAAAAAATTAATGTAAACAAGCGTCTTAAAAAGGGGCGGGAATGGCTAAACAGGATCCTGGAGGAGGAGGAGCCCCTCATGAATGAGAGATGCGTCTCACTCCCCGCGAGTAGCCGCGGCAAAAAGCACGGCGGGGAGGAAAGAATCCGATTCATCGCCGCTTCAGTCTGGCAGGTTATCTTCCCACCAGGATATTTTTGCAAGTGTCCTTTTTTTCCCTTTTCGCTCCTCTTCCTTCCTTGAGGACGCGAGGGCCTTGCTCATGGTGATTCATGGGACACCTCCAATGGAAACACGTCGCGCGGGGCGGGGAGGGGCGGAGGGAGGGGTACTCTCCAGCGCGATGGGGCCAACCTGGATTGGTGACCCGGTTGGCATAGGGCGTGTCCTTCCCCTTCCCCCACCCCTCTTCCGATCGCACCGCACACACGCCCACGCTCGGCGCCACTCGTTTGGCGTGCCGACTGCTAATAACGCTGTCTTGCTGTGAATAATGCATGCGGCCCTCCTGCCTGCGAATAACGATGCTGTGCAGGTCGGCGTGTCGGGCGTCCGTGTGTCGCCCGGATGGCCCGGCCCCCCGTCTCGGCGAGGCGAGGTGGTCCCACGGCCCCACTCAGTCCGGCGCGCCGGCACACATTTCAATATTTCGCCGCTTTATGGGGATTTCCGTTTTTGATTCGGCTGGCGCGTGGGATTTATTCGGTGCGCGCGCGTGCACAGCGTCCAGCCGGCCGCAGAGCGTGGGCCGCGCCGATAGGAAAAGCCCCTAACGGGATGGGATGCCGCCCCTCGAAAAGCAAAACTCGGCAAGCAGCCCCTCCGTGGCAAAAAAAAAAAGAACACCCAGTGCTCGCAGATCTATTTCACTCTTTTGTCTCGTCCAGAACGATGGTTTTGTCAGGCTGACAGAAGGCTGCCGTCGCTTTCGGCGGATGTAACAAGGCGGGGCGGGAGGGGGGGGGGGGGGCGGGGGGCGCGCCGATGAAACTTTCATCAGCAGGCCAAGCGTTAGCCCTTCAGCCCTTGTCCGTCGGCCCGCGGCTGTCCGGGGCGCTGCCGGGGCGACCGCCGCCCTGATCGGCATCGCTGAGTACCCGGGACTAGTTTGCCGCGCCACGCCACAAAGGGAGACTGTATTCGATTTATTCCAAGCCAGGATGCCCTGCCCGGTCGGATTGTTGTGGGCGTTCGGCCCGGTGGCCTGGCGGCGCACAGTGGGCCAGAAGACCAGGGGGTGCAGCCAAAACTCTAGACGCGTTTTGAGCTCCGGAGTCGTTCAAGGGGACTTGATCCGAACGTGTGACCCCACCAATGGATTCCTCGTTCGAGGAGCAATCCATTGGTGGGGTCACACGCTCGGTTCGAGTCCCATTTAGCGACTCTGGAGCTCAAAACGCGTCTTGAGTTTTGGCCGCCGCCACCGGTCTTCTGGCCCACTGTGCGGCGTGAAGGCCTGACCCGCCGCGGTCACTGCCTCGGCCCTTGGCCCTAGTCGCGGGCCCGGCCAGGCCCCCGGCCAGGCGGGCAGGCCCTCAAGGTCGCGGCCTTGGAGGTCGCCGCTTGATAGGGCCAATCGTGCCCGTCGTGTGGTAAACACACATGTCTACTGCGCCGCGGCGCGGCAGCCCGGGCCGTGCTACGCCGTGCCACGCGGTGCTACGGCAACCACGAGGGCGGAGAAGCTCAACCCGCAGCGCTGGAATGCCTGGAATTCATCAACTTTTGAGCGGAAAAGGCGCTCGTCCCGTTTGTGTTTCCACTCTCCACTCACCATGTTCGGGTGGCGCAGCTCGCGCAGGTCCGGCAGTTCGTTGTCCACCCTCCGGCGGTCCAGCGCCGACTGCAAACCAAAACAGTCTTAGCCGGTAAAACGATTTAGGTAAAACTAATTACACGCAGGCCCGCCCACAGGCGGCGGCCGGGCAGGCAGGCAGGGCTGCCGGTGACGGGCGCTGGATAAGGCCCTGGACGCTCCAGGAGCAGCCCGCTGGAGCCGCTGGAGCCGCGCTCGCCCAGCAGCCTCGAAGCGCCAGGAGCGGCGACCCTTAACTGCCCCCGTAAACGCGAGGGAGATGAAGGGGGAGGGGGAGTACTCCGGCGGTGGCGAGTTACTGCCGCCGCCTAACGCCCGCCGCCTTGCCGCGCCACACGCGTCGAGTCCGGGCCAATCCGGGCCCCGGGGGCGGCGAGGAGGGCGCCAAGGCCACCGTCGTGGTCAGCAAGGCTCAACTTTTCTCCGACAGAAGGTCCGTCCGGACCACGGACACCCATCCCCGGCTCCTCCTCCCCCCTCCTCGACGTCCCGAAACTTCCGGGCCGGCTGGCCGTGGCTACAGACACGCCCTACAGGGCCTGCAGCCCATGGCCCATGGCCCCGGGGGGTGGAGAACGAACGGGAAATACGAGATGCATTATTAAACCGACATGACCTCGTTCCGGCGTGCCAGCCTGCAGCCCGCGGGGTCCGCGACGACGTCCCATTAGGGGGGAGTACTGCGGCCGCGTCGCCGCGTTCTGTGTGGTTACTTTTTTCGTTCCGGCGCCCCACGCCGCTCCACGCCCCCCGAAAACCCTGGCGAGCCCCGCGGGCAGCGCGGGCAGCGCCCTGCTCCTTCCACTGTGTACCGCCCCGTCCAAACAAGCCATCTCGATTTTTATTCTTGCGAAATTCCATTACCAGTCTGATGACGTCGCGATTTTGGGGCCCGCGCGCCCAATTCCGCTATTTCATTATCTGAGGGGGCGGGCCGGGGCGGGCGAACTGGGAGCAACCACGCTTGATAGTGGCGGGGTGGGGGGATTGCCCTGGCTGGATTATTTAATTGAAGCGTATTGCGGGCAGACGCGCCGACAAGCAGACGGCTTCCCTCCGCGCTCGCCGAGCCGAGCCAGCCCAGCCGGACGAGTCAGCGGAGAGAAGATTCCTCCCTTTGTGTCCGCCTCTCTGACCCGTGCTTCGCGCTCTTACCTTCTTCAGGATCTTGCAGGCGCACTCCCGCTTCCCCTTGAACAGGCACTTGTAGACCGTGGAGGTGGCTCCCCTGCCAGAAAAAAAAAACACAGAGTTGTTAATCATGGTGGCGCCGTCGGCTGGGGGTGGCGGCCTGGTGGCGGCGGAGCGCTGACGCCGTGCAAAACGAGGGCCTCCCTCCAGCAGGCCTTCTTGTCGGCGAGCGAGTCGGCCTTGCGGCGCCGGGCGCCACTGTCTGGTTTCAACATGACGCTCGTGCCGGAGCTATATTTCGGCGGCGGGGACGTCGTGCACACCAATTTAGAAATTAGCAACGGATATAGGCTGGGCTCGGTTACCAGAGCAACACAAGCGTCAAAACTCTGCACGCGAACTTGGAAAAAAAAATGACCGCGGGCGTGGTGGTCACCCAGTCCGGCACGCTTTCACGCCGGCACGCGCGTCGTGACGACGAAGTCGAAAAATGGCCTTCATGGACGCTCTGCTTACGCTCTGCTTACGCTCTGCTTACCTGCCCAGCAGCTCCCCGAGGATGTAGCTGTCGTGCAGGTGCCGGGTTGCGGCGCGCCCCGCGCCGCCCTCCGCCGGCGGTCCGAGCGGCAACCCGAGCTCCACCATCTGCAAACCGCGAGAACAACATGAGTGCCGACAGGCCGACACCACCGCCGCAAACATGGTCACGCGCTGGCCGCTGGCCGCCACACCACATTTGTCTTCCTCCCCGTCATCCCACGCGTGAGAGAGAGAGAGAGAGAGAGAGAGAGAGAGAGAGAGAGAGAGAGAGAGAGAGAGAGAGAGAGAGAGAGGAGGAGAGGGAGGGGGAGAGAGAGGAGAGAGAGAGAGAGAGAGATAGAGCTGTAAAATACATTTGTCGGAGCATCGGCATGCCCCACACGTTGACTGCTTGGGTGATGAGCTCGGTGGCGGAGACGCGGAGACGAGTCTCTCTCTGGCGACGTGGCTCGAGGTAATCCTCCCCGAGACCCTCCTTGAGGCCGCTCGAGGCGCACCGCTCGAGGCGCCCCATTTGCGCGGCCCCGCGCCGCACTGCCAAAACTAACGCACGCCTCGCGCTCCTCGCGCCACGCAGCCAATTAGAAGCCCAAAGGGACTCCCGGCGGCGCGACACCGTAAGTGAAGGAGCGCGGACTTGGCAAAAGTTTATCGCGGAGCGACCAATTCCCGTAAACGGCGAGAGCCACGCGACGGTGTTGCACTGGATGAAAAAAAAGTAAAGAAGTTGAATTTTAGGAGGAAGTTGCTTGACGACGCGGTGTATCCCTGGCGCTCACCGTTTAAGAAATGCAGACACCTCAAGCCGCGTTCTCACTTGCGTAAAAGCACTCAGGCACTCCGTTTGCCGCCAGAAAGCGAGAGATGCTCGTTACTCTATTTTTAATCGTCCATTAGGGCCGGCCCCTCCGCGGGCCCTCCCTGCAGGCACGCCTGCATGTCAACACAAAACACGTGCGTCATCGGGGGACATATTTGGCGGCTGGGCGGCGCCGGCTGTGTCTGCTGCGCTGCATACGGCGTCACATGGACACACACAGACACAGACCTTCATTCTTTTTCCGTCCCGGCGTGTATGGAAACCAGAAAGAACGGACGGCGGAAAAAAAAAGAACTACCACGGGGAAACCCATTAACACCTGAGTACAGTATGCACCGCGCTCGGCCAGCGCCTGCCGGTGGAGTGGCTAATTCGGCCGGTAGAGTGCGGGCCGTGCCGTGTCCCCGCGCAGCATTCCGCGCGGGAAAGTGCGACAAAAACAACATCAAAAACGGCAGGAACAAAACCGCGTCGCCGTAGCCCCTGCTCGTAATCGAACCCCGCTCCGGCCGCGCCGCTCAACAGCGGGCTGGCTGATCGGCGGCAAACGGTACCGTGCCGCGCGGCTCAAGCTCAAGGTCGCCGCAGGCTGTGTGTGTGTGTGTGTGTGTGTGTGTGTGTGTGTGTGTGTGTGTGTGTGTGTGTGTGTGTGTGTGTGTGTGTGTGTGTTTGGGGTGCTGCTGGCGGCAACAACAAGCACGTCAGCAGGGTGGCCTGCTTGGCCTGCTTGGCCTGCAGCCAGCGCACGGTGTGGTGCACGCCGCCAGACAGGGGAGGGGGCACTCGACACTCGAGGAGGAGGCGCGGCGCGTCTCGGCGTCGGCGTCACCCTCCCGACCCGAGGCGCCCGGCAGGTAGGCAACGTGGGGGCCGCCCCGCCTTGGCGTTGCCTACCTGCCGGGCGCTCTCCTTCGCGCCCCGACCGCGCCCCGCCCGCGCCCCGACCGCGCCCCGCTCCTCGCGCTCCACCCCATCGGCTCGATATGCGACGGCATAAAAGGCGGCGTGTCCTTGATATGATACACTGGCGGCCAAAGGCGGCCGAAGCCCACTACTTGACACTGTTTCAAAATAGGCGGCGCAGTCTGGGATTCGAAAACGGCGCCGCCGTTCTCGGCGTTGTGGCGTGCAAGCAGCGTGCTGGCGGCCGACGTACGTACGCCCCTGTCGCGCCTGCCACTCTGACATGGCCGTCGGGAACACTCTCACACACACACGCACGCATACGAGACGCGAGACGCGTTCTCCTGACGACGCGACGCCCGGCGTGCCGAGAAAGGCAATGCAAGCCCGGTGCGGCCCGGTGCGGCTTCTGGACGCTTCCTCGACTTGTCAACGAGCGCGTTTGGCCCCGCCGACCCACTTAAGCCACTACACTGCTTCAGCTCGCTGCTCCGCGGCGGCGGCGGCTCCCAACGCACGCCGCCGGGCAAGCACCTTGCGGCGCAGAGGCCCTGCGTCTGACGGGGACGCGGTTTAATTTCGCGCTTCTTTCTTAAACGAGGCTCAGCGGAGCGGGCTTTTCTTTTTCCTCGTCACTTTTTCCCTTCCCACCTGGCGGCGGCGGCCGCACCGTCCGCTCCTCTGTCGGCGTGCTGAGCGTCTTTCCGGCCGCTGCGTCACTGCATTTCCGGCTCGGCTCCAAGTCGACCAAGTTGGACTTCCGCCTCATTAAAAGTTGAGAGCTCAGCGGGGGGGGGGGGGGGGGGGGGAGCTTCGCGCGTTATTCCGTCGCGTTATTTTAGAATGACACACTCCGCGCCAAGAACAATGACACGCCCGACGCGAGGTGGCGGGGCGGGGCGGGGCGGGGCGGGGCGGGGCGGTGCGGGGCGGCAGCACCACTTGGTGGCCGGGACCAGGCGCTTCGTCGCCCACCGACATTAATGAACTCTCCCGGCTCTCTGGGCTTTGGCTCCGGCTTCGGGCTTTAATTTCCATTTCATGACGAGTTTACAACACGAGGGATCTTGATTAAAATTTGAATAAACGGAAAAGTTTTATTGAGTAATGCACGAGCACGCACTGCAACTCACACACATACGCACGCAAGCGCGCGTCCACACACACACACACACACGCGCGTACACGCGCGCTTTAGCTCTTTGTATCAAACTAATAGAGTAGAGTGCTGTGGAATGCGAACGGAATCCGAGAGCCCGGCGGCGTCCGTAACCTTGTTAACGCTGTAAGCCACGCGCCCTCGCCCACCACCAAGCCACGCCACGCCACGTGCGGTTCGGCGTCCTCACGATAATAGGGTGTATTTCCGAGGGCACACACGCGCCGACATTTTCGCTTCCAGTCCCACAATGTGTCACTGCTAACAGCGGGCCGCGCGCGAAGAGATAAAGGATTACACACAGACGCACACATAGGCCCACATACAGAGGGGGGGGAGGAGAGAGAGAGAGAGAGAGACGCGCGTACCAAGCACATGCACTCTGGTTCGTGATGGCGCGCGAAGCATGCACGCATTTGAGTGCCGCATTTGCTGTATCACGCCGCGGCAGGCTTTGCCGCTCAACAACAACAAGACCAACAACAACAACGACGCCAGCAGTGCGATAACCCGCGCAGGCGGAAGCCAGGGCAGCACGCGTCTGGCCGGACAGGCGGAGCGGAAGACGCGTGGCGAGGCGTGGCGTGGCGAGGACGGAGACGGGGCCGCGCTTTCGGGCGCGGCTGCACTGCTAGGGGACTCCCTGCCTCCAGCGCACGGCACGGCAGCAGCAGCAGCGGCCAGTAGTTGCCGGCGACCTTGGCGAGGCGCGGCGCGGCGAGGCACAGGCGGCGGGCCGGGCCGGCCGAGGTGGCTGACCTACTGCTGCTGCGGCGCTACGGCGTCGCCTCCTACAAGCACTCCATCATCAGGGTCAACTGATTGATCACTGGGATCGCTGGCACTGAGGCGCGAGGTTTGGGTCGCCAGGTGCCGAGGGGGACGACGCCAGCCCGGCCGGTCCGGCCCAGCAGCGGGCCCAGCTCGCTCGTGCTTGAATTAATTTGGCCGTCTTGGTCGTCCCTGCGGTGTCGTGGCAGGGCCGGGCATGGCACGGCCAGGCTGCGCAAAGCAACACAGCTCCGGGGATTCGAACCCACACCGCCCACACGCAGCCTGCGGGCTTTAGGCGGACTCGTCTTGCTGCTTGCTCGCTGCTCAGTGCTGAGCCACTCCGTCTCTCTCGCACTCCCAGGACGTCCGTGAGTCAGTGCGAGAGAGACGGCAGGTCGGCCCTGCGCGGCCTTGCGCGATCTCGCTCCATTGCGCCGCGCATCGCTCGGTCCGTACTGGTCCGTTCGCGCACCGCGCGCCTCGCACGGCGGCACGGCCAGAGCCCGGCCAGCCCAGCCGGCAGAGCCACGCAGAGAGGAAAGAAAGAGGGAAAGCAAATCGGGCGGCAAATTGGTTCGGGCTGCGTGGCGCGCTGTGTGCACGTCGAACGTCGAACGGTGCAGTGACGGGACGGGCGTGAGATAGGGAAAGAAAGACGACGCACGCGCAGAACCCGCGTGGAACGCGGTCAAAACGGTTCCTGGCTTTTTTTTTTCAGGAACTCCCTAGAAATCGCCTATGCCTCTACCATAGGCTTCCAGGGAAAACCAGGTACCGTTTTTACCGTGTAACGATCACGGTCGCCGGGAGGAGAAGACAGGGGCCCGAAACCACTCGCTGGCTGCAAGTCGAACCAGACCGGGGCCCGGCGCCGAAAGGCCACACCAAGGCAGCGTCCGAAGACCGTCGATCCGGCGCACATGGAACCAGAACGGCTGAATAAACTTATCTGAACACTGTCGGACGGAGGCAAGCAGCCGAACGCAGCGAAGACACAAGCCGTTCAGACACTAAGAGCCTGATTGTTCCGAGCGGGAAGTGGGAGGGCCGCCTGGCTGGCGTTCGGATGTCCCCCCCCCCTTCCCCTTTTCCCTCCCCGTCCCGCGGCTGTGGACGCCTCTATCGGCGGCTTCGGCTTCGGACGCCTCGGCGGGCGGCCCCGTCTTGGCGTCGCCCAGCGTCACCTCGGCAATCAAATCACGCCATCAAGTGCAGCACTGAGCGCGGGGCACCTGCCCTCCCCCCCCCCCCCCCAGGGGACCCTCCACTCCCCGCGGCGCGCGATAGCGACAGCAAACTTATTTGACCTTTCCCTGAGGACCGCGGCACCGCGGCGGACATGACATGGCGGCGACGCCAACAGGAGTTTGCGGCAGTGCTGATGAGGTCCTCGCGCGGACGGACGGACGGACGGACGGACGGACAGACAGACAGACAGGCGGGTGCGTGGGCGGCCTGCAGCGCGTGGCCGGTGTGGCGGTGATGCGCTCCATTCAGGGTCCGGCGAGTGCGGCACCCGGAGCGCCCGGAGCAGGCCGCCCCCTGGCCGCCACGAGCCATGGACGGCCGGCACACTGGAGTCGCGGCCGGCGCCGTGCTGTGCGTGCTGCTGACCGCGGTGAGTAGCGGCCAGGACGACGACGTGCTCATTTTTTTGGGGAACCGCCATCGAGACGCAGATAAACAGATAGCGCGCGTCGAGTAGTCTCAGGTAGCCCCGCCGCCGCCCACCGCGGGCCGGAGGCCTTGTCTCGGTCGACATGACTGTCCTCGTATTTGAGATCCGCAGTCCTCAAGCGGAGCGCGAAATCACGTCGTTATATTGCTATCACGTTATGACAATCGCAGTCCTGGTGGGTTGCCGTTCGAACGGCGCAATCAGGCGTCTGCCTCAAAGTCATTCTCGGCAAACGCAACCGTGTGAACGGCCACGCTTATCTGTTGCTGCAGTGGTTCGAAACCACACACAGTTCAGCTGTCGGCAGCGTGTCTGAGGACTTGTTGAGTCGAGCTCACTGAAGTGTCAAGGGTGGCCGTGGTGCGCGGCGCGTCGGCGCGCCTTCTGAGCCCGCCGTGCGCGCCGCCCCGCCCCCTGAAACGCACAGGGCGTTACCTGTGGGGCGAACTAAGTACCCTCTGGTTTTAATTAAAGCGCCCTCGCAAGGGCTGGAGCCGCGGCTGGAGCTGGACGGCCTAATTGATAGCTCGCCATGGCAGGGCCGTGGCGTGGCCGTGGCGCCATAGGGCTTGCTACCCCGCTCCCGTGGGGCCGATGCCGAAGTTTCGAAAAGGCGCAGACCTGGAAACTACAACGCGTGCATGTCGAGGCGCGCGCGCCGGTCCCGAGAGTTCCCCGGGGCCTTCTGTTGTTAGCGTTCAGTCCCGCGAAAGAAAATAAAGTAGAGAGAGCACGCGGGAGCACCTGGGGGAGGGTGCGCTACAGTGCACAGTGAGCCAAAAGACCGGTGGAGGCGGCCAAAACCCTAGACGGGTTTTGAACTCCAGAGTCACGTAACAGGACGCGAACCGGACGTGTGACCCCACCAATGGATTCCTCGTTCGGAGAGCAATCCATTGGTGGGGTCATACGTTCGGTTCGAGTCTCATTTAGCAACTTTTGACCACACAACGCGTCCAGGATTTTGACCGCCTCCGCCGATCTTCTGGCCCACTGTGCTGTGTACAGTCCAAACACGGCGTCGGTATACAGTGCCGTACAGTCGCCACAGGTGTGACGCGACGCGACACTGTCCGCGACACTGTCGGCGCCGCCGCTCCCATTACATTACGCAAGCGCGCATCCAGTGACCCCAACGCAAATGTGGTGACCTTGTCGCCTCGCATCGCCGGCCAGCAGTCAAATTACGCGTGGGCTGTGCGCCACGGGCAATAGGCCTGCACGGGCAGAGTCGCCGGCGTCACTACACCCACAGGCACAGAGCGGTGATGATTGCGGCGGAGGGCGACATTCGCAAAGAAATACGACTGCGCCGTGTTTGTCGCGTTGTGCATACTCCGCTTTATCTCGACAATGCCCTCCAATCGAACTCGAAATCGAATGGGCGCGCGGTGGAGTGGAAGGGGGAGGGGGGCGATTATGGATGTACCTATTGGCAAAGCAAACACCGAACCCGGCGGCGGGCGCAGCGTCGCGAAGCCGCGGCCTGCGGTGTTTGCCAGGGGAAGGGGAAGGGGAGGCGTTGTTGGTGCCACGCCTGACTGTACCTACTCCTGCCAAATGATCGATAGAATCTTTGGTTACAATGCAAAGACCGATGAAGTTTCAGTAAAGAGGGGTTTTTCTCCTCTTAACGCAGTTGGCGGGGTGCAGCGACGCACGATCACCGATCCACACGACGCCGCCGCCGACGGCGACGACGCCGTCCTCGCCCTGGAGCCTGCGGCGCATCCTGGACCGCGTCCCCGTGCTGCGGCGCCTGTTCCCCGCCGAGAACGCCGAGCAGAAGGAGAAGGCCGTGGACGACAAAGTGCTGGCGCCGCAAGAGCAGACGACGCCGGAGTTCTACGACGCGACGCCCGACTACTCCGTCACCGACTACTATGACGAAGTCCCGACGCCGTCCTTGCCGACGCTCCCGCCGTCCTTGCCCACCGGTCTGCCCCCGGCCGGGAACGCCACGACGGCAGAGCCGCCCGCGACCTCCGCGTCCCCGCCGCCCGACGAGCAGCCCCCGCCGACGGAGGGCCCGCCGTCGTCGTCGCCGCCCCCAGCACCTCCCGACGAACCAGATGAAACGCCGACAATGCCGGGTCCACCGCCGGCAGAGCCAGCCCCACCTACGGAGGAATCTCCTCCACCTGCCTCGTCGCAACCACCACCACCTGCCTCGTCGCCCGAACCTCCACCACCTGATTCGCCACCAGACCCTTCACCGTCTGCGTCGTCACCAGAACCTCCACCACCTGCCTCGTCGCCCGAACCTCCACCACCTGCTTCGTCACCAGAGTCTACACCACCTGCCTCGTCACCAGAACCTCCACCGGCTGCGTCGCCGGCCCCACCACCACCCCCACCGCCGCCAGCCCCGACTGCGTGTGTTCCACAAGCGTGAGTACAACGTGCAGCTCGCCCCTTGTCTTTGTGTCCCGCAACACAAAGCACTGGCAACTCGCTTCTGCCCCCAGCGCGAAGACCAAGACCGTCGTGTACGTGCCGCAGCCCGTCATCCGCTACGGCTACTTCCCCAGGCCGCCGCCGCCCAGGCCGCCGCCGCCAGTGATCGTCGTCAACAGCCAGGTGAGTGGTATTCGAACCCGCGACTTTGCTGCCCGGACGCCGAGTCCTGTCCACGTGTCGGTGAGGCAAGGCGACCCGTGGCAAGGAACGTGTATGCTCACCCGGTCCGTCTGTCTTCGCCCTCCGCAGATCCAGCCCGCGGTGGACTGCCCCGGCGCCCCCGCGGCCCCCGCGGCCGCCCCCGCGCTCGCCGCCGGCCCCGGAGTGATTGTGCTCAACACCCAGGGGGACACGCCCGTGGTCCAGGTCGGGCGGGACGGCCGGACGTCGCGGCCCCCGGTGGTTCGCCTGCCGACCGCAGCGGGGAAGTAGTGGCGCCAGTAGCGCTCCGTGCCCCGCACGCAAGCAGCAATCACTTAGAACCGCCCGGACCACCTCCAAACTTTGGCGCACAAGCCGCGCAAGTTGTCCAGGGAAATTAGGACAGGCCGCAGCCTCGCAGCCCTCGATGGCGCTCCACTCCGCCTTTCAACTCGCCGCTCGCTCAGCCCCGCGCTGTGCTCCGCTCTGCCGGGCCGGGCCGGGCCAAGCCGCGGGCGAAACAATGCCGAAGGGATCCCTGCGAAGCGCTCCGTGAAGCGCTCCGTGAAGCACCGCGCGGCCTTTCCACTCAGACAGTCTGGGCATTCCCGCGCACTACGCGTCGAGCGCGAAAAGCAGAAATTCCGGCGCCAGGTGGCGCTGGATTCGCTGCACTGCGGCGTGCCGAGAGCCGCCCCGACGCGCCGGGCCCTCGCTTCGCCCTTCGCCCTTCGCCCTGCGCCCTTCCCTTCGTGCGTGGCGGAGCGAGGCGCGACCACCGGCCGCGGCGAGGCTTTGAAATTCAAATTGCAGCCCCATCGGCCTCCTTGGGGCCCTGCGGCTCGCCCTGCGGCCATGCGGCTCGTCCGGCCGGACCTCCTCGCGATGGACAAGCCGGTCGCGAGCTTCCGCGCCAGCCTCGCACGTGCGTAGCTGGAGCCTAACTTGCGGAGGGGTAATCGCATTGGGGGTGCCCCGCCCCGCCCCACCAAGACCACCACGCAGAACGACCGACCGACCGACCGACGGGACTGCCCGCCGCCGCCGAAGTAGGCCAATCGCCTACCCGACCCTTGGACCTCAGCCTCCGCCGGGACTCGAACCTGTCCCCGATGCGCAGGGCGCACACTGTGCTACGTGGCCTCGACCCTCCCCAGCACGCCCCAGCCCCCGTTTAACCCTTGTCCAACTTTTATTCAAAGTCGCGCGCGGTCGGGCGGTCCCCAGGGCGTCCTCCCTCTGTCGGGACGGACGGGACGCACGGGACGGCCCGGGACGCGGGTGGACTGCCACTGGGCGCTGCTGGGCCGTGATGAACAGGCAAAGGAACAGCTTGGAGGAGACGCAGCAGCGGCTGCAAGGGGGGGGGGGGATACCGAGCGAATGCAGAGCAATGCAGTGGCCGGACACACGGGGACTGCGATGCCCCTCCCCTCCCCCACCCCCTCCCCCTCCCCCTTCCCCTCGCCGACTGCTGTTGCTGCCGTTTGGTGAAGCAGAAGCGGACCGGACAGGGTCGATCCATATTGTTCCGCAGACACTCTCCGAACTGTTTCATTTCATCGAGTGAGCCTGGCTAGAGTGTTCGCGTTTATGACTTGCATTCCACAAAATGGTAAGTCAGAAAGTAGTAAAAGCAACGAGTTGGTCCAAAAAATTTGAGAAGAAAATTTAAAAAAAAAGAAGTTTTTTGAGTAAACATGAGTGCGTATGTTTCGTTGGAGTTTACCTCCTTCACGGCGTCACGCTGGCGGTGGCGTGCGACCCACGCTTGGCACTTGATCGCACGCTATGCGCAGCCCACGGACGGAGGGGCTTACTGTGGCGCGGGAAAAACACTCTTTCGGTTTTAAAGGCCGTGGCCGTACCCTGAAAAGTAGCACGCAGCCAGCCATTCGCCCGGGTAGAGCGCCTTGCAGGTAGGCAACACGCTCCCTTGCAACGCACGGGTGCGGGCGGGTGGCCTAACCGGCGGGCGCTAGAGCGCCTGCGAGGTAGGCCATGCGCCCGCACCCGTGCGTTGCAAGGGAGCGCGTTGCCTACCTGCAAGGCGCTCTCTCTCCACGGACATACTGACGCTGAGGCACGAGGCCGGCACGCGCCCCGAGGCTGGGCGAGGCGACCACCACTTTGTCAATCAAGAGTCCTTTCCTTTCCACAGGTCGATGGCGGGGCGCGGGGCGGTCCCAGCCCGGTGGCGGTGGCGGCGAGGAGAGTTTCCCGAACTCTGCAGACTTTGCGTTTTCCCAGCTAATGACAGCATAATCGCAGGGGAGGCCGCGAGCCGCAAAAAAATGGTGGAAAAAAATGGCGGTATCAAAAAGTTGCGTCCCGTCGTGAGCCGGAGACGACGACGGGACGGCTCCCGAAGGCCTCGCCGTTTGGCGGACGAATTTGCAGCGTTTACCCCCTGAAGCCAGGACCACTCCGGGGGCCGCAGTAACGGCTTGCGCCCCTCGAACATTAAATCCCACAGCAAACTTCGGGGCCGAGCCGACGGCAGCCGACGCCAAGCCGACGCCGTGCCGACGCCGTGCCGACGCCGCCAAGCCGACGGCAGACCGATCGGGGCGCGCGAACAGCTCAACGTGCCCCGCCTACTGGTGTCCGCAAGTACGGGGGAGGGGGGGGCCGATAAATTACCAAAGTGCGCAGATACGCACGTTTGGGTGGCGCGCGGCTCGGCACGCTCACGCACAGCCCGCGGCGCTGTGCGCGGGGGGAGCAGGGAGAGAGGGGAGGGTGCTCCGGGGAGAAATAACGTCCCCGAGGTCGACGGTGGACCACTGTAAGGCGACACCAGGGTATCGAACGGAACTGAGCGCCGCGTCAGCGGGCTGGAGGGCCGCGGGTTCGAGACCCGGTCCCGGACGTCATTTTTCCAACCGTTACGGAGGCCGGGCTGACGCTGCGACGGCGTTGTCGACGCTCTGTCTCCCTCGCACTCATGGGACGTCGCGTAGGTGTGAGAGAGACGGAGCGATGCAGGCCTTGCTCGTGTTCAGCCTGCAGCAGCAGCACGACCGAGTCGCTTGGCTGGCAGCGGCACGGCACGGCGCCACGCCCGTGCATGGCGGCAGGGTGCTTGAGGGAGGCCGTGCCGCGCCGTGCCGCGCCGTGCAGCAGCATTATCGATTGAGTGGATTGATGGTCAGCAAGGGGACTGTGCATGGGCTTTCAGGCGAACATGGGGGTGGGGGCGTTTGAAGCGCCGAACGACGCCAACCGCGTCGCGTCGTCGCGTCGTCGCGTCTTCCAGCCCGCTTGGGCGCTCCGCGCTCCGCACTCCGCACGGCGCGGCACGCGAGGCGAGGCGCCGTTCGCGAAGCGGGACAAAAATAGGCGGCTAATCATCGATTGGGGTGGATGGACTGGCCGGACCAGTGTGGGCGCGTTTCTCATACCTCGACGCGTGCATTTCGCCGACAACGCCACAATGGCTTTAATGCGCTCTCAATTTGTTGTTATCGCTTTCCGCTGCGTTTTCCTCTTTGTTTCTGCACGGCGGCTTTTGTTATTGCGCGGCGGCAAAAAGCGTCGGCTATTTCCCAGCGAAGCATGGCGGCGGAGCGCGAGCGCATGCTCCTCCAGCTTGACGGAAAAGTTTCGCCATACCGAAAACTTTCGTCCAAACTGTTAGAGGGCGCGCGGCTGTGAAATTAGAGGTACTTTCCGCGGCTCCGAAATGGCGCGGTATTGAGCGAAAACGGGCGAAGCGAAGCAAGCTCGCGGATTCGGTTTTGTTGTGTCGGCAACGGTGGGGCGCGTTAACCCACCAAGTTAACACACGGTTCTCTGCTCGCTGGCCGCTGGCCGGCGGGTCGGCCTCGCAAAGAGGGTACTCCGGCGTGAAGGGGTGGGTCCCCGAGCAGGGCGGGCAGGGTCGACGTCCAGGTATTCAGACACCAGCCGGCAGCCAATAGTGGCGACGAGCCCTCGCTTGCCCTGGCGCGCCGTGGCGGCGGGGGGGTCGGTGTTTAAAATACATCAGCAGGGCTCTCGGTTCCACGTCGTCGCCGCTCCCAAAGAGGAGGAGAGGGGGCCAAGGCGAGGTTGAAGGGCCGCCGACAGGGACAGGATCGTCGCCAAGGTGATCCCTCGAGGCGGCCGAAGGCGGCCCGCTGGACCCGGCCGTCGTGGCGAGGCGTGCCACGCGGCCGCGCGTCCCCGTGTCGGCCAAACAAACGGGAATAGGAAGGGAAGCAGGGGGCGTTGATTGCAGTGGGGCCGGCGGGGCCAGCCGTCCGTCCAGCGCGGATGTCGCCGCCCCCCTCTGCCCCCGGCCCCCCGGCGCGCGGGCACGAGGGAAACAAGGCACACGCTCCGTGCGCGGGAGACTCAAACAGAGAGGGCACAAGCCCTGCTGCGAGGCAATATACATTCCAGAGACATCGCTGAGTCGGAAGGGACACTCTCGGAAACGCGTCAAGAAGGGAAATGAAAGCAAACAGTACACGCGGAGAAACAGTTGGTAAATTGTGTATATTGTAAATGACAGCTTCTTTTCTCTGTGATGCCTTAAATAGTTTGTTTGGTTTTGAGGGTGTGCGCACACAGCCAAATGGACGTTTTAATGCATTCTGCGTCGGGGCGGCCCTCCGGCTTAGCGCTGGCGCAAAGAGACTCGTACTTCATTATAGAGGGGGGGTCTGGGAGCGGCGCTGCCGAGCGCTGCAGCTGCAAAGTTGATGAGGGAGGCACCACCTGGACAGCCTGGGCGTGGACGCCACCTGGCTCCATATTCCGGGCGGCGGTTTTGCCGCGCACCGCTCGGAAAACCACCAATCGCTCCTCGAAATTGAACCCCCTCATCCGTCACACTGTAGCGGGGTGAACGATGACCAGCGCACTGTCTTCAGTGTTTGGTCCGTTTCTTGCCTCTCGTCCGCCGCACGTTTCCACTCTGATTCCGCCTCCTTGTTGTCCCACAGCGCGGCCAGTAGACATAGGCCTGGGCGGATTGGATCCAGATTGACATTGCGGATCGCCGGGCTCGGCTCCGCTTCCCTTCGGTGTCCGGCTCGGCTCGGCTCGGCCCGGCTCGGCCCGGCTCGGCTCGCGTCGTGGGGACGACCTTAATCCGCGAGAGTCAACAGCTTGCCTCGCAGCGTTAAACGACTTATTGATTTTGCTTTTCTTGCCCGGTTCATCGCGAGGGAGAGGGAAAAACGGATCGCGTCGCGTTACTTATTGAATCATCGCCCTCTCTCCTTCCCTCCATCCCTCCCTCTCTCTTTCTGTCTCTTCCCGGTTGTTCTCCGCCGCTCCTCCGAGGGTGCAGCTCCGCGGAATGCCGCGGGGAGGCACCATGAAGGCACGCTGCCGGAGCCTGCTAGAGTCGCCTTACTCCGCCAGCAGACTGATACCGAGTCTCTCTGTCGCACTCATAGGGCGCTCCGTACCGGTGCGAGAGAGATAGAACCACGGCCGCACAGGGCGGACTCAGGCTACAGTGCATTGCCAGTGGATCCCTCTCCTCCTGCGCCCCGCTACGCCCCGCCACGCCCCGCCACGCCCCGCCACGCCCCGCCACGCCCCGCCACGCAGCGGGTGGCTCCACGGCACGGTCACAGGCGGGGAGCGACTCCGGCTGCTCTCCTGTATCCACGGGGAGCGCGCGGCAAAAGACGCTATGAAAAATTCAGCAGCGATACGCGAGAACTGGACCGATAAGTGTATGGTGATGCGGCGGCGGCGCGCTGCATCCAACGCCCACGCCGTTAGCCGCGGAGTCAAGGGATATGGGCACGCAGACGCGCAGTCGACCAAAAGACCGCGGTGGAGGCGGTCAAAATCCCGGACGCGTTTTGAGCTCCAGGGTCACCAAAAGGGACTCGAGCCGAACGTGTGACCTCACCAATGGATTGCTCTCCGGAGGAGGAATCCATTGGCGGGGTCACACGCTCGGTTCGAGTCCAAAAAAACCGTCTAGAGTTTTGGCCGCCGACACCGGTCTTCTGGCCCACTGTGAGACGGGCCAACCGAAAAAGCAGACAAAAAGACAAACAGACGACGAGAAACAGACACATTAGTCAAACAGCCAGACAGACGGCGGCGTGGGCAAACATGCGGGAAATGGCCAGAAATGGCGCGCACTGCCTGGCAGCCCGGCTTTCCGGAAAAGGCAAGGCACGGCGAAAGCATCCGCAACGCTCGCTCATAAATCGTTAATTATCACTCCCTTTAGTCTGTAGCGGACTTCCTGTTTGTTTGCCGCCGATTGTTTTCGCGGGCGAATGGGGCCCACTTTGTCTCCGCTATCTGCCCACCCGCCCCGCCCGCCCCGCCGAGAACGCCTCCGCCGCGCCCGGCGGCGTGCGGCAGGTGCTAGACGCTGCTCGCCTGGCAGTGGCAACGCTACCTTTTTATCAGACCAGCGCCGCCAAGTCCGCGCGACGAGCCGCCACGAGCGGGATACAGGAAGTCGACCCTCTCCGCTTCCGGCGCGACGTTCAGCACGACGACGACGACGGGGCGACGGCCACCACGACGGGCATCTCGGCCTGCTTCTGCACCAGCTGCACCAGCACGCGCACGGCCGTGGCCGTTTTGGCGGGAAAGCGCGCGAGCACGCGGGAACCGCGGCAGGGGCAGGGCGCGGAGAGAGAGGCGGCAGACACTACCGACCGGCTCCGTGGGCGAACACAGACTGGCGCGGCGCGGGCGCGCGGACGGCAGTGGCGGCGCCGTGCGGGCCCCCGCGGCCCCCGCCACGCCCGCCACGCCCCGCCACGCCCCGCCACGCCCGCCACGCCCCGCGAGGGGAGGGGCCCGCTCGCTCGGTCCACCGCCAGCACCGCACACATTGTTGCGGCCTTCACTGTGTGTGTGGAGTGTGTGTGTGTGTGTGTGTGTGTGTGTGTGTGTCTGTGTGCTGAATTTGTTAGCTCTTCGTGTAAAACTTTTCAGCTGCGAAATAAAGAGGGATTCAAGAGGATTACTACTTCAAACAAAACAAAAGTATGAGTCTAATTAGCGGAAGGATGACAAGGAGAATGACGGAAAGCGCCAATAGTGATGTGCGAATCGATCAGTCTCGAATCGAATCGAACAAGGGCACATTTGATTCCATTCCAAGATGAATCGAAGTTGATAAACGCCATTCATGTCTAATTAAAAAAGGGAGAAAATGGACACTTTTTTGCTATTTGGCCCAAAATAATGCGGCTTCGTTTCCGCGAAAACGCGAATCGAATCGAATGTGCCCCGATTCGAATTGATTCGATTCGGTTTCGAGGCATCGGCACACCACTAAGCGGTGCGCTACGCGGCGCTACGCGGCCGTGGCGTTGCGGACGTGCACGGGCAGCCCCAGCAGGCGCTCGGCGATGAGCAGGCCGGTGTCGCTGCCCTGGTTGTCGAAGGGCGCCGCGGCGTCGGGGCCCTCGCAGTACAGGCTGACGCTGCCGTTGGGCCACAGGCACTGCTTCTTCAGCAGCTGGAAGCGCGTGACGAGGCGGCTGTGCGGCCGCACCAGCATCACGTAGGCCAGGTTCCAGACCGCGTGCTGGCAGGCGTTGTCCGGCGACCACCACAGCTCGCCCACCACGCCCTCCACCACCTCGGGCACGTCGTCGTCCTCGCCGACCACCCGCGGCTCGGCCTGCAGCAGCCGCGCGCGCGGGATGGAGATGGCCCTCTCCACGCGGATGAAGGTGGAGAAGTCCGACGCGCTGCCACGAACAACGGCCTCGTGAGGGACGGGTTTTTACACATGGATAGACAGCATCTGCACCACCTACCTGTAGTTGTACTTCATGGACTCATCTGGGTTTGAATCAAAGAAGTCAGGGAAGTAGTCTATCACATCAGAATCGTCGTCGTCCTCGCCCTCGTCGTCTTCAGGCTCGTCCTCTTTCTTTTCGTCTTTTCCATCCTTGTCCTTCCCGTCCATGTTCTTCTCGTCCTTGCCATTCCCGTCCTCGTCCTTCGCGTCCTTGTCTTTCACGTCCTTGTCCTTCACATCCTTGACCTCGTCGTTGTCCTTCTCGCCCTTGTGATCCTCGTCCTCGACGTCGTCGACCTCTTCGACCGGGTGACGGCTCAGGAAAGGCAGTGCGACGGGCTCCTCCAGGTACTTGGAGTCCTTCTCCCCCTGCCACGGCAGCCCGCCGTACGACATCAGCAAGGCCATCATCTGCGCATCACAGAGAACCGAGCACCAAGTGAGTACTACACTACATGGGCTTCATTAACATTCAACTCCCACTATCTCCGCGCCACTTACGTCATCCTCCGAAGTTTCCCGGGCCCACTGCGCCGTGCTGGCGTCCGTCAGGTTGTCGCAGGCGCGTTCCACCTCCTCGGTGGAGGTCTCGGAGGGGGTCTCGGTGGTGGCCTCCGCTCTGCGCGCGCGGGGGTGGCGCGCGTGGACGTCGCAGCACGCGAGCAGGGCGGCCAGCGCCGCGACGGCCAGGGCCTTGTGGGGGCCTCGGCTCTGCGGACACCAAAGACCGCCAAACCCCGCTAAAAATAATGCACCCCTTTTCACGTGCCGTGCCGTCGCCGGCCGCGCTGAGTCGCATTAGGTGCGCTGGAGTGCGGGCTGGGGTGGCTCGGGTGGCTAAGCCGCAGGTGGGGCGCCGCCTCGCCTCACCCTGCAGGCCCCGCAGGCCCCGCAGCCTGCTCCAGCGGTCGTTCCAGAGTCCGCCGCAGCGGGTGCCGTCTTTACGACGAGAGTGGCTGGCCGGGCGGGGCTGGAGACTGGCTGCCGGAGGGTCGTTCTCGTCGCTCTGTCTCTCTCGCACCTGCACGTAACGCCCCATGAGTGCGAGAGAGACGGCGCCAGGAGAGCGACCCTCGGCACCAGTGTGCTTCCTTCGACGGCTACGGCGCGATGCTTGGACGTCGTCACGCCCGTTTACTTCACGACTCTGCGGCGCGGGTTCGATTCCCTGCAGCGGCCGCGTGCGGCTGGCTCTGGGAGGTGTCATTTTTCACTTCCGCTTCCTCCACCCACTCACTGGGCTACTTCCTCTGTCGCAGCGTTAGAAGAAGGAAAGGGGTCAAAGGGTGTGTGCGTCAGCCAAGGCGTGGGCGTGTGCGAGGGGAGGGGGGAGGGGGGGAGAAGGTCAGGGGCAGTGGAGCAGGCCGGCCGAAGCCCGCCTGGGCGCTGGGGGTAGGGGGTTGGGGTGGGGCGGCGGCCTCTGGGCGGCAGGCGGGGCGGGCGGCGCGCTCTGCCCGCGATTAATCTCCGTCCAGATTTGGAGAAGCGATTGCGAGAATCCCCGGACAGCTCGGCCGGCTCGGAACGGCTCGGCACGCATCGCCGCCGCGGGACGGAGGGAAGGAAGTAATGAAATGGCGCTGACCAGCGCTGGTCTCGTTGGCGCGAGCTTTTGAGGTCTACCTGTGTGAAAACTCACGGCTGTGAAAATTAAAATGTTACTTCCTCTCAGTCAGCTACTTTATATCGGGGTTTTCTTTGGGGACAGACTGGCCAGGTAAAGAGAAAACAATGTCACAAAGCAAATGGTCAGCATAACTATTAAAATTGAAGTGAAGATAATAAATTGTACAAAAACGTACAGTATTATGCTCGGACAAAGAGGACAAACGTCGGAAGTCAGAAATGACATCCGCAGCGTGCATTACTCATAAAGACTGTCGCTTCTGACGTCCGTCCATTTTCGTTGCTCTTCCAAGCTTCAGTAAAACAACTTTTCCCTTTCCTATTTTCCAGCCACTGGATAACGCGAACACAAACAAAGACAGCACTCCCTCCACACGCGCCGCGTCCGCGCAGCATTTTCCCCAGCCTATGTTAATGTGTCACTCGCGAACCGCGGCCGTTTCCAGGCGGGGAAAAACTGGAGCGGGAAATAAAACTCACCAGCATGTCGTTTGTGGCGTCGTCCGGAGGCGTGTGAGTGAGGCTCCAGGCGGGCGGGCCGGCACTTTATACCCGCGGAACAAGTGAACAGCGTGCCGGGGTTATCCCGCTCGGCCAATGGCGCCGGCGGCAGTCGTCACGTGACCCGGCCAACCGATTCGCGTACAGTGATGCGCTACGCCTGGAGCGCAGCGCCACTCGTAACATTGTGACGTCACGGTATCGCAAATTACAGGTGTCTTTCAACAAACAGGTCGAAACCAAAAGCAACTTCTAGTGGGGCTTTTCTTCCGATGTTTCTCACTTATTTTTTACCAAGGTGATAGATGTGGACACACATGGCAGGCATTACTATGTTATACTTTATCGTGTTCAATTGTGTTCAGTCCGAGACGGCAGAGCGTGAGCGTGGCGGTGCGAGTCGGGCCCCAGCCTGCGGTGCGGACGCCGCGCACGCCGCACTGCGCCAGACGCGCCGGCGACGGCCAAGGACGCCCCCGTGCAACCTGTTTCCCCGTGCTCCACTGTGTGCTCCACAGTGTGTTCTACAGTCGGCGCCGTCCCGTCCAGGCCTCCCGCCTAAGTGATGGAGTGGCGCCGGCCCGGCCCGGCCTGCAGCACGGCGAAGCAAACTTGCCGACGCAATGAATGGGTGGCGTCGTCGGCGAGGTGCTATGCCGGCCCCGCGGCCCCTGCAGGTTAGGCCGCCCATCCGACGCCCGCGCCGGCAGGGTTGCCTACCCGTTCGATAAGAAGACGCCGCGGTGCTGCCGGCCGGTGCGTCGTCGCCGGGCTCAAGGTGGACGTGGCGGACAAGATGGATGTCATCGTGGTGTCCGAGCGGACCGGCCAGGGTCAGGGCCGGCCAGGGCCAGCGGTCCGCGCGCGGCCGCGCCGTGTCGCCGTGCCACGCGGGGAAGGCCACCTGCTTGACCTCCATGGCGGGCACGGCGGGCGGGCTGGCCGAAAATTCGGTAGGACGCTTGTCCTGACGAATGTTTGTGGCGGTGCAGTGCAGAGATTAGGCGATGCCTGGCGGTGCCGCACTGCGAGTGGCCGAGCGATTACTCCTGAATCGCCAGTGCCTCTCGACTCGGAGGCGACACCGCACAGCGCCGCCTAGCGCAGCCGAGCGCACCATGCCGACGGGGACGGGGCCTCTCACCCGGTTAGTTTCTCTGTTTCGGTGAGTGCGTCGTCCGAAATGGTATGAGCCACTGTTACACCGTTGCCGCCTTGGGTGTCCTCCAGGCCGTGGGGCGTCGCCGCGCTGCTGGTGGTCGTCGTCGTCGCCTTCGCGCAGTGCTGGCCCCTCTCCGGTCAGTGCCTGAGGTCTCGTACTGACGTACTGCTGGCGGGCGCGCTGGCAGCGGCCGAAACTGAAACACCTTTTGCTGGGAACAGGCCACCAGAAAGTCATCAGCACGACGAGTACTACGCCTGCGCCACCGGTGGGGTCTCAGGGAATATCCGCCGTCGCGTACGTGGTTGACCTGACGGTGGAAGACACCGCCTCGTCGTTCGACATCGCGACCGTCATCACCGTCGAGGCGACGGAGGCAGTGGACGTGATCGTCCTCAACGCCAAGCAGCTCGACGTCGCCAAGAAGGTCGTCGTCGACGGCGAGGACAAGAACGGCGTCTCAGTGCGGGTACGGGGATCATGCGTTCGAATCCTTGGCCGCGAGCTATCGCCCAGTCCGTCAGGCCCTCGGTCGGACCGTCACTCGGATTAGTCGGGCGGGAGCTCCTTTACTTTATCGGCAAACACGCCGGCGGCTTGTCGAAACCACAAACAGGACAACTTGTGATTTTTCCCGCCAACGCCCCGCAGGTCCCCGTCAGCGACGTGGTGTTCCACGAGGACCGCGAGGAAGTGGAGATCCTCCTGGGGAAGAAGCTCACCGTCGGTGACACCTACAATGTGACGGTCACGGCCACGGGGGTGCTCGGCGTGCCGTCCGGCGAGGGCTTCATCAAGGCCACCTACGACAGCGGAAAGAGGTGGGCGGGATGCTTTTGCGGTTTGTGCTGTTGTTGCCCCACTGTGCGGGGCCCAGTCTAACCAGCAGGGGCGTTGTCCAGCTGGCTGGCGGCGATCCGCTCCTCGCCGACGTCCGCCAGGATGGTGTTCCCCTGCGTGGACCAGGCCGGCGAGGAGGCCGACGTCACCCTGCGCGTCTGGAGGCCGGCCACCCACACGGCCATCTCGAACGCCCCCGTCATCAACTCGCAGTAAGCGGGGGAAGCAGAGACGTGCTTTTCTTGTCCTGTACTTTTCCGAAAGCTTACCCATTTCGTCTTTGTTCAGGGTCATCAGCGGGGGCCTAACCGTGAGTGACACGTTTGCCACGATCCGCCTGGCGCCGCACCAGGTCGGCCTCGTGGTCGCCCCACTGAAGCGCCAGAGCGCGGACGGCGACGCCGTGGTGCTGTGGGGCCGCGAACAGGCCGCCGCCGCCACCCAGGAGGACGCCCGCAAGTACGTGTCCACGGTGAACGCCCTCGTCGAGAACCTCAGCCAGGTGCCGCTCGCAGAGTCCCCGCTGTCCGTGGTGGCGTTGCCAGGTAGGCACGTGACGTGACGACGTCACAAAGGGTGCGAGTGGGAGCAAGTGCCCATGGCGGTCCTGGTGTCCTTCCAGGCGTGACCAACGCCGCCGCCGCCCCCGGCATCGTGGCCTTGTCCGAGGAGGCCGTGCTGGCGCTGCACGCGGCCGCGCCCTCGTCGACGCACCGCGACGCCCTCCTCCGCCTGGCCGAGGCCGCGGCGCAGCCCGCGGTGCGGGGCGCCACCCGGCCGGCCACCTGGGGGGACGCCTGGGCACTGCAGGGGCTGGCCGCGCATCTGCGGCACCGGCTGGCGGACCAGGTACTGTCAGCGCCACTGTACTTCCCTCACTCTGTGCTGTCCCTCCCCAACTCACCCCTCGCTGCCCTCCAGGCCGCCGCCGGCTGGCGGTTGGTGGACCAGCAGATGGCGCTGCAGCTGCAGGACGTGCTCGAGGAGGGCGCCAAGTCGACGGACGTCCCTCTGACCCCGGCCGACGGCGACCAGCTCGGCGCGGCGAGCGCCGGCAAAGGTTCGCGTCGACAATGACGTAACGAGAGGGTTTGTTAGAATGAAGACAATGACGCCGTCATCGTTTTGCAGGGGCCGCCTTGATCAGGATGATGGAGTACGCCCTCAACCCGAAGGTCTTCGACAGCGCGGTGCAGACTTTCTACTCTCGCAGGTACACTAGCGCGCTAGAGTGTCTGACCGTCAACTGTGGTGGTTTGCGGTGGATTCGCTGATGCTAATTCGGTGTGACTGCCTTCAGCGCTGGCAAGGCAGTATCGGTGGACGACCTGTACGACGCGTTTTCCGACGCGGCCTACAACGGGGACTCGGGGCTCGACGACGGCGTGACTGTCGTCAACGTCTGGAGCTCCTGGGCGTCCAAGGCCGGCTACCCCGTCGTCACCGTCATGAGGGACTACGAGAACAACGCCATCACGGTGTCTCAGGTAAGGCACGTCGATGGGTTAGGTTTAGAACGCGGTGCGGTGGTACTTCACTTCTGTCCGTAACGCTGCTGTCGGCCGACAGAGGAAATTCTCCTGGGCGTCCATCTCTGATCGGGGCGCTCTCGGCGCGGAGGACGCGAACTCCGAGTGGTGGGTGCCCCTGTCCTACACGTACGCCCTGGAGCAGCAGAACGACGGCGAGAGACTGCTGTCGCCCCGGGACTGGCTGGTGCCTGGCGAGAACGACATGCTTCTCGACCCCATCCCGCACCTTTCCAGCGACGACTGGGTGTACTTCAACCTGGACCAAGCTGGTGAGTGCGTTCGCGGTGCCCCCGCGCTGGCGGTAGGTCCACTAGCGTGCCTTGAGTTGAGCCACTCGACTTGCTCCTTGTTCCAGCGCCCTACCGAGTCAACTACGACACGTTCAACTGGCGCATGCTCTCCAGGGAGCTGCTGGGCGTGCAGTTCGACAAGACGCTGCCGGCGGCCTCGCGGGCCCACCTCCTCGGCGACGCGCTCGCCCTCGCCCGCGCAGGTTCGACGTCCGACCCGTTCGGCCCACGACGCACGGCGCCGACGCCCCCAGGCCTTCTGACTTTCTTCCATTTTCATTCCAGGGGAGCTCGACTACGCGCTGGCGCTGGACTTGGCGGTGTACCTGCGCCGGGAGGACGACCTCTTGCCGTGGCAGGTGGCCCGCCGCTCGTTCACCTTCCTGGAGGACCGCCTCCAGGGTGACGCGCTGGACTGGCTGCACCAGCTCGAGGCCCTGCTGCTCAAGGACGTGTACCTGGACGCGCAGTTCGGCATGGGCGGCGCGCCGGAGGGGCAGAACCCCGACGTGCGGCTGCTGCGGGAGCTGGCGGTGACCTGGGCGTGCGAGGCCGGGCTGCAGCAGTGCCTGGAGCACGCCGACCAGCTCTACAGCGAGTGGAGCAGCGGCGGCCAGTGAGTGCTCGGCGAGGTCAAGTTGCCCTTCGGCCAGCTGTAGCGTGCTGCAGCGCCTCTCATCCGCGGCGTGTTCCAGGGCGCCGCAAGCCGACATGGTGGAGGCCGTCCTGTGCCGCGCGGTGGCGTCGCGGGGTGACGACGCCCTCAGCTTCGTCCTGACCGCGCTGGCCGACGACACCCTGGCCGGAGGACAGCGTCGCAGCTACGTCCGCGCCGCCGCGTGCGGCTCCACGGAGCACCTGCTGCGGCGGTAGGCGCACGTCACAGGGCACGCAGTTCGTCCCTGACCTTGGCCTCGTCCTTGACCTCGTCCTTGACCTTGCCCTCGCCGCGTGTTGCCAGCGCCGTGTCCGAGGCCCTGGTCGCCAGCGGGCCGTTCACGTCGTCCGAGGTGGCCGAGCTGCTGGAGGCGGCGACTGCGCGGAAGCCCCACGGGTGGGCCGTCGTCACGGACTTCCTCGAGAAGGACTCCACCGGGATCCAGCAGAGGTACCGCCCCGCCGCCCTGCCGCCCTGCCGCCCGAAAGAAGCGCAGGCAGGCTCGCTCCAGGGGCTTCATTCATTTTACATAACGTTCATTACTTTGGCAGAACCGGGAACGAAGGGGAGCTGGAGAGGCTCTCGCTGCTCCTTGCGTCGAAAACGACCTCGCAGTCGCAGCTCGATGAGGTGGGCGCAGTGCACTGTAAACGATGAGAGCCGGGCCGCGTCGGAGCCATGTTTTATGCATTTGTTTTTGCCGAATAGCTGTTGCGGGCCGTGGCTGCGTCACAAGGCAGCGAGGACTCCACGCTGGCGGCGACCATCCGGAACGAGGTGGCCGTCAACCTGGCCTGGGCGAACCTCAACGCGGACCTGGTCGCCGACTGGATCCGCGTGTACCTCAACCTGCCGCCCGCCCCCACCACCCCCGCAGTGGTACCCACCACCGCCACGGCACCCACCACGACCACGAGGCCCACCACGGCCCGCCCCTCGCCCCCCACCACACCGACCAGCACCAGCACCACTCCCCGCGGCGCCGGCAGCGCCCCCGTCCCCGGCTTCGTCATGTGGATCGTCTCGCTGCTCGCGGTGGCCGCGGCCGCGCCCCGCCAGCGGTTCGCCCTACTTCGAGTGTAGGGACAGAACTTTGTTGCATGACGTTAATAAAAGAAATTACTTCACTTTCGTACTCTGGAACCTAATTGAGCGCTGCGCGTAAAGATCTGGTGCGTCTCCTTGGAGTCCGCATGCATTTGGCAATGTTTTGTTACGCCTTTTCGGCCCAGTGATCCGTCCCGTGCTGCCGAGAACAATGTTATTAAAACTTGTTTGTCGCCCTCCGAGCTCGGGTGTGCTTTGGATGAGGGCCGTATCTTCCAAAGATGTTCCAAAACTTTGCCTCTGAATGTATGAGTCGACGTGGAAAATGGGTGCCGAAATTCAAGACCCCATCAGAACTCTAATTATGTCTAGTTATCATTTCTAAACTGCTCAAAAACTAGAGGAAGTAAGGGCTCTTTTCGCGCTATGTCAAGCTGTCCATTTAGAACGTAGTAACGCACAAGAAGCTGAAGTACTGTTGTAGGCGTTGCCCTGCCTGATACGCCTGATAAATGGGTGCAACACCGTTGCAACCCATTATGCTAACTTTATCTTTTGGCAGAAAAAACTGAGATGCGCTCTTGACTTGGAAACTGATACAACTGTGTCGTGTCTACGGAGTGGTGTGAACATGGCGGCGCTCTGCTTCGTGTGCACGCGCATGCAGCATGCAGTGGGGGCAAGGAAATGATCAGACAGGATTCGAGGAATTATTAGCTGTGTATTGTGGTCTAGTCCGATATTTCTTTAAGAACTACTATTCTGATCCACGAAGGCGATTGATTCCCACCTCGTTCGGTCTTCCGCAGCTAAGGGTCCTCGGGGACACGTCGTGGACATTATTTGGACTGGGGATTGTTCATGAAGTCCAGTGGCGTCACACCGAAGGATATTACACATCGGCGAAGTCGAGCAGACGGCACTTAGGCGGAGGTGGCGCTGGCGGCCTTGCCGGCGGGCTTGCTGGCGGCCAAGATGGAGGGCAGGATTTTGCTGCAGTCGTAGCCGAAGCTAGCGTTGGCGGCGTCGATGGCCTTCTGCAGGACGCTCTGCCTCTTCGTGGCCAGCATGTCGACCAGGAACTTGCGGTAGACGGTGTTGACGACGTCGTTGCTGCCGCCCTTCTCCACCGTGATGTCGCCCAGCTTGGCGACCTTGACGTCGACGGGCATCACGTCGCACGTGTAGTCGGTGAAGATGAAGGCGATCTTGCCCTGCACGCTGGTGGCGCCGACGGTGGCGGTGAAGCGGCCGCCGGGGCCCTTCACGCTGGCCACCTCAGTCTTGTACTCGTAACTGAAGAGAGACCACAATTTGTTTGTTTCGTTTTCGGCGGGGGTCAAGTCACAGCCCTCTGCCCTCGTTCTACTCACGTTAGCTCGGCCTCGTCGATGCCGACCTCCAACAAGAGCGCCAGGTTGCCGACTTCGTCGATCTCCAGGGTGGCGTTGCCGAAGCGCTTCAGGGTCACGCCGCCGACGGGGGCGCCGTCGTCGGCCTCGATCTTGACGGGCGTGTTCCAGAAGAGCACCTTCACGGAGGCGTCCTCCTCGAGGTCGGGCAGGCTGGTGATTTTCTCGTTGTTGGACAGGCGCTTGAGCACCGCGTCCACGAGGTCGTTCACCACGAGGTCAGCCTGCGGCGTGCAAGCGTTAGAGCGACGGCCACGACCTCGGCCACGGCGGGCTGGCAACGCCAGAGGCTGTGACTGTGACATCCTTTACCTGGGCCGAGGCACACGCCAAGGCGAAGACGGCGAGCAGGGACAGGAAGGCGCGCATTTTGGAGTTGGTCTGGTCAGTGCTGAAAACCAAGTGGTGGACTGCTGCAGGGGGGTCCACCAAATCACCTCGGTCCAGATAAGCACTAATCAGATTCACCTGCCGCGGCGTGAGCGGCGTGCTGCCACTGTCACTTGGGGTGAGTGGTTAAGGCGGTGAATCCTGATTGACGAGCCGAGCCGCGGAATCCCAGCCACAAATCATACCGGATCTCGGCGAATGTCGGTGTGGTCATCGGACGGGATTTGCAGTTGTAGCGTGCCGGATGCGAATGGGAATTTAAGCACCACGTGGGAAGTTTGGGGGGGGGTCTTTGCGTCTATTTTATGTACAATGTTTATGGGGTTTATGGCAGACGCCACTCGTCAGGCGAACTGTATGGTGAACTGGGATAAGACCACGATGTACGTCGTGCAAATGACCACCGCCTGCAACAAGTTGGAGGGTTCACAGTGTGGCGGCAGTGGAGGGGGTTGTCGCGGCCGAAGAAGCACTCCACTCACACTGACGATGGTGGTGCGGTCGACGTAAAGGAACCCGCTCAACGAGACCACGGGCTTTCTGCTGTCGATGTCTTCCAAGAAGTAGACAATCTGCCGGAATACAGAACAGTGTGCGTAACCAACCACGCATAACTCAGCAACCACGATTCCAGAGAGAAAACGTGTGATGCGGTATACCTCTGTCCGCATCGCCTCGCTCTGGCCCGAAATGCACATCCTCAGCAGACTTTTGCGAGCCCTCAGGAAAATCTATTGAAAAGGAAAGACAGATTCTTTGTTTCGTTCTCGCTTACATTCTGAGCCTGGCTTCTCTCACCTGGTTGATGGCCACCTGCGCGGATATGCAGATTAAGAAGATGGCGCCACCGGTGGTGATGTAGAGCAACGTGTTGGCGACCATGCTCGACCACAGGCCCTGCAGTAGTTCCGGTTTGTCCTACACAGCGGGGAGAGGCACTTATTCATTGTTACAACTACAAAAAAAAAATCTTGGATCCTGAGGTCTCTTTCGTCGTGTAAAGGGTTAATATTATATGTCGTAACTTTGGACGATACGTAACACTTTTATGATAACTTGAATAACGTTACGTTATTTAATCAGGGTTCATTGTGTGTTATGGCAAAGTTAAGGATCCCTGAAAAACATCAAAATTGGGCCAAAATTGTGTTATCTAAAGCCACTACCGGTCTGGCAAGGACTGTTGGACCCTGGGATCGCCGCCAGCACTTGAAAAGGAGCAGGACTTGAGACGGCGCGACAGGAAGATCACCGTGCTTCTGTATCGGATATCGGTCGAGGGGTTGTGCACTCTCTAAAGCTGTGACCAGACTAATTCCTGTACGCCTATTACGCTGGTATCATACGCTGTTACGCAAGTGTCCTAGAAGATTGGCATTGTCGGGATTTGAAAGCGGCTAAAAACAACCCTAAAAGGGTAAAATATTGAGAAATTGGCAAGTTTTTTCATTATTCTTGCAAACTCGCTGACAGCCTGAAGGCGTACCACGCTGAGGAGGTCTTGGAAGTTGCCGAGGAACGTGTAGACGAAGCTGAAGAAGTAGGCGACGCACAGCACGAACATGGACAGCAAGTGCGGCAACTGCACCGCGCTGTTCGACTCGCAGAACGCCTGCAACATCTGCACCACCGTGGCCTTGGCAAGCAGCCCTCTGCCCGCCACTGCCAATCTCCAACATCCAGTGAGGAAAAGCCCGAGTTGTACGCCATTCCCCCCGCACGCCTCAGAGGGCGCCTTCTAGCTTAAGGTTCGGTCGGTTTGCCTTGACGACTTGCAGCCACAGCAGGCGGTGCATGCGGATGCCGACGGCGCCCCGGACCTTGGCGTCGTCGGCCATGCGGCCCGCCAGGGTGGCCGCCAGCGCGGCGAAGGCCACGAAGCAGCTGATCCAGATCTGGGCCAGGCCGGACATGGCGTACACGGCGTGCACCAGCGGCGGCAGGGTCCACGCCGGCAGGCCTGGACGGGCAGAGAGCGCGGAGCGCGGTCAGCGTTTGTCGGCTGGCTGACAGACACCAGCAGGGAGGGGCCAACGCGCACCGAGCTGGTACGCCAGGGTGACGGAGAGGACGGCGGCGTGGATGAGCAGCAGCCCGGAGATGTAGTCCAGCCACTTGATCCCCAGGACCAGCGGGCCGCCCGTCAGAGCCACGTACATCGCCTGGCGGAACACGATCACGGAGTCACGACTCAAGCGTCAGGCGCAGAGCGCCACACTGTAACAGGTACGCTACCTCCATGCGGCGCCAGCCGGTGGTGAGCCTGGCGTAGCCGGGCATGGAGGCGAACATGGGCACCGGCAGCACGATGGTGAAGGCGCCGATGACGGTGACGGTGGCGTGCTGCGCCATCTCCTGGAGGGTGCGCGCCTTCCCCTGGTTCCGGGGGCGAGACGGACGCGCACGGCATGGAGATGGCACGGGCAGGCTCCGCGACATCCGCCCAGGAGGTAGGCAGCGCCGCGCTGCGCGGCGGCAGCTTGGGCCGCCTACCCCCCAGGCGGGCTGACGGGCCGGCTCACCTGTCGATGGTGCGGCTGTACAGGAGCCACACGAGGGACATCATGTAGGGCACGAAGAGGATCCAGCCGATGATGGTGTAGTAGGTCCACCGGGCGCGCCAGGCGAAGCGCATCACCCCGTTGTCCGCGAAGGCCACGGGCAGGATGAAGCAGCAGCGCGCCGACCGCCACAGGTACAGGATCTCCTGCGCGATGGCGATCCTCTTGGCGGCCGGCCGGCCGGGCCGGGCGGGCCTGGTGGGTTTGGCCGGCGCCACGGCCACGGCCCGGTGCGCCTTCACGGCCTTCATGCCCTTCATGGCGTCACGGCGCCGCGACGAGACTCGCGGCCTTGCGGCCCACAGTGGTGTCGCAGTGGCGCTCGCCACCCGGCCCGTCGTCCACGTGCCGTCGCAGGGGGAGTCCGAACAGGACTGCGTCTCTCTGTCTCTCTCGCACCTTCACCGGGCGCCCCGCGGACCCGACAGAGACAGGGCGAGGAAGCCCTGCCCGGAATCATCCTGCAGTGCCGTGCCGCACGCATGTTTGTCCGGTCAAATTTGGGCCGAGCCATCGACAAGTACGACGCGGCCGGCGTCCTGCGGCCACGCGGCCCAATCATTGGTGGCGCACTGGGACTTTTTTCTGGTGCCGTGCCCGCTCCCTGCGCCGCCAGCCCAAATCACGGCCAACCGTCGACCAGTCAACGACGGTGCCGCGACCAGCCCTTCGCCATGTGGGAACGGGAGGGACAGTCCATTGGCGACTTGGGAGGGCTTCCCTCGCGTCTCCCTCTGCGTTCAGATCATCGGTTTCAACTGTTTGTTTTTACATCGCGTGGCGCAGCCTATCGTTTGCAGGCAATGTCGATTTCAATTCGTGAGTCAGCACGATTAGTGACCTCTCGTTTACGTCGCAGGCGCTTGTCAAAATAGAGCATTCTAGGACTGCCAGTACTTAGAGTGGAACCAAAATGTTTTTCGGCAATGTTCCTGTGTGTTTCCTTTCGCGCCATAATTTCTGCAGCGACCAAGGGGCGGCGGCGGCGGCTCAGCCTCGAACCCCTGACCTGCGCCCTGTCGAGCGATTCCCCACTCCTCACTCTGTCTCTCTCGCACCCCTACGGCAGACTCTATGCGTGCGAGAGAGACAGAGCGACGAGTACCGCTCGACTGCTGCACCTCGGCGTCGTCTGCTCTGCACATGCCTAGGCTGCCCGGTCCAGCTCGGCCCAGCCAGTTCAGCCAAGCCAGTCCCTTGGCAGTGGTGTAGTGGTAGTCCGGCCGGCCAGTCGACACACGAACGCACGCGGCACGCGCACGGCGACGCGACGACAGGAGGCTGCGACAGTCCGAGAGGCACGCCGCCAGCGGAGCACGGAGCCAGTGTAGTGTCGTGTGTTGCCGCTCAGGGACCACAACCAACCACAACATCGCCGACCCCGTCCTCCCGGTGCCGCCACGCCCGCCCTGCGCGTCTACCGCCGTGTGTTTGGAGCAGTGCCTGCGTGCCCCCGTCGAGGCCCTCGCCCACCACACCCACAGCCACAGTGAGTGAGTACTACTACGCGGATTGTCAGTGTGTCTGCGCGTCTGTGGGTCTGGCACTGTTTTGAAATTGCGAAAGGCGTCGCGTTGCGCTGCGAGGCGACCACTTGACAGGAGAGGGGGTTGGAAAAGAGGGGGAGGGGTGATTATGAAGGGTTGAGTCGCACTGTGTGAATTGCAGTGGATTGCTCGAAAGCCCAGAAAAAGGGGGAGGGGAGGGGAGGGGAGGGTTTGCTTTGATGTTGTGCCTGTTTGTATATGTTGTTGTTTGCCGTCCCTCTGTCACACTGTCGTTTGTTGTTGTTTTTGTGATGGTTCATTAACTACGTAATGCACTGAACGCGAGAACCGAGCTGCAGGACCGGTGCCACAGTAAAACGCCGTCGATTGAAACCGAGGGTGAAACTCTCTGCCCACTTTCCAGCGCGCGCGGGGCAAAGGGGTTGCCCCTCCCCTAGGTCTCTCAAATCCAATACGGGATTGTTGTCACTGTTTTATATTTTTGTTTTTGCCGGTTTCGAGGTGTTTGCTTGTGGGCCGGGGGGTACACGCTGGGAGAGCCGCCCGGTGCTCGGTCCCTGGAAGGAAGGACACCTAGGAAATCCCCCGCGCCGCCCCGTGTACCGAGAGAGAGCGAGAGACAGAGAAAGAAACAAAGAAAGAGACTGCGAGTGAGAGAGAGAGAGGCTGTCCCCTACCTGCACGCCAGCACTTTGCACTCGTCAGCAGAGCGTTCGTTCCCAGTCCCAGGAAACCCTTCCCTCGACCGAGAAACGTGAATATACTGCGGCGTCGAAGATGAAGGAGCCTGCGGGGGCGACGGATGGCTGCCATTTTGTTTGTCGGGGCCGTCCGTGTGCGTGTTGAATAAATTGCACGTGCGTGTTGCAGATGGCGTGCAGCATGCTGGAGCCGATCGGCGTGGGGATAGGCCTCCCTCTTTCCCGCCGCCGGGCGTCCCTGGCGTCCTTGGCGTCGCGACCAACCCCTTCCGTCGCCGAAAGGGTCAAGGAGTCCGCGAACCCGCCAGGTAGGGAGGCCGTCGAGGGCCGCCACAGGCCGCCACTCCGTCTCTCTCGCACCCTCACGCGGAAAGTCGCATGGAGTGCGACAGAGACACAGGGGAAGGACCTCCACGCATCGGCGTGTTGCCTGTCCTGCCCTCAGGTGGTTGTCTTGAACGGGCCTTGCCGATCTCTGTTGCAGGTCCAGGCTCTGGTCCAGGCCCAGTCCGAGCGCGGCGCATCACCGTCAAACGCCTCTTCTCGATGCGCAACTTCGGTGCCCGCGTGCCGCTGCTGCTGGGCAACCCCGAGGAGGGCCCCCCCGCCAGGGCCACCGGCGGGACCTCGGCCATGGCCTTCAACGGGCAGGTGGCGGGCCGCGAGGGCCGCGCCCACCAAGCCCCTCTCCCCGCCTACCACTACTCGCCCGCGCCCGCCTACGCGCCCGCTCCTCCGCCTGCACATCCAGGGTACTACCCAGGGCAGTACGGGGCCAACACGGAGCAGCCCTTCGACACCTACCCCGCAGCCTCCACCCAGAGCTTCTACGACGGGGCGTGTCGGAGCTCGCAGCTGTCTGCTGCTTACCCCGCCGAAGCGACTCACTACCCCGCTCCAACCTACCCCGCCCCAACCTACCCCGCCCCAACCTACCCCGCCCCAACCTACCCCCGCAGCACCTCTATCCTACCCTTCTGCCCCGCTTGCATATCCATATGCAGCAACAGAGTACCCTTACGCCCCTGCAGCGCCTGCCTACTCTTACCCCGCGGTATCGCACCCTTACCGCGCCGCAGCGGCCCCTTACCCCTCTGCAGCAACCAGTTACCCCTCTCCAGCAACTATTTACCCCTCTGCAGTACCGACTTACCCCTCTGCAGTACCGACTTACCCCTCTGCAGCACCGACTTACCCCTCTACGGTACCGACTTACCCCTCTGCAGCAACGAATTACCCCTCTGCAGCACCGAATTACCCCTCTGCAGCACCGAATTACTCCTCTGCAGCGTCTGCCCAACCAACGGCAATGACTCATCCTGCAAAAGAGTACCCGCCAGGACCTTCGCCGGGGTCTTCGGGGACTTACCCATTCGGTTGCCCGGCCGAGGAAGCCCCGGCCCCCGCCCCCGCACAGGCCTCGGAACTGCCGCAACGATCCACCTCGCCAGTGCAGGAGGTCCAGTATGGTTGTGAGGCCGTCATCTTATCGAGCATCATTTTCTCGCATATCTGATGGCGGCACGAGAGTGGATACATTTTATCGTAAGGTCGATGACAATGTTTTATGACAATGTTTTATGATTTTTTTATGGATGTATTGACCATGCTCACTCAGTATGATGTTTTATTTCAAAATTGCTCGGCCAACGTTTGTAATCAAGTAATTGACTTTTGAGTAAAACCTAGAATTTTAGAATTTCAAAGAATGACCCGTTTGTGTTGCTTTTTTAAATTCCATTAAACATCCTCTCATTTTTTTTTTTCTTTTAACTGACACTGAAATAGTTGCCAGGTAATTATTGATTCGTGTTTGAGTAATCCGTAATAGCGTGCACGCCGAGTTATCGTGGTGTTTTGTAGGGCAGTGGCTGGTTCGGACAACCTATATACGTAGAGCAGTGTGTTTGCTGATGGTGTCCAGGGTTGTACTGTACGTGCGGTGTGGTGCATGTCCTGGAGTGTGCCGTAGCGCTGAGGTCAAGGTCGTCAAGGCCGTCAAGGCTGCAGCTCATGCCCGGCACAATTGTTCGCAGGACCTCTGGACAACGTCCTCTACCTCGAGGACTTGGACTCCAGCGGTGCTTCGTCTCCGTGGGGCTCCGTCTCGCCGAGGGACCCCTTGGCCCTCACGCCGTCCGCACAAACAAGGCCCTCGCCGTCCACCATGGAGTCCGCCTTCTTGAACGTGTCTCATCTCCGACCTTCCCAAACGCCGCCGCCCGGAGGTGTGTCCGCTAGAGTTTGTGACTTCGGCGTTGTGCCTGTGCTGTCCCCGTCTACGGCCACAGGTGTGAACCGACTGACGTGTGGTGTGCACTCGCCTCGTGTGCGCCACCCTCCTTTCCCTCCTTTTTAAACTAATTTTGTCCATGTTTGCAGGGTTTTGTCACCGACGGTCGGTCGCGCTGGCGTCTCCCATCTCTTCTTCAACGAGAAGATCCTCCCCGTCGGCGGGTTGGAGCGATGTCGGTGCCCCCGGAGCCGAGCCCGGAGCAGGGGAACAAGAGTTGAGCGAATCTTCGCTCGATCTGGAAACGCCCCTCGCTGAACGGATCGCTGCGCGGTTCCCCCACTACTACAGCGGAAGGACCGTCGGTAGTCCAGAGCCACGGCCCCATAACGTTCAGGTAAGAGCCTGGACACCAGACATACTCCGTGCCAACGTTGCGGCCAACCTCCGCGCGTAGGGTATTCGCAGCGTCCCGCCCAAGTGCTGCCAATACCCCGCGCTCGGAGGTCCTCCCCAAGGTTACTGGCATTGATTGACAGTTTCTCGAGCGAGCGCTGGGTACCGTCGCGTCTCTTTCTTTCTTTCCCATGGGCAGTACGAAAGAAGTACTGGGCTTGATTACGAGAAGTATGCAGGGTCACCCTGAGGTTTGAGGCGTGTGGGCCAGTTACTTTGTAAAGCTTGTAAAGCTGCAAGCTTGCATTTATTGAAAAAAAAAAAAAAATGGGGCCGTAGGAGTAATGAGACAGCCTTTAAGCATTTTAACATTAATCCTGGAATTTGCTGAAATGACTCCATGTTTGTGAATGTGTATACGTACACATTGTTCTACGGGCATGTTGAATCAAATACCGATTCTCGATCATTTTCTTTTCAACTTGACTGATGGTTCTGTTTTAAGCCATTATCGGCTTTGTCATAGACATTCACATTTTGTCTCAAGCTCCAGTATTTTAAAAATGTGAACTGGTTTGACTTTCAGGATTTAGCTGCTGTTGCCGGCACAAGTTCAGGATCCGAAAGTGCACCAGAACTTGTCACCCGCCGTTTTTATGAGCTTCTTCATGTTCGCTTAGCTGACAATTCTTCTCAAAATGTATCCCCCTTTCCACCCAAATAATATGAATTAAAAAAGAAACTTTGTTTGCTAATTGTAATAACATTGTATTTCGTTACATCTCCTCCAGACCATTTAAAATAGAAATAACATCACAACTCAAATTAATAAATTAAATATACATACTTATACAAATAAATATCAGACTTACTTACTGCAATATTTTGTCAGTAAAGAGAAATGTTAAGAAAACATATGACTTCAGTACAATTCAATACAATGAGAGAATTTATCACAGACACCAAAAGAGAACAAAAATGGTAAACATCTTTACACTCTTATATGGAAGTTCATTGGGAAACATTGAACGGTGTGAAACTTAACAACCAGAGTCATTAAGACTTTCAGACAATTCTTACCCTGAAAAACAAAACAAGATAAAACAATCCTCATCTCACAGAATTTGACTTGTGGTGCATTCTCCTTCACAATGGAGGAATGCCTTCAGATTTCTAACAATTGTTAGTCAACAAAAAAATAAGTTAAATATTTGGCTCTAATTTTAAAGCCAACTATAGATATGTCTATCAACTTTATTGATATGATCTTACTTGTTCAAAAATCAACATGATGGGTCTACTTTGGTGATTCATACCAGACAGTAAATCACTTCCAATCACATAAACATACTGTACAACAGGACACGCAGTCTGGCAGTCAGCGCAACTTTGTAACAACCACAATACTATGTTCAGTCTAAAATGAACAAAAACTGCTAATGCATTTAACATCAGTGATCCAAACTGGCTTGCTTGGAAAGGGTAGGGTGTTGAAAAGACCGAGTGGAAGGTCGCTGAAAGGCCTGGATTGCTTCAGTGGCTCTCAGCGCCGAGTCAGAGTGGCTGCCGTTTTCAGAGAGGTCGACGCCCTCGTGGTGACCGTCGGCGTCCCCGTCGGCGTCCCCGTCGGCGTCCTTGGCGTGCGCGAGGCCTCGAGGTCCCGCTGCACCAACGCCGCGTCCTGCATGAGCGTCACCAGGTGCGCGACCCGGCCCATGGACATCAGCGACCCCACCCCGAGCCGATCCTGCCGACATCAAGACGAAAACTTAATCACAGCACAGCCGGTGTAGCACGACCTCCAGAAAGTCCACTGCAGATTGGGACACGTACCACGCCGCAAGAGAAGACACCGTCGTCGCCGCGCTCCTTGTAGGCCCTCACCACCTCGGACGCCTCGTGGAGGGAGACGCGCGCGTGGCGGACCAGCGCGTCGGGGGCGGAGAAGCCCAACCCGCACACGCACTTGTGGGAGCAGTCCGCCAGCGGGTGGCACTTGGCGATGTGCAGCGTCAGCAAGTGGCCCTTGGTGTACTGCTTGGCGGGGCACTGCGGACACTGGAAGACGGGCCTGCCGCCGTGGGCGTGGCGAACGTGCGCCTGGAGCAGGTCGGCGGCCGGGAACCAGGCGGCGCACACGTTGCAGTGGAGGTCGCGCAGCTCGTCCACGTGGCTGCGCACGTGGCGCAGCAAGTTCTCCACGGTCTCGGTCGAGGCGCCTGGAACAGCAACAAAACCAGCTGAGAATGGCGGGACAGAGAGGCGGGGACGGAGAGCGAAGGCCCATTGGCGTGCGGGTGGAAAACTTACGGCACAAGTAGCACACCAGCAGCGACGCGCGGTCGGGGTGCGAGGCCATGTGCTTGTTGAAGGCGGCCAGGGTGCGGCACACGGCGTGGCAGCGCGGGGCGGGACAGGGAAGGCCCTCCGGGACCGTCTCCTCGTGCACCAGCATCTGGTGGGCGCGCAGCAGCAAGGTGGAGGGCAGCCGGTCCAGGCACTTGGGGCACGACGTGGAGGGCAGGGCGTGCGTCGTGGCCACGTGCACTCGCTGCGCCGTGGCCGAGTCGAACGACTCGCTGCAGCACGGGCAGCGAAACCACGTCGCCACGGCGTGCCGCGTCAGGCGGTGCCTGGCCAGGGCCACCTTGGACGGGAAGACGGACTTGGGGCAGTCGACGCACGTGGGCTGCTCGACAACAGGCAGCTGCACCCGCGAGAGGCCCGCTGACGAGGGCTGGGATACCCTCGCCGCAGACGACAACGCCCTCGTGGGGGCCGATGTGGGCGCAGAAGTGGTGGCAGAGATATGAGCAGACGTGGGCACAGGTGCGGGCGCAGATTTACAAGCAGATGTCTGCGCCACCCTAGACAATATTCTGGGCCTGGCTCGGTTAGATGTCAACGTCGACGCCAAGGTGGCCGCCGTTGAAGTCGCCGTTGTGGCCGCCGTTGTGGCCGCCGTTGTGGCCGCCGTTGTGGCCGCCGTTGTGGCCGCCGTTGTGGCCGCCGTTGTGGCCGCCGTTGTGGCCGCCGTTGTAGCCGCCGTTGTAGCCGCCGTTGTAGCCGCCGTTGTAGCCGCCGTTGTAGCCGCCGTTTTGGCCGCCGATTTGGCCGCCGATGAAGCTGCCGATGAAGCCGCCGATGTAGCCGCCGATGTGGCCGCTGCCCGACGCAGAAGTCTTGGGGCAGACATGGCAGCTGACGTGGACGTCGATGTGGGCGGCGTGGGTGAAGGCGCCGCAGTTGTCACTCTCGGGAACGCGAGCACCCAGTTCATTTTACTGCCATCCCAGCGCAGCTGAACTTGCCCCGGCATCCGTGGTGAAAATCGGCTCAGCTGGTCATTGAGTTCAAGGGATCTCTCTTGGGGGATGACATTAGAAGGTGGAACAATCCGGTGAACCTGGATGACTCCTGCCTGCATCTGCCTGAAATAGCCCGTAGTGCTGCCCATGGCCGTGGTTGGTGCGCCGGCTGGAACTGAGGCGGCAGGGGAGGCGGCAGGGGAGGCGGCAGGGGAGGCGGCAGAGGAGGCTGCAGGTGTCGGTGTTTCGGCGGCCGGGGCTCCGCTTGCTTCGCTTGCCTGGCTTGGGCTGGCGTTCTCCGCCGCGACCAGGGGCTCCTCCTTGATGACGTGATCCTCGACGCTGAGGCTGTCGTTCTCCAGCTCTGCGATGCCGAGGTCACCGCCGTCGGGTTCTTCCAATTTGATGGTCACCGGGGTCACCGCAGGCGAAAAGTACTCCTCGACTATGTCGTCGCTCTCCAACTTCAGCACAGGGTTCACGCCGGAAAGATAACAAAAATCTTCGATTAAGTCGGGAGTCTCGTCACGTTCTACTGCCTCGTCAACTTCAACGGTCTCGTCATCATCAGTATCGTCGTCCTGCTCCAGTTTGACGGTCAGAGGGTTGGTGAAAGTACTTTCTTCGATGACGTCGTCGTCCTCACTCTGAGCGTGCTTCAGAGCGTGAGTTTCGGCAGCCGCCTCGCTGGGGAACGCCATGCCGCACCACGGGCAGGTGTACTCCGAACAGTGCACGTCCATGGCGTTCTCGTCGCAGATGTAGGCCACCATGCAGTTGGGATGTTCTTCCTTGACGCTGGCGGTGGCTTCGGTGGCTTCGTCCGCCGCGACAGTCGCGGCAGGTGTGGGGGATGCACAGGGGGCGTCTTCTTCAGTGGCTTGAGGAACTGAGGGGGAAACGGGGGAAGTGGTGTCTGCAGTCTGGCAAGGAATGGTTGAAGCGGGGCACTCGGGGCCCGGCAAGGGGGTCGTGGGAGTCACGGCGGGGGGCGACGGGGCCGTTGTGGAGGGTGAGGCAGCGGGAGAAGGGTCGGCAGGGAGTTCTTCGGCTTCGTCTGCGTCTGAAGCACTCACAGTGGGGGACTGCACGGTGGGTGCAGGCAAACCGTCCTCCATGGTGGCGACGAGGTCGTCAGCCTCAATCAACGCCTCCCAGTCCAAGTGCAGCACGAGGTCGTCGTCGGCGCCGTCCTCCTCGTCGTCCACCCTCGCATCCACGCCAGCGACCTCGAGCTGCCCACCTGGCGGCATCGGACAAGCAGATGGCTCGACGGTTGCCGAGGGCCGGATCACGTTTTCGGACAGAGACTCCGTTTCCTGCTGAGTAAGCGAGTAAGTGTTGCTGCCCGGGGACGCAGCGTGCTGACAGGGCAGGGCTGGCGGCGCGGGGCTGGCGGTCGCCGTCGGAGTCGACTCCGTTCTCGTCTCGGACACCAGCCGGGGCGGCAATGCAGGGTGGCAGGCTGCGAAGAGCGTCCCGTTGTCGCTTGCACTGGCAACCGTCGCCGATGCCACGTTGTCCGCGGACACCCTCAGCGCCAATGCAGCAGAGCGTGGCGAGGAGGCCGCACGATCTCTTCCTGAAACAGGCAAGGCAGAGAGGCAGGTCAAGGCACTGTGACGGCATTGCAAACGCAGCTGTTGCTGTTTATAGCTACTCCTATTCACTAAGATGACAGCTGTTGACAGGCTTTGCAGTTTTGGAAACAATCCGATGCATTAATATTACGTAAATTGCAATTGCCTGAACAGACAATGACAGAAAACAAAGTCTTTAGCCTGATCATTGTGGTAGAATTCAAATTAATATTTTGCACTTACAATCAGACCATTTCATTTTGAGAGTTATTATTATTATCATTAACACTGACTGATTTTACTTTTAAAAATGATAACTTAAGTTGTACAGTCTTCATTTCAAAATTGGAACTCACACCAAATTGCAACTTTGTCATAATTTTTGCAATTCGGAAATTTCTGAGGTGAATGTTTAAGCATCACAATTACATTGATAAGATTGAATCTGCATTACGTTCCGCTTTGTCATGAAAGTAATACATTTTATTTCATAATATGTGCCATAATCACAGAGAAACAGAAGACCATAAGGATTTTTCCGAGGTTTTTCATGTACAGTAAAAAGTACGTAACTACTCTTCGAGTAAGCATAAATACTTTTACTACTTGATTACTGATTCAATGCAATCATAAATAATAATGTTCTATGCAGTTAGCCTGTTCATTTTAAACATGTTGTAAGTTAAGTTCAAAGTACAATAACCCTCTTTGAAGCTATGAGAAGGTAAGGCGGTGGAAGGATCCTATTGAAACAGTGCAGTGCAGGCTCACTAAGCAGCTAAACAGCTCACTTATTACCAGAAAGGCAATTCAGTTGATTTGATATTAATAGCAAATAAGACTCCTCGAATTCTCTAATAGCTTTTGAAAAGTTAAACATACTAGAAGTTATAAGCAACAGTATTTCTTTAGGAAAATAAGCCTTCATCAATTATCAAACTAATCATTATGATTCACCGAAACCACTGATTTCTGTAAACTTAACAGAAGTTGCCTCGGATCACCACAAATACTTGTTAGGAAAGGGGCAGCAAGTCATAAGGACACTGCGGTTGGTTCATTTCATTGAAATTATATATGCCTTGACTGCTGTCGTCAATCACGCAGGCTCAATTTGAATCATCCTGTAAATTATTTATGTCTCTGCTCCTATACATAATCAATTACATATCAACTGCATAGAGAAGAAAACTCCTTTCAAATAATTTAAGCAGTACCCATGTCAATTTTATCAAAAACGAACATGTGAATACCGTTAAGATTACTGAATTAGAAAGTGGTTACAAGTGCACCTAACCTACTTCATAATACTGAAAGCTATATTAAGCTTTGTGCATTTTTCCCTACTGTGTAACAATATAATAAAAGGCTGTGAAAAATCAATGATGTTAGACCGTTTCCACTAAAAGAGAAGTTTTCTTTGATACAGTTCCGGGAGGAATTATATAAAAGCTAATCAATAGTTGCAGTTGCAGTTGCGGCTTTGAGAATTGGTCATAACTCTAAATCTGGACAGACAGCTTTCACTTCAATCACCGGAAACCACAAACACAGTAAAATTAAACAGTTTTATAGACAAATACACAGCGCAATTTTCAATTTGAAGGTGGTACTGTAGTGACAGTCTTACTGTCCATCTGAGTGTATTCTACCATCCATGCCAATTCTCAATCAAACATTCATTACACTGTACCTTGACTTGTGTGTAGTCCACGAGGTGCCCGCGGGCGAGGCGACTTGGGCATGAGGCTCTGGGACAGGCCTTGCAGGAACTCGCACTTGCTGCAAGTGCAGGACCGGTGGGGGCACATGTCCTCGCCGTGGCGCCTCACGAACACTGCGCCGTCGTGAACGCAGCAGCGTGCGCAGCGCGGCCGCGACCGGCGCCGCTTGCGCAGCGCGCGCAGCGCCCTGAGTCCCTCGGCCTCGTTCTCCTCTCCGCTGGGGAAGCTGAACACGTCTTCGGAGCGGTCCAGGTCCGAAGGGGAAGCCGACTGGCGCCGGATGCGTTTCTGGCCGGCAACCTTCCGCACAGGCTTCCTGGGCTCGCTCTTGGACTTGAACACGACGTACACGCCGCGGCTGCCCAGGCTGCCAGGGCTGGGGCCGCTGGGGCTGTGCACCAGCAGGCTGGACAGGAAGGGGTCCTTGCCGCCGCTGCTGCGCCGCACCTTGATGGGGCCCAGCACGCGCGGCTGCGGCGCCGGCTGTGGCCTCGGCGGCCTCGGCTGCGGCGCCACGATGGCCGCCGGCTTGCTGACGGGCGACTTGAGCAAGTCCAGGGCGGCGCGCACCGCGGAGCTCACCAGCAACTCCATGTCGCCGCCCGTCTGCACCGTCAGGGGCACGTCCACGGGCGTGGGCGAGGCGGCTTTCTCTAGGGCCTCCGTCGAGTGCTGGGCGTGCTGGGTCGCACGGTTCGAAGCGGGCGAGCCGGGTGCCCCTCTCTGGGCGTGAAGTGAGTGCTCCAGCCGCGGCGAGGGCGTCCGCCATGACGGCCGGCAAAGCTCCGAATCCGACTGCCGCCGGAAGATGGGTCGTAGAGGCTGTCGACCTTCTTGTCGTACTTCCAGGACGGCGAGCGACGGTGCAAGTAGAGGCTCCTGGTGCGAGGGCTGGACGTCCTCCAGGACAGGCTGGCGAGGCTTCGGAGCGGCGACGATGGAGTCCACCTGCAGGGCCCGCAGCGACACGGTGCAGAGCTTGTCCACCCCGTGCTCCTCCAACAGCCTGCAGTAAGAAGACCCGGCGCGGCACAGCCAGCAGTCACGGCACGCCTCGTAGGGGCAGGGGGCGTGCGCGGCGCGCGGCACGCCGTGGCGCAGGCAAGAAGGGCAACGCGCTGGCGGTCCTGGTGGCGGTCCTGGTGGCGGTCCTGGTGGCGGTGTAGACAGTGCAGGCGCGGGCGGCTCGGCCCCGGCGGTGTCCGGAGTCGGGGGCAGTGGTCTGGGCGCTGGGCTGGTGGTGGACCGGGGCGACGCGTCGACGGCAAGCTCGGGGTGCCCTCCCTCGGGACTCGGCAAGCCCTCCCGCCCGAACAGCACGGCCAGCTTCCTCTGCGACAACGGCTTCCGGAAGGGCCCCCTCCTCTGGGGAGTGACGCCCTGCACTGCGAGCCCCACGGGGCCTCGGCCGCCTCGGCGGGGAGAGCGCGGCGTTGTGGGGCCCACGGCCGCGGGCCCACGTCGCGGCCGCCCCCGCGGCCAGGGCGGCGCCGCGGTCCTGGCCGCCGCCCTCTTCTGGACCCGCACCATGCTGGCTGGCAGCCCGGCTGCCTCAATCTCGGCACCTGCGGACAGAAACGGTCGCATTTCAACAGGACAGCTCAGCGCAGTGGCAACACGCAGCACTCATTTTTTCCAGTCAGGAAGCTCGCTTTATCAGAGGGCGACCCTGCCTGGGTGACCCTCTCGTTGAGCGCCAGCTGCCCGACCGTGTCGCTGCCGGCTGACAGACAGCTTGACAGCTCGACACGAAGCCCCCAAAAACCACATAACTCCTTAAAACTAATTTTACTGGGAATGATAAATTGAATGACAAATTATAAAAGGCAAGACGATATTCTATTTTATTTTTTTCAACTTCATAATGTTGTTGACACTTTTCAGTGTTCATTTGTTTTGTAAACATACACAGAAAAGAAACAACTACAACAAACATACTAGAAATGAGTTTTGTATTTTTCCAGTCCACAAAGATAAAGCACATGCGTGGAGGTGGAAAACGGTGGCAGGGGACGCACTCGCGCTGCGTCTGGCTTGTTTCCGCGTCGCAGGCAAGCCAGAGGCCAGAGGCGATGGAAACAGCCGCCGGAATTTAGGTTAGGGTGCCCGTGGACGAGCCCGAGAGTGGCAGAGGAGCGTCGAAGTTCGCACACAAACGCCAGGATTATTGGAAAACCCGACCTCCTTTCCTTGCCGACGTTAACTTGGTTTCGGCCGCAAAAGTAAACACTGCCAAAAACTCGAAACTAGCACGTCTGCCTGTCGAAACAATCGTTTGAAAACTCGGTTGCACTCCCAGAGCTAGCCAGGTCACTCGCGCGCACACACACACACAGGCTTCTCACCTGACGGTAGTGCAGAGCGCCGCGAGCCCCTGCTGGCTGTCCTCTCGCTGTCTCGAGGCGATGGCGGAGTGCTGCACGGCGTCCTGCATGGCGTATCGCGTCCTCGAACGGCGAAGGGTGTTTTGACTTTTGACTTAGAACACGGCAGCTGACATGGGCGCGGTGTCGCGCGGCGGCACGGCACACGACGCCACGCAGCGTGAGCGTGCTTCCTCGACGGTGCCGCAGCACAAACTGACGGCCAGAGACGAGGGGGGGGAGGGGGGGAGGCGAGGAGAGGCCAACGCACCGTGCCACGCCGCGCCACGCCACGGCGCCGAGCACAGCGGGATCTGGCGACTCGGCACGGCTCGGCTGGGCTCGGGGCGACTGCGCAACATCCGTGCCTAGCGGGCCTCTCCGTCTCTCTCTCGCCGTCGCTCTGGCGTGACCGCGGCCGCGAGAGCGAAAGAGAGCGATCGATATGCTTCTGCTCGCCCCGGAGTCGCTCTGGACGCAGCCTCTCGCCAGTCCCCGCCCCCGATCTCTTTTCGGCTCCCTTCGGCCCACTTCGGCCGCTCTCGGCTCTCGCCGCCTCCTGCGCTGCACTGCAGCAACTGCAGCGCTGCAATGCACCCCTTGCAGTGTACCACCTCCCACGCCCCACCCTCCGATCGACGGTGCAGCAATTGATTGCCTGACAGGTACTCCTCTGAATTACTCACACTCCTCTGCCCCACCTCACTGGCATTTATTGATCCCAGGACTAAAAATAAACACATGTGGCAGACAACGGACTCTCTTGCGGTCTCCGCCAACATTTACGATTTGATCGCTACTGTACTGAGTCGAACGCTTTTTCCAAAAGTGAAGCCACTATGTGGCATGTTCGGAGCATCGTGATTGTCATAAACATTGTATTGTTCGGCGACCCTCCGTACTGCCGGCAGTGTTGCCAAGACTCGGGCCAGCTGGCGGAGAGGGCTCGGCGGGTTCGGTATGCGGGGCTCTCTCTTGCTGCCGAGGCCAAGCGACATCGACTCGCGTAACAGGCTCTGCGCGGCGTAGAGAGACTCGAGGAAAGAGAGACTTGTAGAGAGACTGTAGAGACTCGCAGAGAGACTCCTAAAGAGATTCCAAAGTCTCTTATCGGCACTGCGGCACTCTAATTTTCGTTCCAAGAGCACTTTTGGGAGTCTTTCAAGGTACTAAGGTGCTTTGATGCATACAAATTTGAACAAAATGTAGAGAAAAGACTTGACGAGTGGAGTCTTGTCGTGGAGTCTCTCGCCGCGGCGGGGAGCAGCGACTCAGACTGGATTGGTCACGTTCCCCATTGGACGGCAGGGCGAGTTGATGCTGAGGTGGAACTGCAGCATTACCATGGAGTAGGTGAACGCCACTGCGATGATCTGAGTACACAAGAATAGCAGGGTGGCACTCTCGGGCACATCACATCACGCATCGCATGGGCCCCTCATTTCACTCACCGCGTTGAAGGACGCCCTTTTCAGCTCAAAGTAGTTACCGATCCCCGTAGATGAAGTGTTCCACCACACTATCTCGAGGAACTGATGGAGCTGTTGACACGCAAATCGAAACTGAGTTTTCGTCGTCGCCGTCCTGAACATACCAGGTCTCCCCCAGCACGCCTTCGGCTGATAGCCAGCAAGCCCCGTTGCAGCTGTTGCGTGACGGAGGGGATTGGGGGAGCGAAGTTCGGTTGCCCCCTCCAATGTAAGGCCCCTCTTACGCCCCTGTCGAGCCTGCTCGGGAACAGTCCCAGTCGGGCTGCGTGCTTGCCCGGAGCACGCCGTTGGCTCCCACCGGTATCATCGGGAACGAGAGAACCCGACCTGGCGGCGCGTTAGAGTCTCGCTTCACAGAGCTTGCTTCGTAAGTCCCTCTATCTACACTGGTAATAAAAATGTTTAAGTAGCGACAAATGTGTGATTAATTTTCTTTGGGGCCTGTTCTTCCCACCTCAACTTGCAAAGGTCACTTTGTTACTTTGTCATCGGTTTGTCGTTATCAATTTAATAGCAATATGTCTTCACTGAGGCTCCAGTGGTTACAAAAGTATCTTTGCTATTGAAATCATTAATTACTTGATCTCAGAGCAGGAATTTTCCCTTTCTTGCACAGAGCCGATGAGCCAGTTTCTATCTGCAGAGCGTTTTTTTCGGATCGGCAAAACTAAGTCTGCGTCATCAAACGGCGGCGTGGCAAGTAAGCCGCCAACGCACGGCTAGCGCGGCTAGCACGGCTACGCTCAAGGCGGCGCGGCGGGACGGCAACCGCGCACTGTCGCGACTGCATAGCGGAGGTGCACTGTGAAGATCCTCGCCTTTCGGGCTGCTGCACTGTTAAAAAAATATTGGACATTCCCGGGCAGCTTGTTGGAAAAAATGCCTTTGATCTTTGGAAAAATTGGAAACTTCTCTTGTTTCTTTTTTGAATGAGTTTCAAGCAGATTTAGTACAAAAAAGTGTCTTTTCGAAACTAATGATGTTCCAATTTAATTTTTAAAAGTGAAATGCATTTCGCAAACACAAGTTCGGACGTCCCACTCCGTCCCTGTGTACCTGACGTACCTGCTCATGAGTCAAAGGGTCAACCAAATGTGTGTGCGGCATCTGCAGGACGTCGAGAAACCGCTGTCGAACCTGCGTCAAATTGACAAAGCATTCCAAACTGAGAGGAGGCCCGACCAAGAACCAACCAAAAGTTGACTGCTTTCGACTTCTTTGCGGTTCTGTTTACCGCTTCAGTTGAACGATGGGGTATGTCGCACAGCAAGAAGAGTAGCAGCAAGTAGGGCAAACCGAGGCAGGCCTCCGTTATCCCGGACTGGGGGCAAACAAGCGCCGTGGAAAATCGATGAGCAAACACACTTTCCACTACACCGATGATTCGTGTAAACTCCTCCTGGGGCATTCTTGGCGTGTACGGGATGGTACCGGCCAACTAATGTGAGCGCGCGAGGCATGCTCCAGCCTCGAGTTTCAGGTGGTAAGTAAGCTCTAGGTGAAAAATGAAGTGCACATGTATGAATACTTCAAACTGAAGCAATTCAGCTTCTTGATACAAAGCCCATGATATCTTGAGCCGATCTCAATTTAAAAATAGGAAGTAAATTGGGCGTTTAAAAGACTATCCCGAGTAACTGTACCACTAATCGTTTAGTGACCTCGTCCCGCAAACCGTTGAGTGCTATATGAGTCACATTCGTTTGAACGTTGCACGGATCCGAAAAGCAGAGAACCACGAGGTCCATGCTTATGGAAATCACTAACTTGTGCCTGGTTAGACGTGAGCTTCTCGAGGCTCTCGTACAGGTGCAGGGTGACGAGGAACACGATCATGGCCACGACGAAGGACAGGCTGATCGGGGTGGCGACCAGGCGGCCGTTGAGGTTCGAGAGGCGCATCCAGGCGTCACGGTATGCCACAGCGCGTTGCGGCGTTACCTGGCCCCGCACAAGTTCCTAAAAAAATGTGAAAGCAGTGAGCGGAGCACAGCGCCAACATCGGCCAGGGACTCAGCCTCAGCGCGCACCAAGCACTTTTGTGCTTCCTAACAAGATAAACTGACCGTGCCGGCTGAAACATGATTTGAGCCATTGGGATGCTCTGCTAAAAGTCATTTCATTTTGACTCTCCGCAACGTACCCAGCGTAATGCCTGAGCTAGATTGTTGGCGAACTTTGCCACGCGCAAGCAGCACAGCGTGGGTATGGCGACGCCGAACACGAGCAGGCCGTTGATGTAGACGTGCACGGGAGCATCGGCTGCCCCCGCGAAGCTATACTCCACGAAGGCCATCCAACCAGTCTCGAAGAGCGGCACCAAGACCACGGGGACGGCTATCCACGCCAGGACTCGCCGTGGCCTGGCCGTATTCGCAAGCACGTGCCCGAAGTCACTCTACAACGGGTTGGCCGCCAAATTTCAAACACTGTGAGATAAAAGTACGGAAAAAGTACGGAACAAGTCTGGTAAACAACTTGCATGGAACGTCCGTACTTGTTTCCGTACACGTTTACATGTCTTTGTAGGCATCGAGTACGTACGTTTTCGAACGTTTTCAGTACCTAAGTAGGGAACGTTTTCACTGTGAAGTGCACATGTAGAGCCACGATTGAGAAAATGATGGCAGAGACAACTCACCATAAGGTCTTTGCACAGACCGTCTAGCCGTGCGATGCGGCGTGCCTCAATCCACATGGTGGGCACTATGAGCCAGCCCGTCAGGTGCACCATGGAGTGCGCCGCGACGAACTTGTGCGCCCAGTCTCCGAACTTGGTCTCGTCCTCTGCCAGCTCCTGCACACTACTTCATGAGGCAGTCTCCAGACACGCTCTGCCCACCATCTCTATTGCATTCACTGCATTCACTGCATTCACTGCATTCATTGCATTCACTGCATTCACTGCATTCATTGCATTCACTGCATTCACTGCATTCACTGCATTCACTGCATTCATTGCATTCACTGCATTCACTGCATTCATGCAAAGACCCACCTTGACGCCGGGTACCCTGCGCTGCCAGGCCTCCACCACGTACCAGAAGACCACACCCTGCGCTAGCACTGCGTAGAGCAGTGTGGACCTCCTGGGGTCGAAGCAGACTCGAACTACAAGAAAATATCTCCGATAGAGCGACCTTCTTGAGACGTTCCTTTTGCATTTATTCCACAGATTGTCCATTAAAGTCACTTTTAGAATTGGAAGTCGAGATTTTGACTGACTTTGTTACGGGTTCTAGCTGCCAGCCTAGGGGCTGGCTTCACGAGCGTCACTATGGTGGGTTGGAAATCCACTGGGAGACCATGGCCCTCGGCATAGTTTATTCTGCCACTCAAGGTAAGTAGTACTCGAATGCCCACGTTGGTCACACCGCACACTCACCGGGCCGCAGTCCGATAGGGACGAGGCCGTACATGGCCGCTGCGTAGGCCACGGGCTGGAGGCCGTCAAAGAAGGGGCGTGCATGTGAGGCATGTAGTGAAGTTGTTGTAGAGTGGCGCGGTACCAGCCGACACGGCCGAGCCGGCCCCAGCACGACGAGAGCGGGCCGAGAGGCGGGTTTCGTCGACCTGGACCCCCAGGACGTTGGCGGCGCCATGGTCTGCGTCTGCCGCCCTAGCATCGTACTAGCAGCCGTGGAATGTGGCGGCGCTCGCCCAGTCCTGCGTTGTGTACTGCCCCGTTGCCGCGGACCGCCCCTTCTATGCAGAGTGGAACTGGCGCCAAGTAACGCCCGTTTGACGGGGTGGCAATGGTGGCACGCCCCCGTGGGTGTGGCCATCGTCCTGGACGGACAGGCAGGGACGGCGGCTAGCTTGGAGGTGGAGCTCAACGAAAGGGAAAGATAACACAGACAGCCCTTGTAAACAAGAAAACGCGAGTGCTTTGCCTCGCTTGAATACGTGCCTAGGGCCGCACTTCGAACTTTGTTATAATTCCCCAGGTTCCCGCCTCACTCCAGAAAACGGCACGGGGTTGCACGCCTGGCAGGTAGGCCACTGCACAGGAATTGAGCAGCCCGATGTTCTGCACCCTCGGGGAATGAAATGTCGGTCTTCTGAATGCATCACGAGTATCTCCATTTTAAAGACATTAGGGATTCAATGAACCAAATCAGGAAACATTTATTTGTTTGCTTGACTTGTTTACAAGTGAGCTGATTGAAAACAATGCAGCCGCCGCAGTTTTCAGTCGAGATGTGTGATCCGCCGCAGCATGGCGATAGCGGCGTCCGGGTTGTCGGACGGAACCTGGTGAAAAGTTTCCTTCAAAATCACGCTTCCGTAGGACGAACAATAGAAACAATGAGTTCAGTCTTCAAATGTTACCATGTGGCCTGCCCTGCTGATAGAGTAGAACGTGAAGTTGCCCCAGGATTGGGAGTACCCGTTGTCCTGCCCGTTGACTGTGATGGGCTTCTGCGGGGCCGCCTTCCATTGACTCGCACCCGGCCACTGCAGGCGGTTTACCCAGTTGAGGGTGCCTGCAACAGGCAGAATGTGCCATCAAATGAAGAAGGATTTGGTGTTGACCAAACGCGCGTGCTGCAGCTAACCGATCACATCGACGATCAGGTCCCACTCGCCGTTGAAGACACTCACTTCCATTGGGGTCTCGGTCAGCAGCCTTTCCACTGCGAAAAGAGTGGAGAGCACGGGTCAGCTGTTGTGTGTTGCCGAAAGAGGACAAACGAAAAGCAGGAGGGCTCACCAACGTTGACGACGGGTTTCATGAAGTCACCCTTGAGGGCGTTGAAGACTGGGGTGCTCTGCGCAACGTGGCGGACACGCGGAGGGAGTCCCAGGGCATCTTGCACACGCCTCATGGTGCTGGCGACGCTGCGCAAGCCGGCGTGGACGGCGTACGCACGCAGCGACAGCGGCATGCCCTTTGCTGCAGTGAGGGCCGCCAGGGATGCGTTGCGTTCGGCTTTTAGCTCGCCTCGGCCCGGCCTGAGGCGGCCGCCGTAGATGTTGTAGAAGTTGTCCGCCGTGAAGCCTGGCACGGCCATCGAGACGGCGGTCTCCGCGTTGCCCCACTCGGCAGTGGCGCGAACCCACTCGCCGCCCTCCACGGCGAGCCGGCAACGCTGGGCCACGGCGTCCACGGAGTTGTAGCCACGCTCGTCGAGGAGGCCCTACGGGGCAGGAAGTGCACGTGCAGCGCCAGGCAACGTCGGGCAACAACGCCAGCCTGCATTGGGCCGCTTCACTGCACTTACGTATTGCTTGAGGTACGGAGCCCACGTGATGGTGGAGTCCAGACCCGAAATCCAGCCATCGCCCAGGCCCACGCCTCTGATGTTTATGTCGGTGTTGTTCGTCCTCTGTTTTTCCTAGTGCAGCCAGTTTGAGGGCGAAGTCAGATTGGGTTGCTTCAACAGAGTCTAAAGATCTTAAGCGTACTTCGGGCAGTTTCATAAGCAAGGGTTTTCACATTATCATCCATCTATTAAATGGCATACGTATAGATTATCTTGGCGAACAGCAAATAACCCTAACAATTAATCATTTGACAAGATGAAATCGGTGCAATCTTATCTGTTTTTATCATCACTACGAGTACGAACGATTAGTCAGCAGACATCCTTTTTGGCTAAGTGGCTTTGTCTATTAAATCAAGGGAGACCAGCGAAAAACATATGTATGTTCAATTTGAAAAGACGGCATATATTGGGCAACACAAATGCCCGTTATCGTGTTATAACGTAAATCGTATGTAGGGACGAAAATCTTTTTACGACCTTTATCCGAACTCTTTGCGCACAAACAATTAGCACTTTGCAAAAAGCAGCAAAGATTTTAGGGCCTAAAACTAATGCATTTGTCCTTATGAAGGGGTATAAATGAATTATGCCACAAAATGGGTCAAATGTCGATATGCCCCAAAGAGCATGGATGTACTGCCTTTGCGTTGCCAATGGTGAAAAATGGGCCAAAAAAACAAGGGAATGCAATGGATCCATTGGAGCAATTCTGAAAGGTACACCCTGGGAGAGTTCAGGCACGCACCTTGTACAATTCGTAGGCAAACTCGGCCGTCATCTTGCCGCCGTATGACTCGCAGAAAACGTAGAGGGGCACTCCCTTAAATTTGGGGTTTTCTCGCAAGAAGCCAAGGTACAACTGGACAAGGTCGGCTGCAATCTGTTGGTTGTCTCTGGCAAGGTAGCGTGATTTGTCCACAAAGCTAAATCCCGTTCCCACCGGGTTGTCCACAAACAGGAGGTTGACATGATTTACCTGCAAACACGTTACTTTGTGCATACGAAGCTTGGCAGGTTCTGTTTTTTCGTTTAAGCGCTCTATGCATTACCCAAGATTTCTCACGCCTTTTCAGGTTTAAATCCAACGGCCCCATCTCCTCAAAGTTCCCGAACGAGGAGGAGGAAGCGCCGGGACCTCCCTGGAGCCATATGACTAGCGGCTTGCCCGAGGGCTCTTGGCCCCCATTCACGTAATACAGCCAGTAGAACATGTGAGCGCCCTCCCGAACATCGACGTAGCCCCACTCCTGTCCGCCATCAAGAAAGCCACGCCTTGCTGCGATCGTTACAGAAAAGAAAAGAGCTGTTATTTGTAGAGACAGCAGGTTACAAGACGCTCACTACCTCTTGAGCATTGACGGAGAGTCAAAAAATTTGGCCTTAAGAATGCTGTTTGATCTCTGCTCTGAGATATTCTTTTGAAAAGCTCACCCTGAACCAGGCTGCTGAGCAGTAGAAGTAGTGTTAGCACAAAGACCCTCATGGCTCCGAGCGGACGGTCAATCTGGCACAGTAATGAAGATAACCCGTCTCCTCGATGCTTGATAGAAACGCCGAAGTACAGTGACGGAGTGGACACGTCAAAAAGAAAGGTGGGGGAAAGGCTAATCAAACATCATATCGACCCGCAAACTCTTTTTATTTGTTTAAAAAATCATATCCCAAAATTATTTAACAAATTTGGTTACTAATACAAAAAATAAAACTAAGGCACTTCTATTTTTGAAACATAAATTATCACTAAAAATTTATAAATCACAGAATTTTGTCTTATCTTTGAAATAATAAACTAGGACTTGTGAGATGCTAAGGAACTTGCCACAAACGCAGCAGGAATAAAAAGAAGAAGGCACAGCCCAGACATCGCCCAGAACGCGTTCTGAAAAAAAATACCACATTAACACAAAGGTACATGGCTGCACTTACAAATTGAAAGTGACATAGCTTACCCAGGGGGAAATGATCTCGTCACACACTCCCATAACCATTGAGTCGTATATGTTGATGATCGGTTTGCATTTTAATGCGTGCGATTTCACCCTGTCGACCGCCCATTGCAAGTAAGCTTGAAGTTCTTTTCGGAATCCTTCAGCAGTGTTACTGGCAAGCTAGAGTCAACAGGGAAAAATATTTTACGAACATTAGGACACTAGACCAGCATAAAACAAAAATATTTCATTATTTAGTTGTTTTTTTTTACTTTTGTCACGCCTGGAGCCGTATTAACAACCAATTGGTCAGTATTTGACGCTTGGTCTAGAAGCCACTGCAGTGCTTCTGGGAAAGACTTGTGACCTAGCATGACATCACTGCTAGATTTGTTTATCAAGCCAATCAGCTGTGTAATCAAGGTTTGCAAACTCTCCACTTTTTTAAGTATTTCTTCTATATTTGATACCTGATCTTTCACATCAATCTGAAAACAAGAAATAAAGTTGTCAATATTGTTTTAATAAAGGCGTTAGATTACCAAAAAGGCCACAGCGAGAGCGCATTTTTGGCATTTTGCTTTAAACTATGTACAACTTACCGCCGGGTAATTTGCTGCTACTTGGCTTAATGTTTGTGCCCATGTAGCTATTGATTCACTTAGTGGTTGAGCTGTCTTTTGAAATGAATCCAACTAAAATAAAAAATACATTGTATTCTTACATAAGATTTTAAAAAAATCAAATTAGGTTATGGTGTTTGGGGTACCTCATTCGTTACTCTGTCCCAACCCAGCTTAGACAAGTCCGAATTTTTAAGGTCTTCAATTTTATTTCGGATATCTTGTGGAAGCAACTTCACATTGACTACGTTTTGCACGTTTTCGTCAATCGTTTTAAGGTATGGTGTGAAGTCAAAGTTCTTGACGAACTGAAGGATATTGTCAATTTGAATAGTGGAGTCAAGATCAATAACTTCATACATAGTCTTGTCTGCGCGGCATTCCCTGTTAATGTTGAGGGGGGAACGTTAGTATGACTGAAACATTTACGCAAACAATTTCTAAATCAAGCAAACGTACTCAATATAGTACTTGATGCTGTGCAAAGGAGGCAGCTGTGAACTTTCTGCTATCTCTGCACGATACTTTTGCAGCAATTCGTCTACCAGATGAGTGAGCTGATGATCACCTGGCTTTCGTAGAAATTCACATGCACGATCCGTTGCGACACCAGCAATGAAAAGTACCAGTGCAATAAGCATCCACACGGAAATTGTAAGAAGAATTAGGAGGACAGGACTGCAACACAAAAACTTCTCTTAAAAGTGCTACTCATAAAATAACTGGAATGTGCTGATTCTGACTAACAACCTTACTCACATATTAAGGAATGAATAGGCAGTTTTCGAGCAGCAACTTCCATAAACCAGGCCCAGTGTAATTAAGGCAGCTATGATGAGTATAACTGCACTATATGCAGTAAACCCACTTATCCTAAAATCACAAATGTTAACATTTATTACAACTGCCGGTATTTTGCAGAATTTTTTCAGCGAAGCACGGTTTTACCTGAAAGTGCCGTAAGACGCACTGTACCGATCTTGAAAATGTGATATTTCCTGATCAACTTGGAGTAACGTGTCACTTGCGTTGGTAGCAGCTCGTAATAGCTCTGAGGCTCTCTGTTGCAGATCTTTCCCAGTCTCATTGATTTTGGTGTTCATTTCGGTTGATGCATCGTTCATAACTCTTTCGACCTAGCACAACAATCTTCTGTTTCAGTGAGGTAAACATTATTGTACTTCGACTATCGCCAATCACGGAGACCTTTGCTCTTACCTGGCTTCCTATGTTGTCAACTTGTTTCCGACCGGTTGTAATCAGCGTTTTGAAATCCGAAGTAAATATTTGCGATAAATCCGTGATACTTTTTTCTATATCCCCACTTGTTAACTGAGCGAAACAGTACAGTTATTACATGATAGTTCACAAAAAAAATCACCACAGTTTGCAAAATTGAGTTTCTTACCGGATTAAAAGAAGGCGTCTTCAACGAGCTGATAAAGTCCTGTAACTCTTGTGGACAATTTGGACCAAGGTTTTGGCAGACGCTTTGCAGGTCATTTATTACAGCTTTTATATCTGAAAACAAAAAACACCCTTTGTCATTTTTTGTTTGATTTTTTTGCACTGTGCCCATGAGTAAGAGGCATGCATTACCCGTAACGATTTCGTTTGAAGAAGACGTGCAGTCATTTATGTTCAAAATGATATCGTCGAGATCTTTCTGTATCGTCTCGATTCCGGAAACCATTTTGTCTATTTCATCCAGAGGCAAGGAGCTAACAAAACCGTCAACAATACCTTTCGTTTCTGTTTTAGCACCTGGAAACAATTACATGATAAAATTGAATGGTACCTTTAAAGGAGAAATCACATGATTTAATCGCCACAAACGGGAAGTCATGAATAACCCGTCTTCTGTTTGCTGATGCTTGCTTTGCTAACTGTATGCCGATGAAACCTACCCAATCACATCTAAAAATATGTTGTAAAATGAAATCTTTCAAATGTTTGCTTAGGTATTTTGGCTTTTCATTATTCATGAAGGGATCCCGAGATTAGTGAGTCTTTCAAGAGTCCGTTACAAGAGCTTGAATGATGCCTTAGACCAGCGGTTCCCAACCTTGGGGTCGCGACCCCAAAGGGGGTCGCGAAAAAATTTCGAGGGGTCGCGGCGAGGTGGTTTGGGTCGCCTGGGGTCGCGGCTGTTTCCCGGCTGGCAGAATTGTTCAAAACGGTCGAAAATGCCTTTGAAAACTCGTGTTTTAGGTCGACTTTAAGCAGCAACTGCGTCTGATCCGAGGCGGTATTTCGCTCTCACTGTTTAAAAAAATCTTAAAATTCAGACCCATTTTGTAAGACCTAGTGGTCTCATTTCTGAATTAAGACCAGAAGTATGCAAAAGAAGAATCCTCGGATGAAATTTAAGTCTTTCGCAGTCTTAAAAGCAAATTCAGACCATCCGGACAAAAAGTCTGACAGGGGTGACTGAAAATTCAGACTAAGTACAAGACCATGTAGTCTGAATCGCCTTTCCAGACTATTCTCCTGAAAAGAAAAACCGCTTGATCTTAAATTTCAAACTGGTTGTGTATTTTCAGACCATAGGTCTGAAACGGGAGACGTATGGTCTGAAATGTCAGACTGGTTGCCTCACTTGACCAAATTTAACTGCAATATTTGAGAGCTCGATACAAAATCTCAAATATTTACGAACAGCCCAAGTTGTCCGCGGTTTAACTCCCGCAACACGCGCTTGGTTTGTTTATTTGTGGCCTCCCGCAGCGTCCAGCGAGCGCGCTTGGAGTCATCGGCATCCTGCAGCCGTGCTCCCAGAGCGGTCCCGTGGTGTAATGGATAGCCCGCAAAGCCGACGAGCGAGGATTCGATGGTTCGAATACCAAGATATTCGGAGTTTCCGAGTAAAGAGCACGGCCGATAAGTAACGCGCAAGTTGTATCAAAGACTTCTCTCGCAATGGAGTGAAGGTTCAACGTTACAATTTTGTGTTTTTGACTGAATTTTCTTCAGACTGGCTGTGTCTAATAATTCAGACCACCTAAATCTTAATTTTCAGACCACCCAATTCTAAACTTTGAGACCACCCTATTCTAAATTTTCAGACCGCCGAAATGGTCTGAAATTTCAGAACCCCTTACTGTTAATTAACTTCAGTCAAATTTTGTCTGAAATTTCAGAATATTTTTTTTACAGTGCTCCCTCAGCGGGCATTTGGTCTTTGGACCTTCCTTTCGAAAGCCTTTGTTACGGAGTGCGATTATCTGCCTTAGTTTGGGAGCAGTATTGTCTCAAAGTGGATCAAAATGGCATTCAAAGGCATTTTTTACTGTTTTCATCAACTTTGAGACAATACTGCTCCCAAACTAAGGCAGATAATCACACTCCGTAACAAAGGCATGCTAAAGGAAGGTCCAAAGACCAAATGCCCGTTGAGGGAGGACGAAATACCGCCTCGGATCAAACGCAGTGGCTGCTTAAAGTCTGCCCAAAACACGATTTTTAAAAGACATTTGTGGCCGTTTTGATCAACTTTGCGGCAATACTGGACCAAAATAAGGTGGATTATCGCACTTTGTATCAAAGGCATGCTAAAGGAGGGGTCGCGTGGGGTCGCGAAATTTCTTCCTGGGGGTCGCGGAAATTTTTTGTTTGTTACAAATTTGGGGTCGCGAACCGAAAAAGGTTGGGAACCGCTGCCTTAGACACTTCATTTGGGTCTTTCGCTAACGCCAGACGTGCCACAGGCCGTTGGATTCCCCTCGGACATTAACCGAGTAGTTTACAAATCATAGAAAGGGCCTAACCACCGATAAATTCAAATTTTCTTTAAGATTATTAGTTTTTATGAATACCTTCAAGGACGCTGTTGAGTCCCGTTGATAACTCGTTGTAATTGACACCAAGAATTGTGTTAACTTCCTGAAAGCAGAAAGTTTATTAGCTGATGCCAGTTTACATTGAACAGCTGCCTTTATGTAATTTATGTTATGCAATTTTAAGTACATCCGGCGGTGTAACAACTTTGTTTTTATCTGGCGATGCAAATAGTTTAACGAAAATCCATAATAAACTTGCAGTAGGCATTGCACAATCTGCAAATCCAGACGAACACAAAATTGGATCACCATTGAATGCGTCTGAAATCGCATAACTCGTGGAACAAAAAACTGTCTCGTATCAATTTTTTGATTACCGTCTCTGCGTTGTCGATGAAAAGCCTTATGTCTGAGGTACCAGACGTGATATGCTTTCCTAGGCCCACAACGCCATTTTCAATGTAAACATTTGCAGCGAAAGCAATTGCGACCCCAGCCCTGCAATAAAGATCGGTCCAGTACACAGGACAGCTTGACAAAGCTGTGATTTGACAAATTTTAAAGTTGGCACTACCTAACTTACACAATAAGGCAAGTAACGAGAGACAAAACGAGTGGCGCCAAGACCGGGCCGCCAGACCGCTTCTTTTTCTTCCGGCCAGAGCCGTCGTCGTCGTCATCGTAGAGTCGTTGTCCGCTGCGCTTGCTGCTCCCACAACAACGGCAGCAGCACCACAGGACGCCAATGCAGGGTGCCAACAAAGCCACTGCCAGCCCAACGGCCAACACTGCCAGAATCCCAACGTAAAACTGGGCCACGCTTCCGTAGTCAATGTTCTCGCTCAATCCAATTGTGCCATTGTTTACCACCAACAAATCTAATGAGAGTCAAAGAAAAATATAAACATTGGGCAATCAAATTATAAATTATGACAAAGAAGAAGAAAACACCAATACTTTATTATGGGAAGGTTTTTTAGTGCATGGGCATCTTGCACTATTTTGTGTCATGAAAGGAGGAGCCTGCCACCCACGCGCATTGTTGCCCGAGGCATTGTTTTGAGGAAGGAATAGTCTCACCGTCTTCGTGGCCACCACCCGTGTTATCTGTTGCACTGCCCAGCAAGGGCAGGGACAAGCAGCTTATCGTAAGGTTATTCTCACGCTTGAAAAGCGGCCTTTCCGGTACAGTTAACTACGCACGTTACTTTTCCAGAAAAATATTTATGTAGGCTCTTGCTTTGCTATCGCTTGTTTCTCTCTGGCAATTTAACAGCGATGGGTATCCCCTCGCTGACCCATCAACATTTGCCAGATCACCTTAGAAAAGACTGACTGAAGCCGCCTACAACAAGCCCTTGCACGCCCACGTCGTCTGCCAATTGAACTGACCTGGCGGCAGCAGGTCCTTTTGCTGGATGCCCCTCAAGAACAGACCGACCAAGTCGTACAGGGGTGCCAGGCCGTGCGCGATGAATCGGGGGTTCGAGGCGTAGGTCTCGTTGAGCGTTGGTAGCGTGTAGCTGGGGTCTGCGACGTCTGCGACGTCTGCCGCCTCGCACGGCGCGAACGGCGCCAACGCATGGAGGAAGAGTGCCAGGAGCACCCCGACGGAGGAAGCCGACATGACCCGCTGCGAAAGCTTGCTCCTGCCGGGCCAACACTGCGGGACTGCACCGGTTGAGACTGTTTCGCGGCAACCAGATGCATCCTTATCAACGGTATCACTCGCTATCAGCCGCCGGGCCTCGAGTACCTGCGGACGTCACGGTCTATTTACGGTTCTTTTTAATTTCCTGGGAGACACTTTTCGGCCGGTCTATCGAGCAGATTGGCGCATGCAAACAGGATTGGGCAAACAATGCGAGCGCCGACCTGCTCAAGGGGACTGCACTCCGTGCCACGGAGCAGACAGGGAAGCGCGGCAGCATTTCCTCCCTCCCGTCTTATCTCAGTCCATGCTGGGTCTAGGGGGCGGGGCGCAGTGACTCACTAAGTACACACCACATTCCTCATACCTCGGCCCGGTTTTCCTTTATTTTTTCAACAATCTGTGTTTCGAGGACCACAATCACATGTCGTAGACGGGTTCCCTGATGACTTGCTTGGCGGCCTGGTCCCAGAATGCCATCCTCTCGGCCAGCGGAACGCCCTCCTTGACGATTAGCTCGTCGCCTATCTCGAGATATCGCTCCGCGCCGACCGACCAGGCCGGCCAATCCACGCCGATGACGTCCGTGTTGGCAGCGCCGCCAGGGGTGGGGTTCCTGCGGCCATATAACTCGTTACACGCACGCGGCCAGGACGACTGACTCGGACTGGCTCCGCGCCGCTCCGCGCCCGGCAGCTGGGCAGCGAACGTGCCCACTCACCCCGCTACCACGAAGTTCTTGATCAGCTGCGTCATTCGCTCGGTGCCTTTGCGGACGCGCTCCCGCTCGGGGACCTCCAGGCCCGTCAGCAGGTGCAGTTTGAACACGTAGCCCAAGTCATCGCCGTGGCCTGCCGCACCTGCAACATCGTTTCGTGACGTACAGTCCGAGTCCAGTTGCGTTCTTCGTTCCAAGCCGATCGGTGCGGGCGCCGGGTTGCGGATAGGGACTGATGACTTGCAGTCGCTGTCGCATCTATGCGGGCAAGGCGAGTGGGCTCTTGTGTAGATGACATCGGCGTCAGGCGACGAGATTGGTAGATGAGGAAAATGCGCCGCAAAACTTCAAAAAAAATCTTTGGAGCGAAAATTGCAAGGTTTCAGCGACTATAGTTTTGCATATTTAAATGTTGCTTGCCTGGGATGTACTTGGCTGCTCCGAGGAAGAAAGACACCACTCCAAACGCGTCCAGCGTGAAAATGTACCGGTAGACGGGTGCCTCCGGTGTGGCGTGTTTGACGTGCCAGCGCGTCCCGACGTGTATCCCGTGGCCGAGAAGTTCGTCACCCGCAGCCTTCATAGAGAACATTGGGATTAAAACTTTCCACTACCAGGAAGCCTGATAACCGAGTCTTGACTCACGTCAATGAAGGGCGCGGTGGCCTCCTCGTCCAAGGGTTTGCCTTTGAAGTACATGTCCATGATCTTCTTCGCCCACTCCTGCCTCGCGTCCTCGTCCAGCTTGTCGTACATGATGTCCGGCACCATGCGGACGGGGTTCACCGAGATGTTCCTCAGAATATCATCGTTCAAAACTGTGGAAAAAGTCTTTTGAGGTACAGGCCACTGCGAGCCACTGCTTCGGCGCGCGAGACGGTCGACTTACGTGGAACCACGAGAGTGCCCTCAGCGGAGTTGGAGCCGATCATCATGGGCACGCGGGCGAAGTCTCCCTCCGCCAGGATGTCGTCGGGGTTTCGCGTGAGGAAGGGGTCCTCACTGCCGGGGGGCTCCACCACGGGGGCCCAGGGCAGCGACACGGAGATGGACCGAATGTCCTGGGACCGATCGCGAACATCATTAGCGGTTCAACTTACTCGCCGAGGCGGCCGTCGTCGTCCGAGTCCAGCGCACTGGAAGCCGGCGTACCTTTTCCGTCATAGCGCTCATCATCTTGGCGTAGAGGGCCTTGACGGGGACGCTGCGCAGGAACGCGATGCGCTTGACGGGGTCCTCGACGGCCTCCGGTTCGGACGGCTCCAGCACCGCGGCCACGCGTTTGCTGATGTCGTTGGGGTTCCTCTGGGGGGCAGGGCAAAGAGGGGCACGTTGGCGATCACGCTGGCGCAACCCCAACCACCAAGGAAGCCGGCGGCTGTCGTTACCTGCACGCCGTACGGGTCGGGGACCATGCTGCTGGAGAGGATGGCCGCGCGGAACAGACCTGCAGACATGTCGGCAGAAGTTGGCGGTCAGAGCTCTGCTGGAGCCCCCAAGCCACCAGGCCTCCAGACAATGTGACCTGGGATGCAGCTGCTGCGCGACTGCTGCGCGGCAGACTGATTCCAAGAGAGGTATTCGTCGCTCTGTCTCTCGCGCACCTAGACGGCATGCCATGAGAGCGAAAGAGACAGAGCGACCAAAATGACTCTCCGATTCAGTTTGCTGCCGGAGCCATGCAGGCAGCGGTGGGCAGGGCAGCCCGGCTGGCGGCGGTTCGCCGCGGTTCGCCGCGGTACGCACCCTTGCAGCTGGGGGACAGCACGTGCATGTGCACCGAGTGGGAGCCGGCCGACTCCCCGTAGATCGTCACCTTGTCCGCGTCGCCGCCGAACGCCTTGATGTTGTCGCGCACCCAGCGCAGCGCCTGCCGCTGGTCCTTCAGGCCCGCGTTCCCCGGCGCGTCCGTCGTGTTGGTGGCCAGGAAGCCTGCACCCAACAGGGCAAAAGGGGCATTAGTGGGAGGGAGAGAGAGGGGGGGGGCGAAGGGAGAGAGAGACCCGCCGCCACTGCCGCCGCGGACGGCGCAAAGCGGCCAGCGCAGCGGGGAGCGCCTGCCATCGGCAGCATAGGCAACTTGTTCGGCACGCAGCCTCGCCGCGCCTCGCCGCGCCTCGCCGCGCCTCGCCTCGCAACAGGTGCCCTTTGCCCTGCCCACGGACTGGGGCCCTGGGGCGACCTTACCCAGCGGGCCCAGCCTGTAGTTGAGGGTGACCAGCACCAGCCCGCCCCTGTCCATGAGGAAGTCCGGCCCGTAGAACAGGGAGTCCGCATTGCCCAGCGAGTAGCCGCCGCCGTGGAAGAACACCAGCACCGGCAGCAACGAGTCAGGCGGCAGGGCCTCCTACGCAACGCAGAGCAACGCCAAGGGTCAGGCAGTGAGGCCTAGCCGCTCTGTCTCTCTCGCACTCATCAACTCACAGACCGCGTCCCTTACTGGTGCGAGAGAGACAGGGCGACGAAACGCCGTTCGGAAGCAAACTGCGTTGGGCCCGCGCCCTCGGACGGTCGAGGGCGAGTGCTTACCACGGGAGTGTACACGTTCAGGTAGAGGCAGTCCTCGCCCATGCCCAGCATGTGCTTGGCCGCGAAGCGAGGGACGTTCGGCAGTCCAGCCAGCTGCTTCACCACGCCGCTCATCTTCTGCGCCACGTGACTGAATGCTTTCTGCGACAGCAAGACAATTATTTCCAGCATGACAGGGCCCGGGGCTCGGGGCACGGCGTCGTCGCGGCGTTGGCACTTACCATCGGCGACGTGGGCTGCGGGCAGATGTTCCCCTCCTCCCGCGCCGTCCGCACGCCCTCCCAACTCTCGGCGGGCTGCGGGGCCTGGGGCAGAAGGTGGAAGGCAAGGTGGCATCATTTGGGGCTCCGGCGGGCCCCGCTCCTCCGCGTCGTCGGGTCTTACCTTGAAGCGAAGCTCCCCAGTCGGCGGCTTGGCGTAGGGGATGCCGTAGAAGCCCATGTACTTGGTGCCGGCCTCGGTGCTCTTCTTGACGCCCACAACATCGCCTTGTAAACTGTGCACAACGGGGGCTGTCCGAAAACAAGAGCAGTTGCTTTCATCGTCATTATAACGGAAGCGAGATCGTTTTCACTGGATGCTCTTGGTTTACGCCACACTCACTGTCATCTGGCGTTGCTACGTATCCTCCGGAAACTGCCGAGCACGTTGCGAGGAGGACGCCTGAAAGAGAAGCACGGGCTACAGTGGAGGGCCGTGGAGTCGGTCGCCACCCGCACTCCACGGGGAATGCCGCCGAGGTCGCAGAGGGTGCCCCGGCGATACCCCGTGCCCACGAGACCTCCGTGGACGGTCTCGCGAGCGGAGAAGTAACGCAAAATTGAAGCGGCAAGCCAAGTTCCGCCGACGAGAATAAATACCGATGGCCGCGGCGGTGGCGGCGCGGAGGCCCATGCTGGAGATGTGGACGTGTTGCTGGCCGGGCGGACACTGGCTTTCGCAGTGCCATCGCCGGTTCCATCTAACACGCGACGGCTGCGTGCGCACCTGTCCAAAAACGCGAGCCGTTCGGATGCGGACGCAAGGCAGCAAGGCAGGGCCATGACGAGTCACTGTAGTGTCCTGCCATGCCCGGCCATGCCCGGCCGCCGCGATGCGCCACCACAAAAGCCATTTTTCAGCGTCGTTGTTGGAAAAAGAAAGAGCGACAAACAGACAAAAAGACAAGAGCGGCCGGCGCTGGACACAGCGCGCCGTGTGAAAACACTGCTGTTTGGCACGTGACGCGGGACCGCGGGGCCGCGCGCGACGCGGTGATGGAAACTGAGGTCATCGCGGTGCGGGCGCCGTGTCACCCGCCGCGGCCCCATTGCGAGCAGCGCTCCGTCTCTCTCGCGCCCACGCGGGACGGCCCGTGCGTGCGAGAGAGATAGAGCGACAAAGCGCTGCTCGGAAGCAGGCCGCCGCGGCCCACTCCCAGACCCGATCGAGGATGGCTAATAATTATTACATCGAGTTAGACATTAGCGAGGCGAGGCGACAGATTGAAATGGCCGGGCTTATCACGCACGGCGTGTGACTTATGGAAAGGGACGGCGATATCGCCAGTGTCTGGGAACGGCGGGGCGGGGCGGGGCGGGGCGGGGCGGGGCGGGGCGGGGCGGGGCGGGGCTGGGCTGGGCGGGCGGGGCGGGGCGGGGCGGGGCGGAGCGGGGCGGAGCGGGGCGGGACGGGGCGGGGCGGGGCGGCCTCTGAGAAGGGGGCGAAGGGAGCGGGGAGGAAACGCCCCAGCCCCGGCATTATCTGACCGGCGGCCCCCGCCGGCCTCTTAGATGCTGCAGTAGTTGGTAGTTGGCGCGTCGCGGGTCCGGACGGCCGGAAAACCATTTCGACTTGCGAAGGGCGGGGCGGGCAAGGACCCACGGCACGGCACGGCACGGCACGGCACGGCATGGCGGAATCGAGTGCTGAGCAGGCGCGCGGCGACGGCGGTAAGACGTCGCGACTCCCAGGCTACTTGAATTCGCAAAGTTGTTTTACTCCTAAAGCCACACGTGCGGTTTCCAGCAACGTAACGACTTCCGGTGTGGGTGTGTGTGTGTATGTGACTGTGTGTGTGAGCCGGTGTGTCCAAACGGCAGCCGTAATTCAGTCAAGATTATCCGACTATGGGACTATCATCGCCACCAGTGTGACTGCGGACTCCGGCATTGCCCGGTGCCGAAAGTAACGGCCCCGCCACGCCATCCACACCGTGTCCACACCATCCACGCCGCAGTGGTGATAAGTGAGGTTATGCCGCAACATCCCCTCCTGGCCTTCCAAGCACTCACTTCCAATCAGATGTTTCTTTAATTAGCTCCAAGTGGGAATATCAAATCTCTGCCAGCATACGCGCGTACGTCCAGTTCGTACATTTCCCGGCCGTACCGCACGCTTGCCACTCGCGCGTTGTTTGAACGGGGAATTCTTTCCGCGGATAAGCGTGCGCTCGACGTTGCGCACCATTCCGCGCGGCGTGGGTGTTTTCCTATTTTTCGCGAGCCGGGAATCGAGGGTCATGGCGGCGAGGAGAAGCAGCTGATATCGGCACGAGTCCGCGACCGCCGCGACCGCGCAAAGTGTCGTTCAAGGCCGCGTAAAAATAATGGAACGTGCCTTGACCCCCGGGAGCACATTATGAGTTCAACTGTTTCGGGAGGAGAGAGAGATAAGGCCGCCCCGCCGCCGCACGGCGCAGCACAGCGCTGCGTCACTGTAGGCGCTGCGGGACGCCCCATGAGTGCGAGAGAGACGGAGCGACAAAGACGACTCTCAGAATCAGTCTGCAGCATCCGAGCGGACGGGACGCGTCTAGGCGGATCGCATCAACACGCTCCGCAGAGCGGCCTCTCCTTGGCATGTTGGTGCGACCCGCCTAGACAGAGGACCCTCAGTCTCCCTCTCATTGGCGGCATACTCCACCGAAAGCGCCCAAAGCGCGCGTCGGGAAGGCAAGCCGAAGCAAGGCGAAGCAAGGCGAAGCCCGCAAGCCTCACACCATGTAGCAGGGCATTGACTCCGACAGGTCGTCTCGTCGCTCTGTCTCTGTCGCACGCCCGGAGTAGCCCGGAGCAAGGGCAGGAGGGCAGACGCGCGTCCAGGAAGCGAGGTGGCGTGCCACCCATTCGAGAAAGCCGAATGGGTCACGCCGTGGTCGCGCGGAACAAAGTGCCTTTTTGCGGGCGATACTCGCTACTTTTGTCTCCACGTGTCACGGAAGGTCGCCTCGCCGGTCGCGTGTTCGCCAACATCTCATCGTCTGCCCCTTTCGGCGAGGAGCTCCCCGCCCCCAAGTGGCGGTTGGCGGGGACCGCGTCCCGCCCCGCCCCGTCCAGTGCCCCCGTCGCTCTGTCTCTCTCGCACCCCCCGCACGACGCCACATGCGTGCGAGAGAGACAGTGCGACGAGAGCGCTGCCCGGGATGGAGGTGCTGCGTCGTCGGCGCGGAGGGAACGAGGAAACGCCGCCGCGCGCCGTGAACCATGCCACGAACCATGAACCATGAGCCATGAACCATGAGCCATGAACCAAGAGACATTGCTGCTTGCAGGCGCGGACGCGGGCGCGCCCCGGGGCCTGGGGCGCCGCCACCTGCAAGTGCTGCTGCTGTTCCTGGCCATCGCCACGGCCTACGGCATCAGGATCAACCTGTCCGTGGCCCTCGTCTCCATGACCAACCAGGAGCGCAAAGACGGCTACCCGGTACGCCCGTTCCCTTCCCCGCGGCCGGCGGCCCAGCGGCCGACGCACGCCCTGCGGTGAGCTGCAGGCTGCCGGCCCTGACGGCGTTGCTGGCGTTGCCGGCGTTGCTGCTGCAGGTGTACCAGTGGGACCAGAAGCAGTTCGGCACGGTGCAGTCGTCCTTCTTCTGGGGCTACACGCTGATGCAGGTGCCGGGCAGCATGCTGGTGCAGCGCTTCGGGCCGCGCCGCTTCCTGCTGGCGGCCATGGCGGGCGCCTCGGTGCTGGCCGTGCTCACGCCCCTGGCCGTGCGCCTGGGCGGCATGGCGCTGCTCATCACGACCCGGGTGTGCCAGGTGGGTGACGTCCTCGACCACGGCGTGCAGGGCAGGCTGGCGGAGTGGTGCGACTGACGTGCTGCGTTGCTCCCTGCGCAGGGCCTGCTGTCGGGGCTGGTGTTCCCGTCCTCGCACAACATCCTGGGCCGCTGGGCGCCGCCGATGGAGCGGCCCCGCTTCACCGCCTTCGTGTACGGCGGCATGTCGCTGGGCACGGTGGCGGCCATGGGGGGCGCGGGGCTGCTGTGCGGCTCGCCGCTGGGCTGGCCCTCGGCCTTCTACGTCCCCGGCGCGCTGGGGCTCTCGTGGTGAGGCGGGAAGGTTTGTGCAGTGGCACTGCCAGTGGCTCCGCCAGCGGCGTCGGCCGGCATCGGCGAGGTGGCCGCAGCCAACAGCTCACGCGCCGCTGCCTGCTCCCTGTGCAGGTGCGTCCTGTGGTACTTGTTCTCCGCGGACACGCCGGCCCAGTGCAAGGGCATCGCCGCCGAGGAGCTGGCCTACATCCAGCGCAGCATCGGCTCGGCCACGACCTCGTCCAAGGCGGTGCGTACTGCGTACCGCGCACGGCGTGGTGCTCTCATTGCGGAGATCGATACTGCCGATAACTTGATTGGCACTCCCTGCCGAGTGGTTCCGACGAGGCGTGTCGCCGCTCTGTCTCTCTCGCACCCCTACGCCGCGTGAGTGCGAGAGAGACAGAGCGGCGCGCCTTTTGTGGTCGAGCCATTAATCGCAATCGCAATCGCCTGCGAGGTAGACAGGCCCGTCGCGCTCGCGGGCGTGGCGGCACGGCCCGGTGCCTACCTCGCAGGCGGCCGGCCTCAAAGTCCCTCCCTCTTCGTTGCCGCCGCGGCGCTGCCAGGTGTCCAAGGTGCCGTGGAAGGCCATCCTCACCTCGCCGCCCGCGCTCTCGCTGCTCGTGGTGCACTGCGGCCAGAACTTCGGCCACTGGATGCTGCTCACGGAGATGCCCAACTTCATGAAGACCAAGCTGCACTTCAACATCAAAGGTGGGCATCAGGGCGAGCTGGGCGAAGTCATTTAACGGGAGAGGCAGGGCAAAGGGCCGGGCTGAAGCACACACTCCGCTAAGAGTGTCCTCGTTGACTGCTTCGCAGAGGACGGGCTGTTCTCCGCGCTGCCCTACGTCAGCCTGTGGGCGGCCACGTTCCTAGTGGGCTGGTCGGCGCAGAAGATCAACGAGCGCCGCGTGCTGCCGCTGGCCGTGTCCAGGAAGGTCTTCAACTCCGTCGGTAATCGTCAACCCCGTCTCGGCCTCGGCGTCTACGCGCCACGCGCCACGCGCCCGGCGGGCAGGCAGCCCATCGCGCCGGCCTGCGCGGCGTGGTAGCTGTGGCCCTCACTGTAAGTACAGTCGCTGACTTGTGAGTCACTGCAGACGCCTGCCTATGCCTCCCCCGCAGCGCACTGGGGCTCCGGGCTGACGCTGCTGCTGCTGGCGCTGCTGCAGCCGGGCCGCTCCGGCGCCGTGGCCCTGCTCACCGTGGCCATCACCCTCGAGTCCTGCATCTTCGCCGGCTTCTACGTCAGCCACATGGACCTGTCGCCCAACTACGGCGGCGCGCTCATGGGGCTGTCCAACGGGTGCGGCAGCGTCATGGGCATCCTGGCGCCCCTCATCGTGGGCCTCATCCTGGAGGATGAACACAACCCGTCCGAAGAGGTGCGTGAGAGCCCCTGCTCCACTTTTTTTTCGAGCCAAAACATGCCTTCGTCCGGAGTAGCGGCGCCGTACCAAGGCCCTGCGATTACTGACAAAGTCCAGGAGGAGATACGCATCATGATCATAGGGTGCCGCGGCAGTGTTCCGGGCACACTAATTTGAGTGTGGGGTAAACACCGTGTGACTCAGTAAATAGTGCACTTAGTGGGGCGCTAGTGTCAGTATAGCGAGTAGGTTTGAATCCCCGCGCTCATGGAGGAACTCGCGTCGCTAGCGGAAATGCTAGCGCAGCCCTTGCGTGTCGCTCGCCAGAGCCGTGGAGGCCTACTCGCTATACTGACAGCTAGTCCCAACCGGAGGAAAGTAGGTGCCCCTCCACGAGGAGCGTCTCGCTGACCCAAAATCACCGCCGATCTTCCCTGCCGATGCAGTGCCTTCGTCGAGTTCCCTGACCGGCGTTCCTTCTGACTCGCAGAAACTCGCCTCCATGTGGTCGTGGATCTTCATCCTGACGGCGTGCATCTACTTCGCGGGCAACCTGGTGTACGTGCTGCTGTGCCGCGCCACGGTGCAGCCCTGGAACGAGCCGCAGACTCCCGCGGATGAGAAAGGTGCCGTCCGCTGCGACGAGTCCATGCCTCTCTCTCTCTCGCACTCGTGCGGCGTATCGTGTGAGTGCGAGAGAGACGAGACTGCAGGCCGCTCAAGTTAACACGCTCTCCCCTTTGCAGGAACCGGGCTGGTGACGTTGCCGGTGTCTGACCCTGCCGCCGGGGAGGAGTCCAAGTCGGAGGCCTACAGCAAGAGCAGCAAGAGCCAGGCCTGACTGCCTGACTCGCGCCAAGAGCAAGAAGCGCGACTCGAAGCAACGATCGCTTCACTCAATCCGCTCCGGGGGGAGCAGCGCGCGACGGCGAGGCACCAGTGCGACTAGTCAGCAAGTGGAGGACGCCGTCAACGCCCCCATGCCCACCCTGAGTCTTGGCGGCGGATCCAGAAGTTCCCTGCCAAAGAGCGCCTCTCGGTGCTGGTCTAGGACGACTCCCTTCACCCTCCTTCCCCACCCTGGATCCGAGCTTGCTGACGTCACTTGGACCGAGGGCCACTTCCACGCGGAGTGTCGATGGGTAGTTTGTTCACCACTGTACTGATCTAGTGCAGGCTGTAGACCTGTGTGAACGTCGTCCCGAATGCGGGCCTTCGCTGTTATAGTGTGCGGCCATGTCGGCCTGGACACTCGCACTGTGTAGCTCGATGACATCTGTGATATTTGTGTGAGTAAACATCGTATTATGTCATATTTTCCCTTCCATCGGTTTCCCTGAACAAAAGCAAACATACACAAAAATAATAAAGAAACCAAAACGAATGAACACAATCAGACCTAGAAAAAACAACTCTTCAGAGCTGCGCGCCAAAACACCCACGGGCAGTTACTAGTTAGTTCGCGGTGGTGAACTGGTTCTGATTGCGGCAGCGCCCCGGGGGGGGGGGCAAGGCAGGGTTCTCGCAGAGGCCTAGCGCGTGTGGCTGCAGCACTCTATGGTCTCGGACAGGACGACGCCGCGTTCTTATGCAGTCCCGCCGGCAGCGCTGCGTGGCGGGACTGCCTACCCTGCCGCAAAGACAGGGCTAGGCCACCAGCACGGCAAGGGCGCTCCCACGAACCTTTCAATACTTTCAATCCCTTGGTACTTGGTGGCCTCGCCCTGACTTTCTTGGGTCAAATATTTCACCAATTTCACCTTCCGCTTCACTCCGAAAACTCTTCTCTCTTCCTCCTCTCTCCCCCTTCTCCCTCCTCAACCTAATCCTACCCCACTCCACTCCCTCTCCCCCCACCCCCTCGGCCGCAAGTTTCTCTCGAGCTTCGAGCTGCACAGCTGTCAAGCAGCCAAAATGTCGCAGTGTAATAACTGCGAAGATGATACCTGACTCGTGCATTTAGCTCCTTTTTATTTGACCTGAATTTTAGCGTTTTATCAGCCTGTATGATTTGATCGTCAACCATCTTACATGCGCATCTGCTACTTGTGTTGAAGTCCATGATGGCCAGTTCGCCTAGGTTAGGATTTTTTCAGGCAGTCCGGGAAAGACTGCTTACCATCTGAAAGGTAAACTTCTGACACGATTAACGTTCTGCTCGTTTTATGGCACGTATTGAAAAGCTCGGTCGCAAGAACTCTTTTCATGTTTAATGGGGAAAGGCAAAAAGAGCTAAGATCCCAACTCAAGCAAAAGTATTATTTATATTATGTAATTGACTTCTTTTATTTCAGCTCTCATCTTATTGTACCAGTAGACTGCACAAGAAAGTCAATATAGACTTGTGTATGTGCTGTCAAAGCTATACTTTGGTGTCTAGCACATACCAGTCTACTTTCTGAGTTATTGTCTGGAGAAACCGAGACGACACAATGTTTGCTGCCTTAAAGAGAATGACAGGGAAGGGGGAAACCCCGACCCTTGGAGGCTTGCCAGCAACTCCTCGCCCAGGTCTTCAGTCTATGGCACATAATCTGCAGCGCAAGTTTGCACGTGGTGTTCAGTACAACAGTAAGATCGCTCATTACACTTGATCTGATAGTTATTACTCTCATGCATGGTTTTACTAATGTGCATCCCTTATTTGATCAGTGAAAATCATCATTAAGGGAGATCGAAATGTAGGTAAAACTGCGCTGTTTCACCGACTGAAAGGGGAAAAATTTATTGAAGAATATGCTCCTACAGAAGAAATTCAGGTATGCCTCTTGCAAAATATTTCTGTACCTATCCAGCTAACATGGATCATAAACTTGTTAAAATTTAATCTACTAGGTTGCAAGTATTCAATGGAGCTACAAAGCTACCGATGATGTAGTAAAGGTTGAGGTATGGGACGTAGTTGATCGGGGGAAGAAGAAAAAACGGATCGACGGTCTGAAGCTAGACAATGCTGGTCCTATCAATGATCTACCGGAAGAGCCAGTTCTTGATGCAGAATTTTTGGATGTGTACAAGGGTACCAATGGTGTTATCATGGTTTTGGACATTACAAAGAACTGGTGAGATTTATTTATGTATATATGCATGTATGTATTTAAATGACCATGGTCAAGCGGACCAACTTGATGTTACTCATAAATTTTTTTCTGCTTCCAAGGACATTTGAATATGTTCAGAGAGAATTGCCTAAAGTACCAACACACATTCCAGTCCTAGTTCTTGCAAACCACTGTGATATGTCCCACCATCGAGTTATCACACCAGACCACATTATATATTACATCGAGAGCCAACAAAGGTAAGTCACAACTTTTCTTTTATAAAATTTTCATTTTGAAGTTGATATTTGTGATAAATGTGGGGACATTCATTTTTAATCTTGCAGACCTGAAGGATGTGCCCAAATTCGTTATGCCGAGTCTTCTATGCGTAATGGATTTGGATTGAAGTATTTGCATAAGTTTCTCAATTTACCATTTTTGCAACTTCAGCGAGAGACTTTGCTTGCTCAGCTTGAAACCAATGGCAATGAAACAACAGCCACTGTTGCAGAACTTGATGCCTTCCAGGCTGGTCCTGATGCTGATTACAACCAGTAGGTTGAATTTTGCTTTAAATTCCCATTTGAACCTGTTCTGAATGTCTTTATTAAGTTACTCGCTACTTCCCTTTTAATATTGTAGATTTCTTGAGAACCTGGTGAATAAACGCCGCCAGGTGGCTGAGTCTACATCTTCTGCAGGAACTCAAGCTCAATCTTTTTCTGGAGTAGGCCATGCACCCTCTGGTCTGCCTCATTCTTCCACCTCCCAACAACTGTCTTCGCCAATGGTTTGTATTCAAATTTTCATGTTGAAGTTATATTGAAGTTTATGTTCTTCTCTACATGTTTTGAAATTTCTTGCAGACTCAAGCAAATGATTCTGGCATGCGCCGAAGTTCCTCGACTCCAGGTCCTGTTGGCCCCATCGGAGGAGGTCAACCTATTGGAGGAGGTCAACCTATTCCGGGAGGGATCCCCATAAATGGTGGTCCTTCAAGTTCTGGTCCAACTTCTTCATCACAGCCCCCCGTGCCGAGTGCACCTGAGAAGGGTGTGGGTAGTGATGTTATCGATGGGATGGCAGACTCTGGGAAGAAGCAGACTGGGTTAATGTCTAAGCTTTTTGGAAAGAAGGACCTTGTGGAAACTGGTGAGTATCTCATACTACTCAGTTTGTTTTGAAAATAATTATTTGGAATGCTACTTTGCTTCAAGTAAATTGTCATTTACAGATAAACGGCTTGATTTATCATTGGAAGGTGCAGCAAAAAGTATGGCTGGAAATGTTGTTAGTGTGGAAGAATTCGTACCTGATGGCGGTGTGATTGACAGGTCGTTTTTGGAAGACTCAACTCCAACAGTGCAGAATACAACCACCCAACAATCAGTTGATTCTGATAGGTTAGCAACCCTTACATCAGTGAAAAAAAAAACAATTTTTTTTTCTGTAACAAAAGTGTCTCTTATTGTGTGTGTGTGTTTTCTTTTTACACAGCGAAGTTGAACCAGATGGAAACCCCCTAGTTGCGGGCTTCCAGGATGATATAGACTCTGATGAAGATCTGACGCAACCTCTCCCGGGTGTAACTATTGCTGATGCTGAGACTGAAAACGACCCTGATGATGAAGTACCACAACCAGTTCATGTCTCATCCACATCCGAGTCACCAGTTCCAGTTCGAAAATTATCAACAGCATCCAGCACTGGAAAGAAGTCTGTGCAAGATGAGTGAGTGACTTCAATTCTTTGTTTGATTTACTAATTGGAAGCTTTTCTATCGGCTCCCATTAATTCCTCTTCTTTCTTTTAGAGGATCGCTGGATGGTGAAGTCTCTACAATTACAGGAGATGCCCTTGATGCTTGGTTCAGTTCTGACAGTAAATTACGAAGGAGTCCTGAAGGTGGAGAAGATACCGGATCCAGAGCTTCTGGAGGGTCTCGAGGCTCAAGGGATGGAGATAATTTACCAACACCACCTTCCTCTAACACATCTGAAAAGAAAAAGAAGCAGAAAAAAGAAAAAGAGCAGGAAAAGGTAGGTTCATTTTGCTCACTCCACTTGCATGTGCATGTAGTAAATTGTATGGTCTTACTGAGCATTTCTTAATTTTGCTGCTTGTTTCTTTTCTGAAGGAGGATGATAAAGGGAGCAGCAAAAAGCATAAGAAAAAATCAAAGGATAAGGACAAAGAAAAGGAACGTGAGAAGAAAAAAAAGTCAGTTAAGAAGCTTCAATCTGAAGAGCGGAGTAGAGATGAGTTGGAAGAATTTTTGAATGGTTCCACATCATCTCCAGTGGAGTCAGCTTATGAGGCCCTATGAGTACCATATTGAAACTACTTATAAAAATTGACTTTCATCTCTGAGTTGTTTGTGCCATTTCAATTTATATGAAGCTCAAACATATTCCATTTTTCATTCCTGTCCAATAGAACTTACGTATTACTATAATTATTGCTGCTAGTTACTGGCAAAACATTTGCTTTTACGAGCGAAAATACTTCATAATAAGAGGAGTGATGATTTTTTTCAGTTTACAAGGCATGTAAATCATCACTCAGCAGTTATCCCCAATTTCACTTTTTTCTTGTTGCTTGATAATAATAATAAATTGGACATGTACAATTTATCTTACTGTTTTGACCAGAATGAAAATTAATTATATCTCCTCTGGTGTTTCTGTACTTACTCCACTCTTGTTCAGCAGTTGTGTGAGAAATGAATTGCCAGATGTTGTCAATTTTGGATTTTTATTAAATCATGTGCCCAAACCTGTGCAATTGTTTGTAAATCTCATTAATTTTAATGTGGGGTGGAAGACCCTGTTTACTATTTCAGTCAGATGCACTGTTCAAAATAAGTTTTTGAAGTGCATTAAGAAGTACATAATGGTTTGGCTATTGTAAGAGACAGCAGAGAGTTTGTTGATATTAAATTAATACTGGTTTCTTGTGTTATGGATATTGATACAGAGAACTGAGCTGGTGGAAGTAATTATTTTTTACTATCTCTGATAAAGTGATTTTTTCTTCTACAAAAGCTTGTTCCTCCCCAGCTGTGTTCTGCGAATGATGAATGTCCCAGAAGCAGCCTTTAGGAACCCTGACATAAAACCTGTTAGAAGTGGCTGTGACTAGAAAATCTGTTGTTTATAAGGGTATTTTTTAATGTTTCCCATCTTGAAGAGTACTTATGAGTTTTTTAATAGATCCACAAAATGAAGGACTACTTCAGTCAGCGCCAGTAAATTTATTTTTGTTGGGCATATATTTGTTTATTAAAAGTAGTCCTTCATTTTACTGTTCTTGCATATTGACTATGTAAATCTGCCCCTGCCCAAAATGAGATCACATGAAAGTGACACTGATGGTTCTTGGTAATTTTTTTAATTTGGTACATTATCATTTATCTTGACAGCATAATATTCATCTTAGTATCCAATTTTATACAAGTGTGCTTAAGTTTATGCTTTAAATTGGTACCCAAGGCAGTGTGTGCAAATCATTAATATGGCAGGTATCAAAATTTGTTCTTGTTGAAAGATGAGCTTCAGTGAGATTCTACCCCTGTGAAAATAGGTTTATTGTATCTGCTCTCTTTCTCTCATTTTGTTTTAAACTTGTTATCATTTTTAACTTGAAAGCTTTAACAAAAGAAAAAGAAAAGAAAAAAACAAACAAGTATTTACTATTTCTTTCAAAATAAACGTGACTGTTTATTTATGCTAATCTCTCTGTGGTAATCATTTAATCCCAAAAGAGCATCTGAGAACAGACCTCGCCAACCCCATAACTTCTTTAATAAACTTCTTTAATGCCCAAAAACTTACATCTAAGTCGATGTGTCAGTACATCTGAGGAGATACATTGTTTCTAAGATCTTGATAGATGGCAAGTATCTTCTTGTGGTCCAGAGCTTCCTCAAGGGATAATGTTTCCAGTACTGCATTGAGATTCTACAACACACAAGTAAAAAATCATTGATTCGAAAAAGTTACAGGTTATTTTTCTTTTTCGTTTTGTTCCATACAATCTCACATTTACATTACCTTAGCCTTAGTACATGCAACATCATGTTCATTGTCACAATCAGATTTGCAGTCTTTGAAAATAGACGTTAAATGCAACTTGAAACAGTGGAAGAAGTCCAAATGAGCACTGCTTATGGTTATAGAGGAACATGACTTTCTTAATACAATATTCAGAGTTTTATGTGAAAACTTCAGCCAGATAACAGTTTTATCACCTTGTTCTAAAATAGACAAAAGAAAATGATGATATTGTTGTAACATATCTTCACTCTGAAGTGTTGAGCAATTGCAAAACTTACCATAAAAATGTTTGTTCTTGATGGCACTATTGCAATGAGTACAATTAGACAAAATTTTATCAACAATTTTACTGTGCTGACGGAATTCTTCAGGGACAGGGATCACACAAGAAACTAAACACCTTTCCTGAAGATCATCTGTCTGAGAATCAGAACCAGACATGGGTGAATGAATTTGATTAACACAATCTGCAATATCATATGCCTCTATGCATGAAACTTGAGGTGCCTGAGAGAATGCAGACACAAAGTGAGACACATCCAAAACTGCAGTTGCAAGGCTCATTTTTAGCCATTCCCTTTTCTCTTTATTTTCTTTGATCTCGGCCAAAAGGTATGCTTTGACTTCAAGGGGTAAAGATGATATTTCAACCGCAAATGGAATGTTAAATCTGGCACAAAATGGAAAATCACTACTAAATGTCCTTGTAAGAGGAATATGCCTTGTTGCTGCCAAACCATCTGCACTTCGAAACTCCAGACTCATCTTCCAGAGTGAAGAGGGAAAATCCTCAGGTGAGTTATTGTTAATTTGAATTGAGATAACAAACTTTGTATAAGTTTTCTCCAGAAAGTCATTAGAATCTGTTGTCTCTGAGCTTTGCCCACTTTGTTCTTCATGATTGCCAAATACTTTGACATCGATTGTAAAAAACTTGGCCATAAGAGGAGATCTTGATACTGAAGACAGTGCTGAAATCAAATCCAATTGAAATTATTATTCAAAATGATAAAAATAACTAACCAAGACATAAAATGAGGATTTGTTGTGGGTATTTTTAAACCGACCTTTAATAAGGCCATCTTCTTCTTTTAGCTTGTTTTTTACTTCAGAGAGGATTGCTGTTTGAGCCTGCATTTCTTGTACAAGCTGCAGTGACAGATCAAGGTCACACCCTACAAGGGTAAAATTAAGAGAATGAAAAAAGTCTCGAGCAATTAGGAGTGAGAACAAAACTTACTGTACCTGCCCAGGGGAAGTGACTTTGCTCTTCTTTGAACAATGTGCTTGCAGGGTTCAGCAAATAGAATATACTGTGAGAAGATGACGCAATTATAAGATTGTCCTCAAGAACTGAACTCATTGTAGTAATCCCTGGTGAGTGGAAAATTTGATGTTGATCATACAAAGTATTTCTTTGGGCAACATAAAGAGCAAAAAAAAAAAAAATAATCAGATTTTACCTTTGACAGATATCATATCAACTTGAGTCTGATCTGGTGCTAGTAGGTGGATTAGACTTGTGTTAAAGCCATCTGAGACTATTAACTGTTCACATGTGGGAGCAGAATAGCATTTCACTGGATGAGACAGTGTGAAAGAGTTGAATGACAGTGGAATACTATTTGAATTCATCGACCTATTTAATACAGGTGATATTTTCAAAACTGTGCCACCTTGTAGGAACACAAATATATTGGAAACATCTGTCAAAAAACAAATATTGTTGAATAAGTTCAAAAGAAATAGAAAATTTTAGAACAGAAAGACCTTAGGCGGTTTCCCACCTGCATTCACATGCAAGTAAGCCAAGCCAAGCCTTCCACTTGATATTTGAGTACGACCCTCAAAGTGAAAATATAGTATCATTAAAGCTACCTGGAGAGTATGTGAGTCCAATGATTGACCAATGGGATTGGAAAATCAGTCTTGGAGACAACCTTATCCCCAACTTTTTAGCAGTCAACAGGAAAGGCACGCAGAAAAGTTGACCGGAGCTCAGGCCAACAAGAAGAACATCCGCATCTTTACAATCACTGAAAAGAGTAGTGGCTTGACTTTGCTCAAGAAAATGGCAGGTGCATCTTCCTGCATCCAGAGGACTTCTGTCACTGTAGATGTTACTTGAAAACTCAAGGTGTGAATCCACTTGAGATGTGCTGTTCTGAGACACAGAGTATATTTCTGCGTTAAGTGTCCCATTGTCTTGTGCACAAGTAATGACGGCAAAGCCATTCTGGAGAGAGTGATTTGGTATAGAGGTCGCAGCTAAAACCCTCTTCACAGCTGATAAATTAAAAGCTGTGTTCAGTGAAAAGGACTTGCAAGTGTCCAGATGTTTCAACCTGAACAGATACAAATTTTCAAACGGCATAACAGAACAGTCAACAGTATCATTAGATTCGTTAACAAATTTTAAAAAAAAAAAAAAAAACTTACACTGTAGCAGAATTATTTTTTCCAGTTGAGCTTAAAACTTGGAAAAGACCACTAGAACTTACAAAATAAATAAAGTTATCTAAGAGGAGTATATCTAGGATGGGCTCTGTTGATGTTATAATCTGTAAACATAAATTTTCTGACTGTCATTGCTGTCGTGAGGGATTTATGGAATACATCAAAAGATAATTAATTTTCATGACGTGTGAAAAGAATGGTTTATTACCTGACTTTGTAGTGGTTTTTGTGATGACAAAACGTCTTTATCACGACGGAGGGTTAAGATAAGTGATAAATTAGAACGCCAAGCAAAGAACAGGCTGTACTCGTTATAAACGAAAAAGCGCGAATACTCAGGAACAAAGTTTTCAATTGACTTCGGGATGTGCCATGGCAATACTGAGAAATTGCAAGGATTTCCACTCATTTCGACTAGGTTACTTGGTTTGCTGTCGTCTGCTACACGAAGTTTGTTTTGGCCGCCGAGCCGAGCCCAAGCACGGCCACCTAGAGCGAATGTGTTTTGAAAGTGACCGCGGTGGGCCGTATGGGACCGGATGTGGGGTGCATTCAACTTGCACCATCTCCTTCTTCATCTTCCTTCTTCTTTCCGTTTGGAATCAGTTGCACCGTGCTTGTTCTCTCCGGAGCTAAGGCCGTATCGGCGACTTGCACAAATTTTATTAGGCATCCATCCTAATATTTCCACAAAACTCAACCATGAGCACCGGGTCTGAATTGGCGTGCGTTTATTCCGCCCTGATTTTGGCTGACGACGATGTCGCAGTCACGGTAAGTGTCGCTACTTAACCTAGCCGGTGTACGTGTTACTTTTGCTCTGTTAATTTTCCACTCAGATCTTGCTGTCTTCTCACTAAGTCATAGTTTCCGCCATTGGAAGCGAGTCTTAATTGCATGACCCTCTTTTTTCCCCTCTGGAACGGAACTTTGGTCGCTGCGCTTTTTGAAAGCGTGTCTTTGTCACCACATTTGCCGACCGCTTTGCTTAGCTTGTCCGTGTCAACACGCGGAGGAGCAAGGACCATGCTTTGGTCGTTGCACAAACAGTTCCAACTGTCTGAACTGTTTTTATCACACCCAAGCTCTTTGCTGAATTTCGCAATATTGCTTGCAATTTCGACTACGTATTTGGCCCTTATCCAACACGCACCTAAGCCTAGTGTCTGTGTGTCAGCCTAGCCGCGTCACTATGACAATTTAAAGTAATGTGCCCCACGTTTCCTTACTTTGCTTCAAAATCCAGTCTACAAAGAATGCATTTTTTTGTGTCTGTGTTGCAGGGTGAGAAGATCCAGACCATCCTCAAGGCTGCGTCTGTTGATGTAGACCCCTACTGGCCTGGTCTCTTCGCCAAGGCCCTGGAGGGTATCAACATCAAGGACCTCATCACCAACGTCGGTGCTGGTGTTGGTGCTGCTCCCGCTGGTGGCGCTGCCCCCGCCGCAGCTGCCGCCGGAGGTGCTCCTGAGGAAAAGAAAAAGGAGGAGAAGAAGAAGGTCGAAAGCGACCCTGAGACTGACGATGACATGGGCTTCGGTAGGTGTTCGTTGCATTGTTACTTGACTTACCATGTAGCCCCTACCCTCTTCATGTTGAAGTTGTGTGATTCCCGATATTGCAATACATTCAGGGGATATTCTATTCTGCCCCTATGTGGAGTAGAACCCCCACTCTATTAAGCCGGCTGTGCTTGGCTTTTCCATGCCAAGGCGGTGTGCTAAGAGTGGGCAAATTAATTCTGACCATGTGTATGATGATGGGGTAGTCCTCATTCTTCAAAGGAGTGTTAGATACATCTTTATGCATAATGATTTATCCAGCCAAACCCCCATTCTATTAAGCCGGCTGTGCTTGGCTTTTCCATGCCAAGGCGGTGTGCTAAGAGTGGGTAAATTAATTCTGACCATGTGTATGATGATGGGGTAGTCCTCATTTTTCAAAGGAGTGTCAGGCACATTGGCTGATCTTTATCGTCCTTGAGACATATGAACAGGATTGAAATCAGCCATGGCATCAGTGTAGCTCGCCTATGAATGGTGTCCTAACATGGTAAACTATGGAAAAGCGATGTGTCGCTGATAGACGGCAATTAGTCTTTGTGTCATTGCCGTAGAATTGGGCACTACACTTCCATAGCTGTTAAGGAAGTTAAATCCCTTCAGAAATGAGATCCATGACATTAGTGTTGTTCGCCCCTTTATGGCGTCTTAACTGGGTAAAGCATGGAAGAGTGATGTGTTCATGATAGACGGCATTCGGCCTTGATGTCATTGCTGTAGATAGTAACACTACACAACCAGCTTTTCTGTTGCTGTGAAGAATTTGTCTGTATTTTCTCTAACTTTCATTTTTGTTTGTTACAGGTCTCTTCGACTAGACTTCATTCCTGTTTTCTATACATGTACAGTTTTATGTGCAATTAAACTTATAAAAACATCAATGCCTTCTTTAATGATTCCTACACCACTTATCAATAAAACACTAGAGCCATGGGTGACCAGCTACTGGATGTGTATGTTCGCATTCAAGGGTGGCAAGAATGCAACAATGTTGACTGATATCTCCACCACTACTAAGATTTGTTTAGAGTGCTCAGTAAAGATGGTTTTATATATTAAACTTTCATTACATTAGTGTCTTTGACATTCTTGCCGGCAAAGTTACCTAGTGGCATCGACTTTGGCATTAGGCTTCGTTGTCAGGTGGATTTAGTCTAATAATTTGCCTTTCCCAACAGTCACTTGACTTCTCACGTGGGCTATGCCAAATTAAAATTATGAGAAATGCAGTTCAGTTATGGATAATTCTTTCAACAAATTTAATGAAAAGTTTTCATTCAGCAGGATTAATGCATGCTACATTATGTTACATGACGTAGAATTTATTACTGAAACTAATACAGGGTTACCACATAGCTCTTTGAATCGCTGCCAAATTATTGTAGTCTGCCAAATGCCTAAACACAATTCTGCTCATACGGAACTCTTTAATACATGCCCTTGGCCTTGATGTGGCATAGCAGCGATAGTTCAAACGAATGAAATTGGAGTCTCTGGGGAGGGCTTTAACATCTTCATGAGCAATTTCCTGTCAAAAGAGCATACAAATCATCAATGAGGGTGGGTGCAATCCATTCCACACAAAAAACAAATCCATTTTTTATTTTTTTATCAACACCTTCTCAGTCCCACTCAAACACTCAAAGAAGGAAGTGAACATATACTTACACGAATTTCTGGCGGAAGGCCTTTGCACCGATACAAAGTGTTCAACAACATCCTCTCTCTTCCAAACTTCTTGACAGTGATTCGCCTTTTCTGGTCCTTAATTTGCATTCTATTTACAAACTTGGTTCGAACTTGCTGGGACTGTCAAATGGTAAGTAATCAAAATTTGAAGTTCACAATGGTACATACACAGTTGCAGACAACATTGAAACTAGGTTATTGCGTGCCCCTTCCGGTGAATGGTGAACAAACCTTGCAAAGGTTTGGCATAACTTACCTGTACCAGAGCTTGCGGTGTGTCACGGAATAACAGGGAGGCCATGGAGCGTAGACCATTCTGCAAGAATGCCATGTTTAAAACATAAATTTGATATTTTTGCGTCTCGTTTTTGATGGAGCGTCTAGGACGCCATCTCGAGTCAAACTGGGGAAGCGAGCGCAGACGACAACTAAGAAACAAAAGAATCAGGGAAGGCACTCTCCATGGCGCTTAATTTTGAACTTGAACATGTATGATGCCCGTGTTTTTTGTTTAAATGGTTAAGAAAAGTCATGATAAATCAAAAGAGGAAAACATTTTTTATTTGACGAATCCTTTCCTCTTGTGAAGGTAGTACATACATGCATCAAAACACCATTCAGTATTTTAACATGAAATCGACTTGTAAGCCAGTTTATCACATTTCATTAGCAAGAATCAGCAAGCACTAGTTTAAAATACCTCAAAGTGAACCAAACCTAACTGGCTTATATCACAGCTCACAGCCACAAAGCCCACAAAAACACATCAGAGGCATAAGATAACAATCTGTTTTGGAATGACAATTAAACAGCACATAAAATCATCACATTAAAAAAAGAAAACTGTAAAAAACAGCTTTATCACAATATACCAGTCACTACATCAATCTTAATATTCCATAATTAGATTCAATGGCTAAGTGACTACAATCTAATTTAACTTGTTGCTTTGGCTTGTTTTGAACTTAAAATACTATACCCACTTAAATTTATAAAATTTTAGATCCTGAAATATTAATGTGTGTACAAAGCTTTGGTTTGAACATTAAAATTAATAAATATAATACTTTATAAAAAAATTCATGCACAAAGAAAATGCAAAAGTCGGTCTACATGCTTCAATTACAATTTTCCAAAGAGATTGAGCATTTACGCACAAACTGTTTTAATCTTCATCTGCAATACCAGTTGCTATATGTGACAATGCAGCTCATGTTTGCGGTTCAGCAGGACAACTGTTTTTACAAATGGAAACTTGGCTGGGTCAAAATCAAAGTAGTCTGTTATGACAACATTCACACCCTTTTGACCAGGTTGCTGTTGTTCCAGCCATGAAATAATAGAATAATTACATGGGGCAGCACATTTATTCAGCAGGTTTGAAAGAGGATGACGAATCACAAACCACACATTGGGGGTCAATACACACTGCGTAACATATCCTACAACAAAGGACACCAAACAAATTGTTCAAAGAAAGGGCGAAAAAGTTTTGAATAAACACGAAATAAATTAATCTGTACCTGCATTTGAAGGCCGATGAGAGAGCCCATTCTGTAAAAATGAAATCATGTTCTGAACTGAAGTTGTCTGGGGCCAGGGTGTGGGCCAGCTTTGACTGGGCCACAGCTGAGAATCTCCATGTCCCATTCGATCGCGGTAAATAATAATTACTTGATAATGTTGCTCGATCATCCATCTCAGAGTAATCTCTGAAATGTGTTTGTCCATGGTTAATGGACACATCATATTTCCAAAGTGGTTGTGAAAAAAGCTCTGAAAGTTTAAACAAAATACACCAAAAAATAAAGATGCACCCTAAGATTTGACAAGTTATGAAAACAAAAAGATAATTACCTGAAGTTTTTTGTGGTCTTCACAGGTAAAGTCATAAAAATGTTGTATATCAAGAACAACAATTTCCTGCTCATGACTTAAAAGGAAATTTTTAATTTCCAAGAATGGCTGGGTTATCTCTTGGGCGTACATCCCATGCACGAATTGGAGTTGACCACTAGGTTTGTGGACAGCTATTCTTAGATCAAAGTACCTGAAAATAAATTAAGAAGTATGTACTGGTTGAGGACTCAAGAAATTAAATACTAGAAGCAGCAAAATTAAATCTTATACCGGATTCCAGCAATAAGTTGCTCTTCCATCGCTCTGTGCTGTGTCACACACCACTTGAGAACAATCGGCTTCACTAATGGTCCAAGGAATTTTCCCAAGACTTTAACAACGGCTGTTGAATCTGGTGAAATACCTGAGGCCTTAGAAATTCCACAGCTCATTGAATCGTGAGTTCCTGCAAACAAAGGTTAAGGCAAAGCATCACAAGCTGCAACACATAACCTATCTACAAATTTCAATCAAGCAAGACACAGATGAGCAAATGTCTTACCTGGTATAGCCAAATAAGTGATTGGTATGGATTTTAAGCAGTCTGGCAGTTCACCCATCCAGCGTTCAAAATTACTGGAAGACTCTATGCTTTCACACCACTTTGTAATGCCCAATTCCATATTGGTAGTCATTGTGTCTTGGCAGTGCTCTTCTCACAACTAAACCGAAAACCTACTAGAAAATGTCTTTTGTAAGTCTGCAATGTCACTATACGTTGTTGTTACTTGTTCCGCCCCCCTTTGCTACTGTTTGCCAGTGTTGTTGTCGTTGACGCTGCCACTGCAGCTGCATCAGACGACACACCCCCTCCCCCCTCTTCCTCCTTCCCCCTCCCTTTCGCCCTCATCCTCCCCCTTCCACTTCACACTCCACGTCTTCCCCGCACCGCACGCAGCCACGCGCAACTCGGGCAACTACCCTCACCACCCGCACCTAGAGTAGAGACCCAATCGACAGCTCCCTTGCTTTTTGTCGGTAGTTTTCGTTACCCTATCCAGTTCCGCTTTCATTCCAAGTATAGATTCCCGCGCCCACGTGCTGACTATGAAAAAGTGACGTTTACATAAAGGGAATGCCCAGCGCTGCCACCACCACCGTCCGTTCATTCAACTTACGCGACTGCGCCGAGATTTTCATGAATCTGAAACAAAAATGTGCAGATGTCTGTTGTTTCTTTCTGACAGAGTGTTCATGATGGTTGAGGGAAATGAAAAATCCGACCGTGTTAGCCCCAAACTAACGCCTTCAACGTCAGTTGGCGGTAGGAGATTCATTGAGCAGAGCACTCGAAGTGGCAGAGACGAGACGAAACGTTTTGTGCGGTGCAGCGCACCGAGAACGCGGAACGAAGGTGTGAGCCAGGTGTGAGCACCGCGGCACTCGGTGCCCTGCTGCGCCATTGCTGCACCGAGTGCTGCGCGCTCACGGCGCCAGGCCAGGGCGATGCCCCGCGATGCCCCGCGATGCCCCGCGATGCCCCGCGATGCCCCAGCAGTCCAGCAGTGGGGATAGGGTGGGGCGCTTGGGGCCGGCCGGGATAGGGATGAGGGTGGCTAGGGGTGGCTAGGGGTGGCGGGTGGCTAGTGGGGTGGTTAGAGTGCCCAGAGGGGTGGCTCGCTGCGCCGGATGGTCGGATAGTGGAGGATGCGCGGCGTTCCGGGCCAGGGCGGCCGAGGGCGGCAGAGGGCGGGGGCAGGGTGGGCTAGGCCCCGTGGATGCTGCGGCCCGGGGGCTGGGGGCTGGGGGCTGGGGGCGGCACTGGGGGCCGGGGGTCCGGATCGATGCCACGGCGCAGCTAGCACAGCCCCAGCCAGAGCCCAGCCCGGCTACGAGGTGTCGCCCTCGCCCTGCCTCGCCCCCTTCCCGGCCGCCCAAAGACGCAGCACCGACGCCGAGCTGAGCGGCCGACTCCAGCGCGAGTCCACCCCGCCGACGCTACGCGCTACGCGCTACGCGCCGGACCCTCTGCCCGGAGTGCACCGCGGCATCGCGCCGGAGCCCACCTTCATCGCCGAGCTGAAAATGGGCTGGGCCGTCTGCACGCCCACCGTCATATACAACGCCTTCCGCCTGCAGAAGCGAGCCAAGAAGAGCCACAAGGACTACAGCTGCGCCGCCTCGGCCGCGGCCACGGCCAGCTTGTCCAACGCGGCGTCGACGCGGTCGACACACGCCCCTGCCGAGACGCAGAGCGCGCAGAACACTCTGAGCCGCAGCCTGAGCACGGATGATAGCAGCAGCGAGAACAACAGCTCCGTGTTCACCCAGGATGAGGACATGCAGTGAGTACTAACTACCGCCACCTCGCCGCCGCACCCGAGCCCCGCCACCCGCCGCGGCCCCTTCCTGACCCTTTCTCGGCGCGTCAGCCCTTCCGGCAACACGGCGGGTACTTCACTGCGTGCCCCTCTTGCTCGCGGCAGTGTCCGCAACGGTGTGACGGCTTAAGGGTGCAAACGGTGCAAACCCCGCCCTGTCCACCGCTCCGCCGCGGTGAGCATTGTTTTGAAAGAGCCTGCCCTCCCTCCACCACCACCACCACCTACCCGCTTCAATGACTATCCCACATCTGCTAGTAGAATTGGTCCACGCCTGGCTGATGCTAGCGCACGCCTTTTGAACGAGGAATTACAGGGGTTATTACACAGTTCCTTAACAGCCGACGCACTGCCGAGAAAAAACAACAGAATTTTCTTAAAATATAAAAGAACTGAGAACTATACATTTCCTTTACCGAGCGCAGATCGGGGGAGGGGGGGCAACAGGCCATTTTACCCTTCTTTAAGCAAGTTTGATCGCGCCTTTTGAGGGTCCACAGAAAGACACTCTTTCCCCTGTAACTACGTATGCTGTATGGTGCTTTGTGCCCCCGAGGCCGATTCTGGGCCCGACGCTGCCCCCGCGGCCCCCGCACCCCCACCTGAAGGGCGCCGCCGTAGTGTAGTGTAGGTCAATGGCCCCGGGCCCCGCGGAAGTTGAGGTTAAAACGTCGTTTTTGCGAGTTAACGATCTGGGTGATCTGGGTCATCGCGGAGAGACGAGTGAAATGAATATCTGAAGGTGCTAAACGCAAACGATGTAAGCGCTTGTTGAATCAAGAGGGATCCGCATGAAAGAGCGAAATACCAGTAGTAGGGTCAAGTTGACGCATTGATGCAAAACTGTGGTACTGGTTCGGGAAGGGGAGGAAGTAGGTGAAGGGGAAGGCGAGTCCGCCCTTGTCGGTAATTCTTCTAAATGTGGGGGGTTCTGAAGGAAACGCCTTCAAAGTACTTAGTCAGGGTTATCTGAACTTGTGATCCTGGGCCCATCAAAGTTCAGGCCGGGATAAGGAAGTTTGGCCCGAGCGCCTATGAGGCAGGCAACCCACCGTGCACTGTGCCGCCCGCTGTTTCTGTTACTCAGGGCAGGAAAGGAAGGGTGGGGGTTGGAGGGCAATATGGGCGGGAGAGGCAGGAGGGGGAAAGGGATAAACAAGCAGAAACCTGTTGGAGGGTGAATGGTCAAGAGTCGCATGGTTTCTCAAGTGCAGCCGCAGCTTACCTCTTTGGCGCAATAATGCCGTTCTGCATTTTCTCCAAGCGTCCGTGAGTGCACAAGCTACTAAAGTTAACAATCCTATTCACTCGGTTGAGCGGTTTTGGCAACAATTCCACCCGTTACCACACACGCAGCGCGCCCGGCCCGGCGCCAGACGGCCCAGGCCCAGACAGGGCTCAGAGCCTCACTTTTTCAGTACTTTTCCGCCTTTGACCTGCCTTCGCCTTCGCCATTGCAGGTACCAACTGGATTTAATGGATCAGCGAGACCGCGAGCACCGCTGCCCCTGCGGATGCCCTGGCCAGAACTTCCACGAGGAGAGGGACTCCATCAGGATGAGGACCAAGGAGATCCTGACCCGCAACGGGGCGCATGTCGACACCGTGGACCGTGCCTTCGGTTTCGAGGTTCTTCGGCACCAGGTGAGTGTGGCGGCCTAAGGCCTAGGAGAGTCGGTCATGCACAGCACAGCTGAGCACAGCGCACGTGCAGCAGAGTGACGCCGGCGTGTGCCAGCCAAGGGGTGACATTACCTTGAGACATGCCTTTCCTCACCGACATATTTCTGGTGACGCACTGTTTTTGTGTCATCGCTTTGACTTATCTCAATCCATTTAATGAGGCGTTAATGATTGGATTTTCCTGATGTAATTTACGGATATGATTACAGGGCCGACACTACTGTCCAGAAGATATTGCTCCTGTCTGGAAGAAGGACTGCCGAACATGGCTGTGGAAGTCCAATGAGAAGCCAAAGCGAATACAGCTTAGTGACAAGGATCGTCGCAGTTCCTAAGCTACGGAAAAATTGAAAAGTGATAGGTCCACAAAGTTTAGAAAAATGCTCAGCTTTACTTTGTGTAAGAGACTGATACACTGAACCAATATTGTCAGTGGAAAATTATCACTAAATTAAGCACTTAGATAGTACTGTTGCATTTTAAGAGAAAGATTTGAGTTTAAATCATTTACTTCTAATGCCAAAGTGATTTTCTATCTGAATCAATGGGCATAAGAATAATTATCAATAATGGTTAGTTAAGTGGTTTTAACATGCTCCATCTACTGGGGGGAATAATTATCTAGTCAAAGTACATATTTACCATATTCATGCATTTATGTACAGTTAGGTGCCAACTAGAAAACATGCTAATAAGTGGCTTCCACCACCAACAAATAAATTTGTTAGTATGCTTGGACAAGCAAGCGATAATGAACTTAAAATCAATATAGTGTGTTGTGAAGTTAGAAAGGATTTTTAAAGGAGCAAAATTTGAAATTTTATGATAAAAAATACTGATCTAGGTCTCTATGAGATATTAAGTTAAGAAAAATTAACTTTTAACTTTTGTTTCCAATGTGATTTGTTGGGTATTGATATGTTTATCCAATCTCTAGCAATAACTTCTCTTCAGAGAACATAATTGTTCAGCCACAGTACCCGTGGAAAAGAAAAATATGTAACAAAAACAAAGGAACTGAGAGAATTGTGTGTCATTGAATCAAAATTGCTTTGTTCAGTGTACCAATAGCACATTTTACATTACAAACCGTTTTCTTTTTGAAATAGTGTAGCAAGGCTTTGTGTCTGTGAGCTCTTTTGATAATAGTCCAAAATTCAGTTCATCATAAGTTGTGAAAGACTGTCATTGTTAAATTTATATGCTAAAATACCATGTATATTTTTAGGACACTAAATTAGAATGGCCTTTACCAGCACATGTTAAAAGAAAGTCCTGAGTCCAGGTATTTATTCAATATATTAAAGTCACGTTGCAAAATTGTACTGATGTTATGTACCATCAAAATATCAATTCTTTATGTTTTTTGGTGTGCAAGCTGTATATATGTATGAGCAAAGAAAATAGACTGTGTGTATTTTGATAAACGTACTAACTATTATTTCAAATGCCTCTTTTCTCATATGATATTAGTTTGCTTCTATTCACATGTTGGAAAATTCCAAAATACAGTATGTGACTTGTACAGTAAAAGTGAATGGTGGTACCAGTATAGTACTATTATCAGCTGCAATGAGTAGAATTCTTAACACTTTGAAGCTTGACCAAAGTGACACTGTCACTATATTCACTAAATAATCATGCTTGCGCCCTTGCAGCTGAGACATCTTCAGTAACAACATCAGTTTCCCCACATTCGAATCGTACAAAATCCACAACCTATAAAAGAGATGAGAAACGTTATGACTTATTTTAAACTTCATAGATGATAATTTTGTCACAGATTTAAAAACTTACATTCACATTTCCCTCTTGTAACACCGCCTCAACCTTTGTTTCAGGATCCAAGAGATACTCTTGATAGATCATTACTGTCTCATCATCTGCATTATCTTGAGGTTTATCTGTTTCATTGTTTCCAATAGATTTTGGGTTCATACCTTGGCAAATTGAATGAAAAGATGGTAGGATGAATCAATGGGCAATTTTTCCCAAATAAGGATGAACATTGAACATAAGGGTGTAAACTAGACTCACCAATGACATGTTGGCACAGTTGCCGACCCAATTTAATTTGTTCATCTGACAATGGCTGCTGGTCTTTGCTATTAAAGGCAACTATTGCCCCATATTTCCCGAGCAATGCCTCGTTTTGTTCCTTTGGGGAAGGATGAGAGTATCCTGTAAAATACATGGGACTCATGTAAGATACAAATGATACTACATTTTTACTGATGGTGAGGGAATGAAAGACTAACCTGACAAGAGGATATCATCTTTGGTAGAGACAAGGACAGCCCTTTTTAACGTCATATTCTCTCCAAGAAGGCCAATATTAAGTGCAACGTGGTCTGCCAATGTTTTACCATCAGGGGCTGACAGTGAACTCAGTTTGGAACCATCCAAGAGCTCCTGAAATTCAAGTGCTTATTAATGAGATGTTTCAAAAGATAGCATTGGTTATAATCAGAACACAAACCTTGGTAACTGAATTGTTGCTGCCACAAACTTCAGGCACCACAGACACACAGGACTTTGCTATCATCTGAATAAGTGTCTGAAAAGAGCTGTTGCGAGCAACAAAGTCCGTTTCACAATTAAGCTCCACCATCGCTCCATGGTTCTTATTAACAATAACTGCAACCAAGCCTTCAGTGGTCTTGCGGTTTCCTACGTTTGTGGCCTTCGACCAACCAAGTGCTTGAGCTTGTTCGTGGAGCCACTTTTCTGCCTGAAAAGCAACAAATACCAATAGAATATAGAAATTTAATGCGAGAGAAAAGTACCACACAACACATACCTGTTCCGCATCATTGTTATGCTTATCAAGGGCCTTTTTACAATTCGCAAATGAGTAACCAGTCTTTTTGCGAAGTTTTGCTAGCAGCGCTTTGCTTGAATTCCAGCTGGATGGTGTCGTCACAAAGAAACGAACAAGTTGCTTTGAAGCAAACATAACTAATAACTGAATCTGAAAAAAAAATCCCAAGTAGCTGATGAAATTTCAGCACCACCAATGTGCCACCATTCAGATGACCACCTTTGTAAACTTTACTACATGGAGATAAACGAAGGTAAGCTAAAGATTGTGCAACGAATATTTCAATGCTAAAATTGATAGTTCAATGTTATTTAAAACTCCGATCATTTGAACATGTTGCCGCTACAGGTTAGGTATATTCTAGTGCTTTTTGTTTAGAAGAATAAATGCATCACGTGAAGCCAGAACTATCATTGCAATATCTGCATTTGGTGTAAAGAGATGTTCTTTCCGTGAAAATATTTACAAACGTACCTGTCAAACCAAATAAGGGAAAAAATTGAGGCGGACTAGTCGACAAGACAGAAGACAGCTAGATCTCCAGCAGACAGCTTCTGCTGATACACCAATTTCTCATCTGCTAGTTTGTTGCATCAAATGAAAAAGTTTGCAGAACGCACTGCCATTCGGCGCCGCCCAGTCTCAGATTCCTCCTTGTAGTTGGATTTCGCATTCTCGGGTAAATATTTAAATTTATATTGATTTTTCCCCATTTTCGTCTGTGCAACATGTTAGATTTCTGGAGGAAAGAGGAACCAAAACAAGACGAAGACGAGGACCCTGTGACGAGACTAATGAAGCAGACGGGTTGTCTTGAGTTGCATCACGAAGTGCAGGTAACTCGTTGTTGTCATTTTAGAGTTAAAAATATTTGATGTATGCTCGTAGCCTTCCCGTTTTCTGGACAAACATAGTTTTATCTTATAAGATCGATTTGAAAGATGTTTTATGTTTCGTTCTGAATCTTTAAACTTAAAGCAGAATACCTTAGAGGTTAGACTAAACTATTTCTCTTCGGTGTTTTTGGACAACTTCTCTAAAGCACCGCACCATATTTTGCTTTGTCAGCTTTGGCTTATCTTCAACCATGTGTTTGACGTCTTTTGCAGTATTGCATTGCTGAGCGGAAAGACTGGAGATTGTGTCAAGAGGAGGTGAAGAAGTTCCGCAGTTGTATGGATGCTTACAACGCCAAGAGAAAAGAAAGCTTGAAGTGAAGACAAAGATGGACGCGTTTATTATTGGAGCGGGAGGACTCGTTGCTGGCCTTATCCTAGGTAGTCCTGCGTCCCGCAGACTTTGTCATGCACTTTGGCATAGGAAGGTGCTACAGCATCAAGATAAAATCAAACTTGTTATTGTAGTGCGTCCAGACTTAGGCATGAGCACCGGCAAAGTAGCAGCACAATGTGCACATGCAGCTGTCATTTCATACCGCACTGCTGAAGAACAGGCACCAAAGTTGTGCCAGATGTGGCTAGGCACAGGACAACAGAAGGTGGTTTTGAGGTGTGACAATTCTTCTGAGGCAGCGCTTTTGAGCTACGTTCAGCAAGCAAAGCGCAAAGGCCTCCTTACAAGTACTGTCATTGATGCCGGTCACACACAAGTCCGAAGAGGAACGTTAACTGTCGCAGGAATTGGGCCGGGGCCAGAGTCATTAATTAATGAAGTAACAGGGAAACTCAAAGTTTATTAAAAAATTAATTTAAGTATTTTACTAAGCAATTTTATAAATAATTACAATCTCTTTATAATTGTTACTTAAAAACTAGTCCAATGATATAGTGGATATAGTGCCTATTTTTCATCCAAGTTACAACTTGTTTGCTTGTGAAAGTAGTATGTAGTCAGTTACATCATGTAATGTTACATGTGCTGTGAGTATCCCTTAAAGAAGATGCATTTGTGCTGCAACATGTTGAATGTATTTATTTAATTAAAGAATAGATTTTACCATTTATTTGGCTGGTTCCATCATTAAATTTAAAACATAATTTCCCTTCAGGGTAACAAGGGACTTCCCTTGGAGACCCTCTTGTGTGGGCGAGCAAGGTCAAACAAGACAACTCTGTCTTCGTCTCCGGGGACCACGTCGGAAATGTAGTAGCCATACATGATGTAGTAGAACACCAACATTGATCCAAACGCGATGGGGAACACTGCAACCAGGCAAATGCATTGCACTCTTGTCGAGGTGAATGGTGAGAAGCCAGCTCGGCTGCCCGACTCCGACTCACCTTTGCGAGAGACGATGTCGATTTTGGAGAACTTGTCCGGCTCCTCGTCGCTCTGCATGAGCTTGGTGACGTCCTCCTCGTTGGGCAGGAAGCGCGCCTGTTCCCACAGGCGGTACGGCGCCGAGAGGCAGCGCCGCAGAGAAGGGGACCTGTCATGGCAGAGACAGATGGAGCGCGGGGTTGTTCCATGGGGGTGCGTGAGAGGGAGAGAGAAAGCACTTCGGTGCGAGTGAGAGAGTTGCCTGACCTGCGCAACGTGGCGCTGGGCCCGCTCGGACTTCCCCCGTCCGCGTCGGGGACGTCGGGGACCGCGAGCTGCACCATGGCCACCTCGTCCACCTCGATGCGGATCGCGCAGTCCGCGCCGACCGCGTTGCCGGTGCTGGCGGCGAGGACCTCCACGACCTCGGTAAGGACGTCGACGACCTCGGAAAGGACGGCGTCGTCGGCGTACTCGATCTCGTCCGTGGAGGAAGGGGGCTGGCTGGGGTTCTGCGAGAAAAAGTCCACGTCAAGGTTGCCCTAGAGGCGGTCGGGGTCGCCAGGTCTGTCTTCAATGCCGAATTTTCCCCCCTGATCTCACTGGAATTGAGGCTGTGTTCACGACAAGCGGGGCCGCTCTCGAAGTGACGACGGCGTCCTCGACGCCCTCTCCCTGTGTCGTCGTCGGGGACGTCGCATGTCCGGGGGACGCCAGAGGTGCGAGCGGAGCAGGCTGGGCGTAGACGGAGTCGCAGTCGCTCGCGTCACCAGCGACTCCCGCGGCCAGGGACGGCGTCCGGGACCGCTGTCCGGCACTGGGACCAGCGCGACCGTCTGCGGGTGGCGGCTCCACCTGCGGCGACACTGTCGGGGTTACAAGGTCGTCCACAAATCACGTAACGCCGCTCTGGCAACGCAGGCAGCCTACCTTGGCGGCGCTCGCCACGCTCGTCCTCTTCTTCTTCCGCTCCTCCAACAGGCGGCGCAGGTCCTCCGTCACCTTGTCGATGAAGTTGATGGCGGCGTACTCCAGCATGACGGCGAACACGAAGGCGAAGCACATGATGACGAACCAGTCCAGCGCCGTGGCGTAGTTGACGCGCGGCATGGAGGCGCGGCCGCCGAAGCCCATCGTCGTCATGGACAGGACCGTCGTCACCGCTGGGTGGGAGAAAGACGAGGGCCGTAAGCACGCTTGCTTCAGGGCCTCGGCGGCGTTGGCGGCCCCCGGGACTCACCCAGCGACACCCTGGCGGGCACGGCGTCGGGGTCGATCCAGAAGCTGACCCAGGAGGAGCACACGATGAGCCCGCACGGCACGAACACCTGCAGCGTGTAGTACCCCGTGTTCCTCTTGAGGTTGAAGGAGGCCGAGATCATGGAGTACTCATCTGCAGAAAAAATTGAATTTATTGATTTTAGATTCTTTCAATTTACACAAAAGGGCGTACCGCGTCGGTCGCGTGTTCCTCACCCGCTCCCCTGCGGATGAGCTGCGCGTTGACGGTGGTGATGTTGACCAGGTCGTACTGCGCCAGCTCCACGCCCGGCTCCAGGCCCACGCCGGTGGGGTGCCACGCGTACAGGATGTCCGACGCGGTGTACCCGTCTGGGGGAAAGAGACACTGTGTTAGGACTGGGAAGGGCTAACGCAACGCGTGTATGGCGGATAGTGGTGGACTCACAGCTCCCGATGAGGAGCGGGCACCGCTGAGAGTCGAGCGGGAACTTTCGCAGGTGCATCGGGCAGTTGGCCTGGAGGGTGAGCCTGGAGAAAAAGTGCATGAGAAGGTTGCGTGCAAAAGCCTACCAAGGTGCCGCCAAGTGTGGCGCCCTCTGCCGACCTCATGGAGTAGGTGACGAAGCCGTCGGAGCGCACCCGGGCGAACTTGTTGGGCACGGTGATGCGGTGCAGGTACGAGCGGTGGCCGTTGACGATGTACGTGTCCGGCTTCCACACGCGGTCCAGGAACAGCCACGACATGGAGAACTCGTCGATACCGGGCAGCGAGAAGCGGAGCCGGGGGTCGAACCAGGACTGCCGGAAGTACGTGTCCATCGAGTATTTCTGCAAGGGCGGCCAGGTGCTTCAGGTCCTTCAGGGTCTTTACGCGGGAGTCCAGGTCGGCGAGAGCGCGCGGCCACCTACCTCGTCCGTCTCCGACACGGAGCTCATGCTCTTGATGTAGATGCTGACGGTGACCAGGGTCGGCGGACCTGCAACAGCAGCAACGCAAGGAAAGGCGAGGGGCTCCAAGTCGGGCGACACCTCCGACGACGCCGACGCCGTCCTCCCCTCGGGGCGCGGCGCAGCCCCGCCACCACCTGTTCGGCGCGTTCTGCCGCCACGCCCCGCTGCTCTAGAGTGATCGCGGTCCCGAATATTAATGTGAAAAGGGCGGCGACGCGGCCGGCGCGGACCACCGACACCGACAGGACCGCGAGGACCGAGCCGGCGGCCAACACGCAGTGCAGTCGCGCACCGCGGTCCCCGACTGCACCGTATTTGCTGTCAAAACCGTCAAAACCTGCCGAAAACAATGGCCACTCTTTTGGTGGCTTGGCAGTTTGGCGCCACCCTCCGGGCCTCCGCGTGCCGTGCTGCCGACTGCCTATCCGAGGAGCCATCTCCGCGCTGGCGGGGAAGTCCCAGTCGGTCGCCTCGCCCAGCCCGCCCCACTGGCAGAGCGCGGTAAAGGGTTCATTGTTCACCGGTACACTGGTACCGTGCCCTGGCTAATGAGCTCCCGTCTGGCCGCCAAATTTTCGCACTGCAGCGCGCCGGCGCTGGTTCGAATCCCGGCACCTCCCTGTTTTCGCAAGTCAGGCGGGCCATGGCGACGACCACGTTTCATTCTTTGAATCATCGACTTGTCCGTCTTCCTCTTCCCCGGCGGCGGGTGGCGCGCGGACCCGAAATAGCGGGGAGATGGAAAACTGGGATGAGTTCGTGAATGGGCCCGGGTTATGTGACGCGACACTCCGTGAACACGGCGCGACAGCGCGGCCAGCGCGGCCCGTCAGTTCGTCACGCCAGACTGCCACTACACTGTAGCCTTCGCCCTCGGGACCGCCCGGGAAACGCGGGGGCGTCTGTCAGGAGGAAAAGCGACCTCCAAACTAACGAATGTTACCAACCTGCTAAACTGCGAGGCGGGGTAAGTTATGGCCCGTGTTTGGTTCTCTGAGGCAAACTTGAGGGAAGTCCCGATAAGTGAAATTCTTGTTTGTTCATTGCCACCAAACCATTCGCTTTCTTCAAACTAACAGGGGGAGGCGGGGATCTCAAACCAAACACCGCTCCCATAGTGTGTCACCTGCTGACGCCGCGCTCGCTGCTTACCGCCAAGCTCGGGCCGGATCCTCTTGTCGTACTTCCCCGGGGCCAGCAGCGCGTCCAGGGTGGACGAGATGTTCCTGGACAGGAGGCGGAAGTCCTTGAGCCGGGGCGCGGCCGACACCCTGGGCAGGCCGGGCGGGCCGAGCACCAGCAGCAGGACCACCACGAGCACCGCACCGCGCATACCCCGCTGCCCGCCTGTCCACCGGGTGGACTCCGCCGCGGCACGACGTGCACGTGCACTGTGCGACGTCCTCGCGGCCACTGGGAGGGAGGGAGCTCCGAGGTCCGCGTCGACGGCCAGGTTGCGCGGCACTGTAGGACTCTCGGGGGCACTGGCCGCGGCGTCTCCACGGCGTGCGGTGTAGATGAAGGGGTAGATCTTGCGGTCGAGTGGGATGGATGCCGGCCACGCGGCCCCGGCACCTGTTCATCTACCTCCCCCCACCCACCACCCCCCTTTCCTGCTCTCGCTCACCTTACTGAAATATATAAATACCAGACGTGTTGGTTGGTGGAACTCGACCTGGGCTATGCTGCAGCAGTAAATGAACGTGTTCCCAGCAAATAGATTTCGGAAGCTGGCGACGGCGGGTTTGAAAAATTGCACAGGGAGAAGCCTCTTGGTTGTAAAGAAAAAATTCTAAGACTGGAACGCCGCCGGCCCCATGCGGTTCTACGTTACAACTACTCGTGTCGTTACGTTTTTCAAAAAAAAAAAAAAAGGCCCATAGCTTAGATTGAGATTTGAACCACACCTCTCCCAGTCCGTTTCTTTGTGTTCCAGCAGTGGGAGGCTCATGGTTGACGTTTGTTGAACGTCCAGCCTTGAACCTCCCACGTCAAGTCGAGTCTGTCTCAGCGCCGAGCCAGCGTCCGTCCGCCACACTCGTGCGTGCGTTGGGATGCCTACCCTCGCGGCGATTGCCGCAGCGTGCGCAGCGCGCCGCTCAGCGCACGGCGTGCACACGTTGCGGAGGTCCTGGACCCAGCCACTGTACAGTACGAGGGTGGCCGAGGTTGACACGATTCGCACGGTTGCCGCGTCCCCGCGCGCCTCGCAGTGTCGCAGGTAAAGCCGGGACGGGGGAACTGGGCCACGAGTCGCCGGATGAAGTTAATCTCTTCCGCGCCAAAGTGGTGCGGGTGATCGGGCGTGATCGGGCCGACACGCGGGCACGCCGACGGCGTCAGGTAGCGCTAGCCTTTGCCACCCCCAGTGCACTGCACAGTGGCCTGGATGCACTGTAAAAAATTTCGAGGGTAAATTTACAAATCTGGACCGCGCAACGCTTGTCAACGGTCCATGGCTTGGCGAATTCACGCATCTCATTAGAGGGTAAAAGTAACCCTACATGACTGGGGAAAAAATGCTAAACTGTGTAAGAGCAAATTCGCGCATACATGACTTGAAAATGTGACTTTGCCGATCCACGGGGGTTAATTTGTCCTTTTGATGTGTAAATTATGTTTTCTCGATCCACGGGGGTAAATTTGTCCTTTTGGTGTGAAAAATATGTTAGGTGGGTTCGCGGGGGGCAAAATTGAAATTTTACACGATCACGAGGCCAAGGGTATGCATGAGAGTGATGGGAGAGAACAACTGTACCTCAGAGTACATCCCACGTGATGAAATCCATTTAGTCTGAAGTGATGGGCCCGCGTCTCGAACCATGATCCTCTCGCTCCGGACTCCGCACCGCATCTCATTGCGCCGCGACGCTTGCCTGCGAAGGTCGGGAGAGGCGCGGTACTAGACCGGCCCGCCGTCAGCCTATCCAACCTGGTCCGCGCGTGCCCCCTTGGATCGAGGAAGATGTTTCACTCATCCAAACGCAGAAATTCACCGCGTCCACACGAGCGTAAATTTACCCCCCTGGATCGAGAAAGATATTTCACACATCCAAACGCAGATATTCACCGCGTCCACGCGTGCGTAAATTTACCCCCTTGGATCGAGGAAGATGTTTCGCACATCCAAACGCAGATATTCACAGCGTAATGGAATGAGTGATTTTACTATCATGAACGTGAATAAGAACTTACCTATCCACAGAGTAAATTTACTTATTCAATGGCAATGCAAATTTCCCGGATGGACACGTAAACACTTTGTCTCCATACATGTATCGGCGGAAGCGTATACCCTGACCACGAGGAGAAATTTACTCCGGAATGGGAAGACATATTTACCACTGATTTTTTACAGTGTGCCATCGCGCCGACATCCACGTTTCCGACACACGCGAAAAAAAGGGCGCTTTTTTCTGGCAGGCCGAGGACACTTTTGCGTGGGACTGCTCTTTTTGGGAGTATATCATCGCTCAATTACCCGATTCGGGGTGAAGTGGGGACGACGGGGAGCTGAGTGAGGGTGGGAGCTGAGCGCGTCACTGGCGCACCACTGCGCACCACGGTATGCACTGCACAGGTCCCATCTGTATGCAGCGCAGCGCGGCCGCACTGGGTGGCAGATGGCGGGTGGTAACCACGGCAACGACACACGCAAGCGCAGCAAGCGCGAAGGGTAATGATTGCCCTTGTCTTGTGCAAGCGCCCGCAGTCGCTATGTTATGATGACCGCTGACCCGGCCCGGCCTCCAGCAGTGGCGGATCCTGGCTTTTTGCCTACCTTTCTGGCGGCTGTCCACGGGCCAAGATGGGTCAGTCACTCTGCAGGATCCAGCAGCAGTAGGGAGGGTCTTTGTTGACTGCTGTTGACCGATGGCCACTCAGGTGAGAACACAACATGAAGGGTTCAGGCGCGAGCAGACGCCCTGGGTCTGGCCAGCACTGCCAGCACTGCCAGCACCGCCAGCACGAGCCTGTTGTGGAGCCGAGCGAGGAAGTCACCCCTTGGCTTATCGGGACAGAGCGTGCTGCCTTGCCTAGATGCGCTGCGGCGCGGCGGTGCTCCAAGGATACAGGCGAGTGAGAGCCAGGCCTGTCTGGACAGCTGCAGCAGCAACACCAAACGGACTACGTCAACGCGAAAATGTCCTGCGAGAGGAAAAATAATCATCCCCTCAAATCAGACTATGCAGAGGGTACACCACGAGGGATGCAATTTTTGGACGCGCAAAACTGCCTTCGCTGAGCGTCACTAGAAGTAGTACGCCATGGCACGGCCCGCTTCGAGCCGACAGTCGTTTACTGCAACAAAGTTTTTGCATATCGTGGAGAGCAAAAACTAGAAGTACTCCTCTCAAACATTCCATGCGCAAACACGTCCGGTGCTGGCAGGCCCGTGGAGAGTTAGAGTGTGCCCGCTTTTTGCCTACTCTTCGTATTGAAAGACATGTCTCTCACGGGTTCACCTTTGTGCCTGACGCGGACTGACACCTTGTTTCCCGAGCGAGAATCTACTCATTTTGGGATGCACATATTTCGGAGAGTGGAGTGGATGCGCCCAGTCCGCCAGTCTGTTCGGTTCGGTTCGCCGAGCTTACATCTTGGGAACTGCTCAGTGGCCCGGGTCTCACTCTGCGCCTCCGCGGCCTCCAGGGGCGCTACCTCCAACAGGCACTACCACACAGCGCGCACCATGGTCCTGGTGACCGACGTCCTGGTGCTGGCCGCCCTGGGCGGCGTCGCCACGCTGCTGGCCCTGTTCCTGCAGAAGTACTGGCACTTCCGCAAGCTGGAGCTCGCCATCCCCGGGCCGCCGTCGCTGCCGCTCCTCGGCAACACCATGGACTTCGTGAACGCGACCCCCGACACCGTGCTCAAGACAGTACGCCGCTTGACCGGCGGCATCGGCGGCCAGCACAAGCTCAGCCGCTTCTCCCTCATGAACCACCTGGTGGTGTTCGTCAACACCGCCGAGGGCGTCGAGTGCTTGGTGCGCCACCCGGACTTCAAGAGCAAGGCCCAGTTCGCCTACCACCTGCTGGACAACCGGCTGAGCCTGCTGCAGCTGGTGGGCGCTGAGTGGCGCGCGCGGCGAAAGGCCCTGGAGCTCGGCTTCAACAAGAACGTCCTCAACAGCTTCATGGAGACCTTCAACGAGGAGGCCAAGGGCTTCGTGGACCGCGTGGTCACCGGCATGCCCGTGGACGTGACCGAGCCCCTGAGGGAGGCCATCTCCAGGAACTTCCTCCAGACCTCCATGAGCACGAACATGGAGCAAGAGGCCAGGCCGTACATGGACTTCCTCGAACAGTTCCTCCGCACCTCCAACCAGCGCGCCTTCAACCCGCTGCTGTGGTCAGACCGCCTGTTCTACATGACGCCGTCGGGCAAGAAGGTGCTCAAAATGAAGACTGGAGTCCACGCGCTCATCAGCAGGGGCCTCGCGCAGAAGAAGAAGGAAGCGAGATGCCGGGACAGCGAGCACCGGGACCGGGCGCGGAGGGTGCTCGCCGACATCCTGCTGGACTTGCACGACAGGGGCGACATCTCGGAGGACGTCGTAATAGACGAGGTCAAGACGTTCTTCAGCGCCACCGTGGAGACGACGGTGTCCACGCTCAGCTCGGCGCTCAAGGTGCTGTCCATGTACCCCGAGGTGCAGGAGCGCGTGTTCTCCGAAGTGGACGCCGTGCTCGGGGACAGGGACGTCACCACCGAGGACCTGCCGCGGTAAGTACACGGCCTGTGTTGCGTGCTAGTGCGAGCGGCTGCACCGTCAGATTGTTCGAAACGACCTCCATGATGTCATAAGTCGTTGCTTTTCCTCCTCCCCAGGATGAAGTACCTCGACTGCGTGGTCAAGGAGGTGCTGCGCATGTTCCCGGCGCTGCCGCTCGTCGGCCGCCAGTCGCCCCGAGAGACCGAGCTGTGCGGCCACGTCATCCCGGCCTACAGCACCGTCATCCTGAACCTCCAGGGCGTGCACTTCGACCCCCGGCACTGGCGCGACCCGCACGTCTTCGACCCGGACCGCTTCCTGCCCGAGAACAGCCAGGGCCGCCACCGCTGCGCCTTCGTGCCTTTCAGCATCGGCAGCCGCAACTGCATCGGCGGCAAGTACGCCATGATGGTGGCCACCACCTTCCTCGCCGTCGTCGTCCGGGCCTACAGGGTGCTGCCCGTGCGGGACCACGAAGACATCCAGAGCCTCCTGGACAACCTGGCCTTCGACCTGGCGAGCAGGCTCGTGGGGGGCACCAGGGTCGTCTTCCAGCCCAGAGGCCGAGGCAGTGGCTTCGCGGCCGCGTCACACAGTTCGCAAGAATACAAGCTCTGACTTCGACCCTGAAATTTCGGGGTCCAGTTTCAAGTTGCATATTTAAAATATTTTAAATTACACATGCGCGAATCCAGTACGGGGGAGACGGCTGGTTCAGGCCAGATGACGGAATAGTGAATAAAAGGAAAAGTTGACCTTTTTTCTAATTTTTTACCATTTTCCTTACATATAAAAATAGTCTGTCAGAAGTGGGATTCGAACCCACGCCCACAGAAGTGGACTGCGACCTGAACGCAGCGCCTTAGACCGCTCGGCCATCCTGACTCGCTGATGAATGCGGCTTCGGTAAGCCTACTGTATGAAACTCGCGCGGCGCGGTTACATTTATCAATAGGCGGAGCACACAGATAAAGGAAACCTCGGTGGCTCAGATGAGGTTTGCGGAGTCGAGGCGGGGGAATGCACTGCTTGTAAGGGCCAGATAGGCCACTGTCATAAACGTGTGATGCTTGGGCTCGAACAGGCTGCGGACTCATTGGACTGGCGCCGCCCGCGCCGCCGCACTGCACTGCAGGATGGCGAGGGACGACGACGACGAGCTCGGCGAGGATGGGGTGGAAGACGACGGCGACAAAGCAATCAGCCCGATAGCGAAAAAAAAGCGTGTCTGCCTCGGATTATTTCCTTTACAGAAGGAAGGGGTGCCGAGTGAGTGCCACCCTCAGGTGCACGCCGTCATGCGCGCGGATGGGTGTCGCCCCGCCCCGCCCCGCCCCGCCCCGCCCCGCCCCGCCCTCGGCCATTCAGGGCGCGACATGTTTCCGCACCCATCGCGAAAATTGAATGAGTGGCCGTGAAAAGGCCATGATTATCGCTATCATCAGAGAGGCCCTCGCCGCCCCGCCCTACGCGCTACTACACACTACTTTGCCATGCTCCTTCAACCCCAGCGTCACCTGACGCCGCCGTTGAAAGCAGCCCGCTTATTACACTGTTAACAAGGTGGGAATGAAAACGAGCCTCCATTAAAACCGAGGCGTTTTTCGGAAGCTCCACCGTGCGACGATTGGGCACTCATTGGCTTGCAGCGAGCTCCGCGCGGCCAACGGGACGGGGACTGGTGTGGGGATGCGTCGTTGCACGGCGTGTTGCATTTGCATGTGTCCTTATCGGGAGGCCGCTGCCTTCCCGGGCAGCGCCGGGCAGCGCGGCGCAAGCTAACGACCACTCACTGCAACTAAGTCCACGAAAACGGGCGTCGCCCCTCTCTACCTGGAACCACTTCTGTAATGCTGCCCCTGCTGCTACCGCGAGCAAGGGCGGGCGAGGCGGCGGGGCGGGGCCAGACAAATCTAGTTGAATAATTCAGACTTACGCGGCCATGGGGCGGTGCAGGCGGTGCTGTCGGCAGGGCTGTCTCTCAGGATGCTTTCACTGTCACACCGGAGGGACATAAATCCCGGCCCTTCCGCGGGACGTTCGGGACGTTCGGGACGTACACTCGAAGCCTCCCTCGGCCGCGCCGGAAGCTGGCCGCGCCGTGCGCCGCGCGATTATAAAAATAAAAATAATGTCATGAATTGATATTCTGTGTGAACCCCGCGCCGAGCCTCGGCCAACAGCGCTGCCCCCCCCCCCCCTCCGCCTCCCCTCCTCTCCCCTCGGCCACTCTGCACGCTAACTAGAAAGCTGGAAAAATGACTGCCGGCTAAATTTACAACGAAAACACAAAGTGCTCCCGAATGCGCGGATGTGGCGGCGGGGCCTTGGGGCTGCCATGGCGGGGCCGCCGTGAGGATGCGTAGCGCGCAGCCATCTGTCACGTGCCTTTCAGGCGACACTGATTTTCCGGTATGAAAGTGTGGCGCGTTTGTATGTGCATGTGTGTGTGTGTGTGTGTGTGTGTGTGTGTGTGTGTGTGTGTGTGTTACGGGCTTGAAAGCGTCTTGAAAGCCCCCGGGGCACGCGGCGACGGCCCGAGACAAACTTCCCCCCGGGAAACTCATATGCCTCATGTCTGGCCTTCATACCGTACGCGTTTCCGATCCATTGGCTGTGCCCTTCCCCGTCCCCTTCCCCCAGGGGTAGAGTCCTGCACCGGCAGAGGGGAGCTAGGGCGGACCCCTTCCCCCCGAACCGGCCGCACCTCGGGCCTCATCGACGACATCGACGCCACGATAAAGCTGTCACGCCGGTCTTGGAGGCCGTGGAGGCCGTGGCGGTCGCCGAGGTCGTCGGCTAATTGCGACGAGGCAGGCGACGACGCCTTTACGCCGTGGAGGCCGTGCAGGTGGAGGTCGTGCGTCGGCGAGCACAATGCGCGCCGCGGGACTTGGTGAGAGACTTAGTGCCCTTCCCCACCTCGGGCGAGGCACAGGGGCGGCGGCATCAGGCGGCGTCGCGGTCATGATTCACCACTTCCAGAAGAGCGATCCGGAACATCGCTTTAGGCTCTCGTCGCTCTGTCTCTCTCACACTCGATGGGCGTTCCAATGCGTGCGAGAGAGACAGAGCGACGAGACGACTCGGCTGCAGTCAGGCAGCGGCCATAAAGCAGGGCCACAATGGGTGGGCAGTCCCTTCGCCCTGTCTCTGTCTCGCCTCTCGGCAAAGTAAAAACTCGAGCAGTTCGAATTCTCCCGCCCGGCGCGCTGGCTGCGTCCAGAAGTGTTGAGGCTGGAGTGCGACGCGCCGCGGCCAGCCGAGGCGCTCCATGCCGCGCCGCGCGGCGCTTCGAACGCATCTCCGCGCGTCGGCGGCGCAAGGGGAGTGGTGGGGGGCGAAGCAACTGGTGGGGACGCGCTCCGCGGCTCCGCCGCCGCGCGCGCCGCGCATGGACTGTACCGTGTCTTGCCCGCCTTCCCCCACTCTGCTGCGGTGTCCGAGTGGTTAAGGAGTTTGACTCGAAATCAAATGGGCTCTGCCCGCACAGGTTCGAATCCTGTCCGCAGCGTCTTTTTTCTCCATTTTTCGGACGGGTTTCAGCTGCAGGGCCTCCACTGGAATGCTATCAACAATGCAACACACGTTTTGAGTTGAATTTCCCGTCAATAAAAATGTTTAAAATTTTTATGCTCACATAAAGTTTGAATATTGACCAATTTGCTTGTCGTGCCTTCCACTATACATTTTTATTTTTCTGAATAAAAGGCGATTTTAACTGAATGCGGTCGCATGTGCACTATACCCTACCTCCACAGTTCACAAACAAGCGAAAACTCGCTGAAATAGCGACAAAAAGTGTACGCTGCGGACAGGGTTCGAACCTGTGCGGGCAGAGCCCATTGGATTTCAAGTCCAACTCCTTAACCACTCGGACACCACAGCTGCGTGCTCTCCCGCCGAGCCGGAGCGGCTTGCTATCCAAGCCCGAGAGTGGGGGAACCGCTTGCGCGACGCGTCGGTCGGGAAGCGACGCTGCTCCCCACTCCCCACCCCACCCCACCCCACCGCACCTCACCCCACCTCACCCGGCCCCCGAGCCACGCCATCGCGCGCAACGAGGAACGCGACAGTGGGAGCCTCCGCAGCAAACTGTCCAAAGCGCACGTGGTGTTTCTAGCGTCTAACTCGGACCTCGGGTTTTGGAGCGCTTCCCCACACGCGCGAAGTGCAAATGGCTTGCAAATGAGGCTGGTGGCGCCTGGCGCGCCAGTAGCGCGGCAGCCCGCCTGCATGTTGCATCTTTCGACATTTGCGGGCGTCGCCACTTCGTCTCGCTCTCGCACCCTGATGGGACACTCGATGAGTGCGAGAGAGACAGCGAGGAAGCACTGTTCGGAATCCGCCTGCGGCCCGCTGAGGCCGTCACCGGCCGCCCCCGCCGCACCAAAGCGCTGCACTTGGCTGCCACGACACATTAAGCCCGAACCCCCAAACTTGTGTAAACTTAGAAAACAACTTTGTAAGGCGACCTTCTGCGTCTCGCCAGTCCCGCACGCGGCGCGGGACGCGGCACTCTTGGGCGCGGCGGCGTCGCGGTCTTTTGCCGCCGCAACTCACGCGTGGCGGTAAAGCACACGAACGCGGAGGCGCGGCAGGCGCGGCCGAGGCTCCTCCCCCCAGGTCACCGGGCCCAGCGGCCCAGCGCAGCGGCAAGCCTCTTTTTCCGAAGGGGCTTTCGTATTTCCGTACCGAAAAAGTTGAGCCCTGCGACGCGCGACGTCGACGCAGTCGACTGGGGAGCGAGAGGACGTCCCACAATGCGCCCCGCACGGCCGGTCACGCGCCGCGATGCCGCGATGCCGCGATGCGGGCGGGAAGGGAATGTTGCAAGAACGTCCTATTAATATATACGTCGCGGTGCACGGCTGCACGGCACGGCGGTCCGATCACAACTTCCTCTATCGCCGAAGGGCCCGAAGGGGAAGGGCAGTCGCTATAAATAAGGGCCAAAGGGATGGACGCGGACCCTGAATGTGGATGAGGACGATGATGAACGAACCCGGCCCCGCGCAGCCCCGCGCAGCCCCGCGCAGCCTCGCGATGCAGATGCACCTGCTGCGACCTCTTCGCCCGCCTACCGTCCTCCCCCTTCCCCTTTCCACCACACTCTCATTCATTCAGGGACTTCATTCATAACGGCCGCTACTACTACGTCCACCGCCACCACCGCGCAGCGTGGCGCCCGGCGAACGCGGCCGACGAACCGGTCTCCGCGCGGGACCCCGGCCCCGGCTCGCCTCGTGCAAGTGGTGGTGGCTTGTGGCCAATAGTGTTCAACATCCGATATGGTCTAGTGGCTAGGATACCTGGCTCTCACCCAGGAGGCTCGGGTTCGATTCCCGGTATCGGAACTTTTTGGTGAAGCTGCACAAAGTCTCGCTAACAGTGGCTTCCACGCCCCTCGCAACTAAGTCGATTGTGCGACAAAAATGTTCTGTCAGAAGTGGGATTCGAACCCACGCCCACAGAAGTGGACTGCGACCTGAACGCAGCGCCTTAGACCGCTCGGCCATCCTGACACTTGTCATACGATTCCACCGTGGCGCTACCGGTGGTCGCTGCCCGAGGCCCGCGTCCGCCGGCTGTATAATGCTGATTGGGCCGTGGTAATCCCTACGAAGCGAAAGGGACGGGCCTGCGGACAGCGAGAAGAGGGGGGAGGGGTACTCGCTGCTGAGCCTCGCGTATGGCCGGCGAGGTGCAAAGTCCGAGAATAAGAGCGCGGACGGCCGCCCCTCGCCACCGCGCTGCTGCCCCCGTGAACCGCACCGACGCCGTCCACGCCATGCCACGCGCCGACAGGTGAAGTGGGCGGGGCAGCCCGGCCGCCGGAAGCCCCCCGACCCGAACGGCACGCGGCGCCTCACGCCTAGGCGACAGTTTCCTGTTGCGCGCGTGCGTTCGCGTGCGTTCGCGTGCGTGCGGCCGCGTGCGCAGCACGTGTGCACCGAGCGGCGCCGAATGCGCAACCCCGTTGCAGCCGATGCCTGATGAGCCCCCCTGCGTGGCGGCCTCTAAGCGGCCGCCGGACGGACTGCGTCCATGACTGCGTCCTAGACGTCTTCTCCTGCTGCAGCACTGCAGCCCCGCGAGCACGCGCGCGCACGGGACGTCGTCCTGGCCGCTCTTTTTTCTCCGCGTCTGCTGCACCGGATGCAGCGGGATGCTGCGCTCATCGGGGCGGGGCGGGGCGGGGCGGGGAGGCCGCATGGTCGAGAAAACTGTCTTCGGATTGGAAGACGCTCCGGCTAACTGGCACGCCACTGCAAGCGCACTCAGCACACGGCACGCGCGAGGCGCCACGGAAACATCCTGTCCGAGCGGCTGGCGACAACGCCGTGCCGCGCCGTGCCGCGCCGTGCCGCGATTTCCGTTACGTGATTGTTTTTATTTCAAGTGTTGGAGGGGGAGGGGGGAGGGCCGTCCTCTATCCGCCCGTCGCGTGCCGCGTGCGCGTCGCCATGGCGTCGCGTGTTCGGTCGCGACATGGGAATTAATTCGTCAACGGCCGCGCCGTGTCCGAGTGTTGACATGCAAACGCGGACCCCACGCCGGGGGGGAAGGACAATTGCCCTCGGGCCGCCCCCTTGACCGCTCTAACCGCCGGAAAGGTACGAGAAAAGCAACACGTTGACCGTTGACCCCTCTGTCATCATCGTCATCATCATCATCAAGGCTGCTAGGCCTCTGCCGCCTTCCTGCTTTCCCTCTGCGGGGACGTCAGCCCCTTGCCGCGACTCGGATTCGTCCACGTCCGCCGCGTCTGCTGGCGTGCCGCACCGCGCGGGGATATGTCACCCTTCAGAATAAATCAAATTTAAAATAAACGCTGATTTTTCTTGATTCCTGGGGAAAACTGGCTGGGCGGGACACGGCCGCGGAGGGAGGGGGAGGGGAAGGGGAGGGGGAAGGGGAAGGGGAGGGGGAGGGGGAGGGGGAGGGGAGGGGGAAGGGGAGGGGAGGGGGAGGGGAAGGGGATGGGGAAGGGGATGGGGATGTTGATCGTGTTCCTGGCGGTTCCTGGGCGGCCTGATGGCGCGACCGGGCCAGCCGGATGCTAGAGGTATAATTTTAAAATGAAGGCGTCTCGCGCTCGTTTCACTGCCTTGCGACAAATTTCGTTGGCAGCGCGGCGCGATTTGGGAAGAATTAATGTGCCGGAGAGAAGGCTGTGTGTGAGTTGTGTGTGTGGGGTTGGGGTTGGAGGGGGAAGGGGGTGCATCCCTCTTTAACATGCATGCATGCCGTTGCTGCAGTAGGTAAGTGGGTGGGGTAGTGCGCATTGTCTCTCTTCCCTCCACGCCTCCGCGGCCTGGTTGTTCGTAAGTGCGCGAATAGAATGCTCCTTTTCGAGGACGAGCCACGCGGGGCTGCGCGGCCCGCCAGGAAATGACCAACTTCCGGTACCGCCACTGCGCCGACACACAACGACACCGCGATGGCCCTTTGGGCGACAATGCAGACGCGCCCTCGCTGTCCTGTCTTGCCTCGCGGTCTCGCCGAAGCGCCCGGCAATTCGGAGGATCCCTCAGTGGCTGTCTCTCTCCCACCTACTCGAGGCGGCCGATGAGTGCGAGAGAGGCAGAGCGACGCAAAAGACTCTCGGAATCAGTCTGCAGGGCGCAGGGCAGGCCGGCGCCGCGTAGCGCCGTGTGCAAGGAGGAGGAAGACGAAGCAGGGAAGGCGCAGGTACAGATCGGATTTCCCGATTGCAGGCATTAGACAATGCAAGATGGCAGTGGTTCCGAATCCGGGCGACACGGACGCGTCGGTGACGCGTTCCTCACCGCAAAGACGCACGTCGACAAGAAGGGCAAGCAGACAAGCGCTGCCTCGCCGCACGTGTCTGTCCATGATGCATCTCGCCGCGTATCTCGTGAGGCATCTTCATCTCCGGCTCCGACAAAGCGCCAATCGGCATGGCCGAACCCTCGGCTGAACCGCCGAACCGAACCGCTGACCCAGACTAGCAACAATCTCAAGACGGGCCTGACAGGTCCAACGCCGCGTGGCACACCGTAAAGGAAAAGCCGCTGAGTCCAGAGCGCAAATGAAACACTCTTGGAAAAGTAATTAAACTGTCCTGGGGCTTCAAAAATATCTGTCAGAAGTGGGATTCGAACCCACGCCCACAGAAGTGGACTGCGACCTGAACGCAGCGCCTTAGACCGCTCGGCCATCCTGACACTTGAGGAGAGGTGGGTGACCCTAACGATGTAATGCCGCTCGCGAGGCTACGCCGTGAAGTGGGGGACCAGCGTAGCGGGACTGTGGGGCGCGGGGCGCGGGGCGTGGCGGGGACTGGCCGGGCGGGGCAGGCAGCCATGCCGGTGCCAGAGAGCCAGTACAGCAATCGAATCCAACGTCTAGGGCCGAGAGGGCACAACGGGAAGCAACTTACAGTAGCTCTACGAATTTTCGTGCAAGAATGAAGCAATATTCTACATCTCATTGCAGAGTATCCTTACTGAAATTCTTGCGGCAAGGTCTTCGGCCACAAAATACTAC